TCCAAAAGTCCAGCAGTCCAGCCCATGTTTAATGCTACCTCTCTGCTTCCATCTGAAAAGAAAACTCTCACTTCCTGTTTCCCTGTGGGCCACACAGCAGGTCTGGGTCCCTGCAGAATCCCAGATGAGGGTTGGGCCACGTGTCACCCTCCTGGAGGAGAATGAGGAAGCAAGCAGGGAGTCTCATCTTTGAATACCTGAGGCTTTAAGACAGGCCTGGGAAACCTTATTTCTGCCAAAGGCCATTCAGTTACTTGTATGATTGTCGGGCCATACGACACAGGCAGATACACCACGACCAGCCCAGAAAAAGCACCCGTGTCTGTCCATCACTGGCCAGGGCCATATTATGTGATTCCTCATATACTCTTTGCGGCCTGTGTGTAGACATTCCCATCTCGACTTTACGACCTGGAAGCATCTCCCGGGTATTTCTCCTCCACACTGCAGGCCCCACAGAAATGCCCCCATTCTGCTGCTTTGGTGGGTCCCTGGCAGACAGGGTCAGGGGGCTTGGTCTTGGGAATGGTTGGGAGGGTGAATGGGCGTTCTTCCCTATAGAGGAGTCTGCTTGGCGTCACTTTGGGCAGGAGAGCCATGCTCCAGCACGCCCCCGCGGATGCAGCTGCATCACTAAAAATGTGTGCATCAAATGGGACAGGGGATGCTGTGATGTGGGGGCAAAGCTCCAGGGCATGCCAGGACGGTGCTTCTGTCAGGCGGTCCGGAGACCAAGACGCCCGGCCGCCTGTAACGGGGGCTCGCGGGGGAGGAGGTTGAGGGGGGTGGGGTTTTGCTGTGGCCGTCCTAGAGGGATGAATCGGGCTTTGAACGTGCCACTGTGCGTGGGCCTTGGAAACCGGGAACAAGAATCTTATTGATGGGTTGTCAGGCCCGCGCAGAGCGCGTTGAACTTTGCAGAGCCCGGATGCGGTGCCTGCACAAGGGCCTACAGTTTCTAGAATGAACGGCACGCTTATTCCCCCCTCCACAGGAGAACGAGGAAGAGGCCCAAAGAGAAGAGTGTGGGGCGCCAGTGGGGGGCAGGGAAAGTGGTGGGGGTGAGTGAGAGCCTTGCACAGCCTCCGGGGTGCACCTCGCCAGGATTGTAGGCTCTGGGGGCTGACCCCTGCCGCCAGGTCTTGGGGCTTTGCTTCTGCCAAAGGTGATTTCCTGGAACCTGTTGCTGGAGAATGGGTGTGAGCAAGGAGTGAGAGTGAGTAGGAGTGAGTGGGAGTGAGCGGGTGTGAGTAGGAGTAAGTGGGTGTGAGCAGGCATGAGCGAGTGGGAGTGAATGGGGGTGAGCGGGAATAAGTGGGTGTGAGCAGGTGTGAGCAGGAATGAGTGCGAGTGAGCAGGAGTGAATGGGGGTGAGCGGGAGTGGACAGGAATGAGCGGGTGTGAGCAGGAGTGAGAGTGAGTGGGAATGGGCATGAGTGAGTGGGAATGAGTGGGTGTGAGTGGGAGTGAGCGGGAGTGAGTGGGAGTGAGTGTGAGCGGGAGTGAGCGTGAGCGGGAGTGAGCGGGTGTGAGTAGGACTGAGTGGGTGTGAGTGGGAGTCAGTGGGAGTAAGCGGGAGTGAGCGGGTGTGAGCAGGTGTGAGCAGGAGTAAGCCCCAAGGACTCCTCCCCGTTCCCATTAGGGGCAGCTCTTGGTGGGAGGGGCCCTCCACGGGGCCTGAGATGACAGACACCCTTTGCACACGGCCCGCCAGTACTCAGGATGGCTGCTCGGGGTGGCTTGCAGGGAGGGACAGGATGGCTCTGGAGGATGGTCCTCGCCCAGAGAAGCAAACGTGTCCTTCTAGGTCTCTGGTGGCCAAGCCCTCGCGCCCTCACAGTATCTGTAGGGGGAGACCACTGCCTTCTCGGCACCCCACCTGCCTAGCCCATCACCCGTCAGCCTCTGCATCCTCCTGTGGAGGGAGGGACGGCAGGGAGCTGCCTGGGTGACGGGCACCTCCTTCCTGCCCTTCCACCTCAGGGAGTCGCCAGCAGGCCCCAAGGTTGTGCCATGTGTCGCTCAGGCCCAGGTCCGCCTCTCCATCCTGCTGCACGGGGTTTAGTGGGACAGGAAGTAGAGGCCCAGCTTGTGGTCAGTGGCCCTAGGCCCTCTGGATGTGGGCTCGAGTGACCGTGCTCCTCATGTTGTGCTGAGGCTGTAGTCCAGCCACCCAGGCCCGTGGCCCTACTGTGCGCCCGGAGGGTGGTTGGGAGGGTTGCAGGTGGTGGGGGTGGCACCCTGCTGCTATTGGAGGCCACGCCTGCACTGATGCGGTCATCTTCCCAGGGCCGCCGCCCCGGCTGCGAATTTCCCAGCCCTCCACGGCACAGGGGTTCCTCCCCGGCTTCCTGCCCTCTGTCCCAGGGCCTAGTGGCACAGCAGGACCCTCACTCCTCAGCAGAGCAAACAAGAGTCCTGACGACCCTCCATGGTCAGCCGTACTCTGGGGGCATCACAAATCCTCCCCGCGCCCTCGCTTCCTCCTGTGCACTCAGCGCCTGTGTCCTCTGAGCTGCTCGATCTCTTTCCCCACGGACTCCTGCCTGCTCCCAGCAAACTTCTATGCATTCCTCAGTGACCGGCTGATAAATCCCCCCTCACCCCGATAACCCCAGAGTTCATTCCCTCACTGCATTCCTGGGTCCCGCGCACATTCCTGGACTCCTGCTCTTCTCACCCATGTATGTCCTGGGCCCCTGATCGAGGGGGTGGGGGGCAGGGAGTCCTGGAGAACACATCAGGGTCCCCCCTGGGCACCCCAGAGCCAGATACGGCCCTGCGTGACCCGGGCTGAATCCCGTGGTTGCCGTGTGGAAACAAGCCCAGCTGTTTTCCAAGAATCCGCCAGCTCTGGGGCCGAGCTGAGGATGTGGAAGGGGAGAAACACTTTCTCTCCGGAGCATTTTTGCCGGGGCTTTGGCGCCACGAGCTTTGAGGCGCAGTAGACCCAGCTGGAGGGGTCGGGAGGTCGGAAGGCAGCGCGAGGCCCCCACGGCCTGACAAGGCCTTTCCTTGTTTACAGCCGCGGGGTCAGGGCTCAGTGTGGCCTTCGGCCGCCCTGTTTTCTGAGATTCAACTCCTTTCACCTCACAGCTTCGGGGCCAGCTGAGTTCCTGCAGCCAACAGGAAGCTTAGGAATATCTAGCCCAAACAAAACAAAACTACCTAGACTTTTTCTTCCCACTGCCGCCTCTTCCCAGAAGCCCTCCAGGCCCTTCTAGGGCCCCTTGCTCAAATCCTAGGATCCTGGGAGTAGGGAGCACCTCCTTGACTTTCTGTTTTCGCTTGTCTGTTTGTTTGGGGGCCACTCCCGGGGTTGGTCAAGGGGGGGGGGGCATCACAAATCCTCATCAGCGACCCCAGGCCCTCTGAATGTGGGCTCGAGTGCAGCCTTCAAACTTGGGGGTCCTGTAAACTTCAGTCCCTCAACCCTCCCCTGGCCCCCTCCCTGATGCCGGACTTGAAGCTGGGACGCCCTGGCTGTAGAGGGCGGGCCTCAGGGCAGGGCAGTGGCTCAGTGGCCAGATGTGCCTCACACACACATGTGCAGTCCCGGGTTCCAGCCGGTTGCTGGATCCCGGCCCCCCAGCATGCTGGATATGCCCCTCAATTCCCCAACCCGCGCCGCGCCCGTCAGTGGAAGGCCTCAGCCTAGCTCTCTCTCTCTCTCTCTCCATCTTCCAGGAGGGGCCAGAGAGAGAGGAAGAGAGAGAGAGAGAGAGAGAGAGAGAGAGAGAGAGAGAGAGAGAGAGAGAGAGAGAAAGCACTGGGCTCAGGGCACCTCCTGGCATGTAATGGACCCCAGCTGGGTGCCCGGCACTCCTGGTGCCCCCAGAACCCCCAGGTATAGTCCCGAGGGCCCCTGAGCATCAGAACATGCCTGGTACCACCCTCTCAAGCACCATTTGGGACAATATTCAAGAAGGTTTCCAGGAACAGAAAGCTGAGGGTCCAGCCAGACCATGGTCTTGGTATTGAAATACTCAGGGACTCTGGGTGACCTTGCTGGTACCCTCGCCACGCCCACTCAGTCTGGGCAGATGGGGGCTCCCACCCCCCAGGGAAGGGCCTCAGCTTGGCTTGCCCTGGGGTCTCTCTCCCTGGCGGATTCCCCCGGATGCGTCTTTCCTCTATGTCCCGGTCCCCTCTCACCGGTTGTCCTCTCTTAGACACAGACCCAGCCACCTTCCAGCCCACCTCTAGACCCTGGGCCAGCGCCGTTCGTGATCACATTCAACCTTGGTCCACTTAACTTTCACTGAGACAGAGAGCGGGATGTGTGCCAGGCCCCCGGGAGGGGCTGACCCTCCTCTCTCCAGCTGGGGCAGGGGGCCCTGTGTGAGCTCATTTGATGTCTGGGTCCAAGGTATCGGAGTCCTCTGTCAGCTTGGGAGACGCTGGGCAGGGAGTCCTAAGGGGGCCCATGACCGAAGAAGCTCAGGGCAAGGCTTCCCTAGCTCAGGTCTCGGGAGTTGTGACAGGTCACTATATTGCTCAGGGGACAGAGTGATCCCTGATCTCTGGGGCTGGCTGTGTCCCTATGCCCGAGAAGGGGTCACACCCAGTCCACCCTTCTGATACCCAAGACTGAGATCTGTACACGTGCTCCCGAGTGATGGGCCTTTAGGGAGGAAGAAACCCCATGGCCAGCCTCTTGTGGCTGGTGAGTGTGGCTAGTGTCACTGTCACACAGGCTGGCGCCTTGGCACTGGCTGAGGTCATTCACCTCAAAGTCAATAGCCTGTGGGCCCTCTGAGAGATAGCACAGCGGGGAGGGCGCTCGCCTTGCATGCAGCTGACCTGGGTTCAATTCCCGGCATCCTGTTTGGTCCCCCAAGCACCACCTGGAGGGGTTCCTGAGTGCAGAGCCACGAGGGACCCCTGAGCATCGCTGGGCGAGGTCTCTGCCCCCCTGGTCCGTGCTGTGGTCTGGCAGTGTTGCTTTGGAGAGAAGACAGCCCCCCTGAGCTGGGTTTTATCTGCTTTTATCTCTGCAGCCCTGGAGCAGCTGCTGACGGAGCTGGAGGACTTCCTGAAGGTTCTCGAGCAGGAGAAGCTGAGCAGCACAGCCCTGCTGAAGAAGAGCAGCGTGGCCGAGCGGCTCCGACTTTACATCAAGAGCAGCAGTGAGTGTGGGCGGGTCCCCCTGGACGCGGGGCGGCAGGCAGGCCTGCGGGTGGGCGGCCAGAGGTCTTGGGGGCTTCATCCCAGAAGCGGGTGGGCTCCTGGTGCTGTAGGCTGGGAGTGGGAGGAGTGGGTTGATCTCAATGACCATCTTTTTATTTTTTTGGGGGGTGGGGATCACACCCAGCGATGCACAGGGGTTACTCCTGGTTTATGCACTCAGAATTACCCCTGGCAGTGCTCAGGGGACCATGTGGGATGCTGGGAATCGAACCCAGGTCATCTGTGTGCAAGGCAAACGCCTGTGCTGTTGCTCCAGCCCCCTCCGTCTTTATTTTTTTTTATATTATAAAGTAGTTTGTAATATTTGATTACATTTAATATTCATCACCAATCCCACCACTATTATACCTTCCCACCAGCATATTTGAGGTGTTTCCATCCCAAACACCAATCTCTGCCCCAAAGCAGAACTAAAATCATATATTTCCCTCTAAGGTTGGTTGCCTCTTCCTACTTGGAATCCCATCAAAAGTGGTGTGATACTCTCGGAGTATGGGTAGGCTGTGTCCTATGAAGTGTTGTGCAGCTGCAAAAGCAGTCTTACGGCCCAGGGAAAGGATTACTTGTGAGTGAGGCTCGGCCCAAGCCTGTGGAGAGCGGCCGTGAGCATGGCGACAGTTGTGTTCTTGAGGTTTCTGGCTGCCGGGGCTGGGTCGCTTGGGGCGGGGAGGGGTCTCACCCACCCCCCTCTGGGGTGCCCCAAGTGAAACAGCCTGATGGAGGGTCTGGCGGCTGCATGGTTGTGGTAAGTGTCAAGTTGCTCCTTTCTGGGAGAGAAGGACATGTGATCTGGATGGTGGCTGATGGCGAGATTATCTGGCACCAGTCAGGAGTGGCTTATGGACGTGACTTGTTCTTGGTCCCATTGAACCCATAGTTCTCAGTCACAAAGTCCTGCATACCTGGGGTTTCTGGGGGTTCACTCCTGGGTGAGGCTTGGCCTGAGCATGTGGAGAGCAGCCGTGAGCAGGGCACTGGTTGAGTTCTGGAGGTTTCTGGCTGCTGGGACTGGGTCCCTTGGGGCGGGGAGTCGATGACCATCTTCTCCCCTGTCTGGGCTCTGACTGCCTCCTGGACATCGCCTGTGGGGGACCCGGTGCCCCCCGTGGCCTCACATCATGCTCCTTTCCTCTTTACACACCCTTTCTCCAAATAGTCGCATTCAAGGTTGAGGGGATTAAGACTAAACCTAGGAATTTCAAGAGGACCCAGTTCGGCCCATGGCAAGAGTGATATGATGCGAATGGGGACCCCAGAACTGTAAAAACGCTCCACAGAGCAGCGCATGAGTGTGGGTCTTGGCCAAGCGTCTGCAAAGCGCTTCTTACTGGTTGGAAGCGGACAGGGTTTCCTTTTGCTTGTTCAGAGGCTACTCCGTGCTTGGGGGACCAGGCCATGCTGAACCCCAGCCTTCCACCTGTGCACTCACCCTTTGAGCCATCTTCCAGCTTTGAAAAACTCTGCCGATATTTTTGGGCCACACCTGGTTGTGCCTCTAATATGGCAGCGTTGGGAAAGATTAGTAAGGTGAGGCTGCTAAAATCTCAGGGCTGGTGCAGAGAAGAAAGGCCGCTGGGCGGCACCACAGCTCCCGGAGAATGCACCAGGTCCCAAAAAGAGCCAAGATCACCGGGAAGTCCCAGATGGGGTAGGTGCCGCATCCCGCCTCCTCCAGATGGAACCCCGGTGACCATGAGCCTCTACAAGCATAGCTCGAGTATGTGGGAACTAGGACTTTTACTCCAAACCATGCGGCTGCTTACGTGGCCACGCGACATCTCTCTATATACAAAGTGATCAATGGAAAGTAAATCATCCAACGTTTCTCCCTGAAAATCAGGCTTAACTCTTATACAAACCACAACACCCAATAGAAGAGAGAACAAAACGGAATGCGCTGCCATAGAGGCAGAGTGGGATGGGGGGAATGGGGGGTGGGAGGGATGCTGGGATCTGTGGTGGTGGGAAATGGTCACTGGTGGAGAGATGGGGTATTCGAAATAAATTAATTAATTAATAAAAATAAAATAAAAAAATCTCAGGGCTGGAACAAATGAGACGTTACTGGTACCTGCTTGAGTAAATCGATGAACAACGGGATGGCAGTGATACAGTGATACCTGATTGTGCTGGGGGGCAGCGTCTCCTCCCAGACTGGTGCTTGGGAGTTACTCTGGACAGTGCTCAGGGGGGCCCATGGTGCTGCAGATGGAACCCAGGGCGTCACCCACATGCTGCTGTCACCTGCCCACTGAGCCATACCTAGGCCTGCCGTCAGCTCTCACAATAGTTGAGGTGCTTCCTGGGTGTATGATCCTTCCTGGGTTCAAGAAGCCTCTCTAGAGTGGAAGTGTGGTGCTCATGAGGAGATGCACCCAAAGAGTTTGCATGACTTGCCCCGTGGCCTACAGGCCAAGGGGAAACCCCCACCCCAAAAATCTAATTTCCTAATTCTATACATCATCAAAGCCAGTTTGTCATTCTTCTATCTTAATAGAGATGGATTTTTCTATACTATCAAGTGTGCTCACTTAAATATTCAAGTGAGTGAATTCAGTGAGTTCCAAACCCTTAATTGTATGCATCTGTGGACCACCCTCCCCAGCTCCCCCTCAACGAGGCAGAACATTTCTGTCATTCCAGAAAGTTCTTCCCTGGGCCTCCCTGGCCCACCCTCGAGGCAGCCATGGTTCGGATTTCCTGTGCTCCCGTTAGCCCTTGCTGTGCATGGCATCATACAGTGGGTGTGTGACTGTGTTTGCTTGGGTAGCTGTTACGCGTTGGGAACTGTGTCTGTGGTTGGACCTGGACCTGCAGGACCAGGACCTGCGGTGTTGTGGGGGCCTCTTCCCTGCTGTGAGGAGACCACAGTTCGCTTATCTGTCCACGAGCTGGTGGAAGAACCAGGCTGCTCTGAACAAGCTTCTTGGGGCAGACGGTTTTATCTTTTTATCGTTGGCCCCTTTGAACCTTTTTTTAAAAACTTGAGCACCATGAGATACAGTTACAAAGTTGTTCATAATTGAGTTTAAGTGATACAATGTTCCAATACACCCGTACTTTCACCAGCGCACATTTCCCAGCTACCAGTGTCCCCAGATTCCCTCCTGCCACCTCCCCCAAGTCTGCCTCTATAGCAGACACTTTTCTTCTCTCTTTTTCTCTCTGTCTCTCTCTATCTCTCTTTGTCTCTGTCTCACCCTTACTTTCCTTTTAAACGCTGTGGTTTGCAAGGCTTGCAATACTGTTCCTGAAAGGATATCGTGCAGATCACATGACCTCCCTTCAGCCTCAGTTCTTGTCCAGTGGGATCATTTGCATCTATCATCATCACTGTGTCCTAGCTGCTCTCCTCCTCTGCCTTGGTGGCATGCTTCCTTCCATGGACCAGTCCCTCTGGTCCTTGTTTCTACTGTCTTATTTTCAAACATATATTCAACTAATGTTTTTAAAAGAGAAAGCTTCTCATGAGGCATCAGCGGCAGCATGGCCGAGTCGCTCCTCATACCGGATGTTTGAGACTTAGAAGTGATGTTTGGGGACAGAAAAGGACATTCTGCAGACCTTGTAACCCATCTGCCCGGTGTGGTGGGAGGCGTGGCCCAGATGTGTGGGGGGGGAGGGGAGGAGAAGACAGGACACCTGTCACAGCCCTCCAAGCCGGGACGTGCCCGCTGCAGCCCGCCCGAGGCCACCAGCCGCCTTTCAAAGGCCTTTGTTCTTCTGTTCCTCCAAGCTGCAGTGTGGTGCTGTCTGCTGCCAGCCTGCTCTCAGGCTCTACGGCCTTTCATCAGAGCTGCATCCCGGGGACCCTCCTTTGCTGCCCTGCCAGCCTCCACCCCCACCCCAGGCTTCCTGGGCCCCTCCTGGCTTTGTAGTGAGCGTGGCTGGCCCCGGCCTGGGCTCTGGTCAGCACACATCAAAGGCAGGCTTGTGGGAAACCGTGTTCCAAGGCAGGTGGCTTTCTGGGGCTGAGTCACTCACACACACCCCAGACATTCAGAATGCACCCCCCCCCCCCCGTCAGAAGCCTACCCCTAGACCAGCTGGAGGTGAATGTAGGGTCGGAAAACACAAGCCCACTTTGGGAAACGGAGAAAACCCCTGGGCAGGGGCCTGACCTTGATTCTGGCTTCTGGCTCTCTCTCTGAGTCCCCTGTCCGCAGCCCCCTTTGGGGGTTCACGTGCAGCCAGGATTCCCATAGGTGGGTTGTCTTTGGACCTTCTGTTCCGATAGCGCCCGCCCGTCCCCACGGTGGTCTCTGGGGTGTGCTGGGCTGGTGGAGGCTCACGGGGTGGTCCCCAATGTGGAGCATCTCCAGAGTGCCCCCATGGCTACCTGCCTGGCCTGGAAAAGGTGTCCAGCCTCGCCAAGGCCGGAAGTGACCTCTCATCCTCACGGGGTCAAGGTCTCCTATGGACAGCCACTGTCCAAGACGCCTCTTTGCACCTTTATCGACCACTGGGCGGGAAAAGCATCTTCCTGTTGGGGAGGTTGTTGTCGGGTGTGGAAGGGTCGGGTCTGGGGTCACTTTGAGAACATTCACGGACTGCATCCCACTGCTGGGGAGCTGTCCAGCCTTGGGATGGCCGGGGAGCCCAGGTGTCAGTGCCTGTGTGTGTGTGTGTGCGACACTTGACCTGTTCCTGCATAGTCTCTGTCCTCTGCCCTTTGTCCCCAGCCAGCTGGGGAGAGGCTGAGCCCTCCCCATACCCCGAACACCCTGAACCCCAACCCATCCAGGCTATGATGCGACATGCCAAGTCACCTGTTCTGGGCACCTGGTCAATGAGGGCAGAGCCGGGATTCAGCCTGGGCCAGTGGTTCAGAGGAACCACTATTTCCCCCTTCAGCACCCCACCTTCTGGAATAATCTCCACCACGTGGAGCTGTCCCGGCCCGGGCGAGGCTCGGACTTCCTTGCCCAACCTCGTGATCCCTCGCTGAGGACTGTCCAGAAGATGCAGCCCCCCTGCTAGGACTCCCAGCGGGGCCAGGGAGCTGGACTGCCGCCCGCGCCTTTGGGCCAGGACGTGTGTTCGTGTGCATGCGTGTGCCTGAGATTGTGTCTGTGAGCACGCTCCACTCTCCAGATCACTGTTCCTCCTCCAGGTTTTCTCATCGGGATGTGATTTTATATTTTTATTATTTTGCTTTTTTGTCTGCATTTGAGATCAAAGCCTGCTTTGGGGTCAGCTTATTGGGGCCCTGCTGTTGGTTCTGGCCTCCACATGGAGAGCTGTGGGTTAAGAGCCCAGGAAGCTTTTTGGAACTATCTTCTTCTTCTTCTCTTTTTTTTTTTTTGCTTTTTTTGGGGTGGGGGTCACACCCAGCGATGCTCAGGGGTTACTCCTCGCTCTGCACTCAGGAGTTACTCCTGGCAGTGCTCAGGGGACCATTTGTTTTGTTTTGTTTGCTTTTTTTGGGGGGGAGGGTCACACCTGGTGATACAAGGGGTTACTCCTGGCTCTGCACTCAGGAATTACCCCTGGCAGTGCTCAGGGGACTGTATGGGATGCTGGGAATCGAAGTGGGCTGGCCGCGTGCAAGGCAAACACCTACCCACTGTGTTATTGCTCCCAGCCCCGCTCAGGGGACCATTTGGAAATGAACCCCAAACCAGCTTCATTTCTTGGTGCCACTTGGTCCCTGAGCATCACTCGGTGTAGCCCTGGAGGCCCCCAGCGCTCCGAGGACTTCCCAGGTATCCCCCACACTGCAGGGCCCACGCACCATCCCGTCCGGGCATTAAACCTGGGTCGGCCTGGTGCAAGACACTCTCCCCGCTATATTATTGCTCCGACCCTGGACCTGTCTTCTGCTCCAAATCTTTCTGTCCCACCATAGCTGAGAGCAGCCCTGGCTCTCTCCCCGACTGCTTCCCTGGTTCTTTGTGCAGCCCCTCTGCAGACCACAGCTGCCCTCCCCAGAAACACACACAGTTGCTCTGAGCAGGGACAGGATACGGCCTCGCTGAGCCCTCCAGCCCAGCACAGATGCTCCGTGCTTCTTTGCAAATGCACGGGAGAACCAGCTGTCCCCCAGGCTGTGCCTAGCCGACTACCATCCCAGTGCCAAGGTCACTAGACTTTCCTGCAACTGCAGAGAGGGTCCTCTCAGCCTCCTGTGGAACCCACCCACTGGGTGACAAGAGCCTGGCAACCCTCCGCATCAGTGTGGCTGATCCGAGCTCGCAGGACGCCCCAGGGAGCTGGTGAGACGGCCAGTTGGTCTGTTTGTGTAACTTCCAAATTGCCGCTTGGGCAAGGAGCAGCTGCTCAGACATCCCCAGGTCAAGCCGTCACCCTGTCTTGCCTTTCATAGTTTTGTGAGGGAGCCTGGGCTTAGTCAACAGGAGGAAGGGAGAAATACACCTCCAGTGAACATTAAACACCGTTTACAAAGCGCCTCCCTTCCATCCCTCTTTAGATCATTTTCTACGTCATCGGGGTGTTTTTATATGGCTGTGGTTTGCCTCTGTTTTCTGCTTTAGGGTATTTTGCCTCTGAAATTGCCGCATGTGCACGTTTCCACGTATGGTCAGCCTCTGTATTTGTGTCTTCGTGGTGAGGGTGTTAGAGCCACACCCAGCTGTGCTCAGGACTTTGTCCTGTGTATGTTGCCCAGGATCAAACCAGGGCTGGCCAACTGCAAACACCTTAATCCCGCTAGCATCTTTCTGCACTGCCTCCCACGCCCCTTACTATTTTGCTGTTAATGAAACTTGATTCCAAATCTTGGCTCCCTCTGTAAACAGCAGACAGACCACACTCATTTTCACAGCAGGATAGTGTCACTGGTAGAGGGACAGCTAGTCCCTATTAGTGGACATTCATCTTTTACTGTCTTCTTTAGAAAACAAACCAGGGCCGGAGGGATAGTGTAGTGGGTAGAGTGTTTGCATTGCACATGGCCAACTTGGGTTTGATCCCCGGCATCCCGTATGGTCCCCCCCCCCAGCACAGCCAGGAGTGATTCCTGAGTGCAGAGTCAGGAGTAAGCCCTGAGCATTGTCAAGTGTGGGCCCCAAAACAAAGCAGCAACAACAAAAAGGGTCTGGAGACATAGCATAGCAGGTAAGGCATTTATTTGCCTTGCTTGTGTCCGACTTGAGTTCGATTCCTGCCACCACATATGGTCCCCCCACCCCTACCCCTTGCCCAAGTTCTCCAGGAGTCATCCCTGAGTGCAGAGCCATGAGTAAGCAGGAGAACTGTGGGGTGTGGCCCCCAAACCAAAACAGAACAACAACAACAACAAAAGAAAACAAAGTAACTCATGCACTGTGTCAATGAAGACTCTTAAAATTGAGAGATTTCCTGTTGGAGTTCATCTTCAGGGGTGAGGCTTGCACATTTCTGCATGTTGGCAGTCTGCTTCTCTTTCCTCCGAGGCTGCAGAGGAGAAACAGTGATCACAGAGGGGGCTGGGTTGGGTAACAATCGTAGTACATAGGTCGGGTAACAGTCGTAGCACATGCTCAAACAGGGTTCATTTCCTGGCACCACCTGGTCCCTGGATCAATGCTGGGTATAGGCCTCCAGCACTCCAAGAACTGCCCAGGCCCTTGCTCGGAACCACCAGCCTGTTGGCTGAGAATCGCTGGTCGACACTGATGGAACAACCCCGGGGCCGCCTGAGCACTGAGTTGCCTCCTCCCCCCTCCACTCTCCTTACAAAAGGAAAATATCCCAGAAGGAACTGAAGAAGCACAAACTTCTGGCCCAGGAAGAAGTGAGGCATGAAAGAAATCCTAGTTTGAAAAGAAACACTGGGAGCACCTCAGGTATCCCCTGCTCTCGCCTCTCACAGACTCCAGCAAGTCCTTCCATCAAGCAGAGGCCAGGGGCCGTGGCTGGGCCGTGACTGTGTGACGCTTCATGCCACGCTTCTCTGTAAACGGAGCCTCCAGGGAGTACTGCCCCGTGCCTCAGACTGATTTACTTAAATCTTGGATGCTTCCCTTACTATTTCCAATGCCCTCAATACATGAGCTTGGTATTCTTAGAAAGTCCAGCGTTGAGTAGGACCAGACTCTGTTTCGTCATCTGTGTTTTCCTGCCTGGGCATCAGATGAGAGAGCGGAGAAAGCCGGGGTAGGTGTTTTGCTCAGTCGGGTGCCACTGGTGGCAGACCATGGCCAAGGTCCCTCCCCAACCACCCACCCACACACACACACACACACTTTTGATGCCTTCTGTGACCGCCCACACTCTCCTGGAGCCAGGCTCCAGCACAGGAATGGCCCAGGACTGGCCACCGCTTGGACATCTTCAATTTGTGGCTCACCCACTTTAGACCGCCTGGCCCCATGCCCCACTGCTGCGGCCCTGGGCATAGCGGTTAGCTCCAGACCGGTCCCGGCCAGGGCGGGTCCCTCAGAGGCAGCTGTGACTGGCAGGTGATGGAGAATGTATCCCCGGCGCTGCCCTCCTGCGCCTTGGTCCTCAGGACCCTTCCTTACTGGCGTCTGTGCGGCCCGCGGCCCGGGTCTCATACGGAGCCTCTTTCCCAAGGAGGAGTCGGAGCCAGCTTCCTTGGCTCACACAAGGCGCTCCCACCACTGGAATTTAACAGCCACAAGTTTCGAGGAAATGCAGATTGAGGAATGTTCGAGGCAGGCAGAGAGGTTCCTAAGAGGGCTGAGAGGACGGGGAAGCCGCTCTGTGGGTTTCTGGAAAGAGGGGTTTGGAAGCGTTGGGAACCAAGCAGGTGGAGGCAACCAGCTCTGCCCTGCTAGGAACACGATGGACGTGAGGGCACCTGAGCAGGGTTGATTCTCACAGAGGACAAAGGCTGGGCCGCCCCCAGCTGTGGTCAAGACGGAAGAGCAGTGGCCACAGGGGTCTGGGGTCTGGTTCTGACCCCCCCCTCCCCACGTGCCTGTGCCTGTCCACACCCAGAGCTGGGGCTCTCGAGGCCTCAGCCAGTAGCAACACCTCCGTAGGTCCTAAACATATTGAACCTCAGTGTCACCTTTTCTATGGCGACTTGGCAGGGCTGACCTCTGTCAGCTCATTCAGATTAGAGTGAGAGTGATTGGTGGAAGGGCGTGGAGGTGATCGAACTCCTCAGAAGCCCAGAGAACATGCCTCTCTGTGGGATACGAGCCCTTTGAGCACCTGGAGGTGGTTCTCCCACTTTGGACTTTCCTGAAGACCCTCACCATCCCTCTTGACCCTCCCTCCTCACCACTCTCCCCCCCACCCCACACACACCATCCCCCTGCTTCATTTCTTCCATCGCAACCCGGAAGAACAGCTAGGCATTTCATGCTGCGGGTCGTATGTCGACACTCTCGATAATGGGCTCTTTCAGCCCAGCTGCAATGTGTGTTTTGACAGGAGCCAGGCAGATGACAGACCCCCCCACCCCGACCCCTGGGAGCCGCTGTCTCTCCCCGGAGTTTTTTCCCTTCGTGAACTCACACGGTTCCGTGTCTCGATTCTCCCTCCGCAGGTGCCGATGAAGAGTACATTTATATGAACAAAGTGACGGTCCCCCATCAGCAGAATGTGGATCCCCCTGATAGAGGTACATTGAGGGGCGGGGGGGGGGGCTGGGACCACTTCTGGCCCCGGAGGCATAGCGGTGTCAGCCCAGGACTTCCTCCCCACCAGCACCACAGTTGGGCCTCACGGAGTTATTTTTGGAAGTCCCATTTTGGTCGATGGTATTTTGGGTTGATATATTTTGGGGCCATTTCCTCCGGCCGCCTCCTCGTCTCTGAAAGGTCTCATGTCCCCGTCATGGGTGAAGAATCTGGCCCGCGCGTCCCTCGGTTTTCCCACCGGCCTCTCAGGAATGGGAAGTCGTAACTCAAAGGGGCGAGACGGTGGCGGGCTGTGTTGGGGGGCCCAGCCCGGGGGTCAAGCTGATGTCACCGTAGGGAAGTCTGGGTCTAGAGGGGCAAGGGGGATGTAAGGAGGAGAGGAAAGGGTGAGTCAGCCGCTGCGGGAGCACTCACACGTTTGGATCAAGGACACTTTCTCAGGCCGACACGGGAGTGACTGCCACAGGGACATGTTGTTTGCTGCTTCTGCTTTTCTCGAAAATCTGCAGGCGGGCCGAGGGAGGGCCAGGCAGAGAGGCCCAGAGGTTTGCAGAGCAGGGGGAGCTGAGACCGCCCCCCCCCCCACCATCTCCCAACTCCTCAGCCAGTGCCCCCAAAGCAAAGGCATAGAGGGGCAACCCAGCACCCCAAAGCCTTGAGCCCTTGAGCCAAGCCAAGTGCAAGACCTGGTTGAGTGCAAGCTACTGGCCCGGGAGCCCCGAGGTCACATCTGCCTGCACCACATGCCCCGGGATGGCCTGGCTTGCTGGAGCCTTTGGTGTTTTGTCCATAAACCCCGGGTGGTGAGTTTGGTGACCCAGGATCTCACAGTGCAGGGGGCGTGGTAGAACTCCTGCAAACGCCCTCTCATGCCCAAGGGCTTCTGGCTGATGGGGCCAAAAGGGCTGGTGCCAAGGCAGCTCAGTCTAGTGTCCAGGTGCTGGGGCCTTGTGGCCGGACTCCAGGCAGGTGGACTTGAGGGTGTCAGAAATCCCCGCAAGGTTCCCGCTGAGGAAGCTGCCAGAGCCGGGCGCTATTCCGGGAGGAAAAACCACATGGGCCCAGGGCCGCCCACCTGGGTAATTAGCACCTGCTCAAATAGAATTCTTGGCCAGCTGCTGACCAGACATTCCTGGATAATGAGAGCTTAAGGCCAGTTCCTCACGGAGCCTTCTCCCACTTGCTGCCCACAGCACCCCAGGACCCAAGCCCGCTCACCAACGGGGAGCCTGCCCAGCACTCCTCGGCCCCCCAGAAGAGTCTTCCTGACCTCCCGCCACCCAAGATCGTAAGTGCTGCTCCTGGAACCCTGGCTGCCCTGACCTGGGCCCCCCGAGCTTCCATTGTTGCCATGGGGTCTGTCCATCAAGGGTCTGGCCTCTGGGCTCCTGTGCGCAGAGCACGGGGGGGTTGAGGGTCTCCCTGCAGGTGCCTCAGCTCTGAGGAGGGTGGGCAAGGGGGCTGCTCTCCAATGCCCCCCGGTCTGAGCTTCTGCCCTAGTACGAAAGCAGGAACTGGGCATGTCCACCCGTGGTCACAGCCTTTTGGAAATGTAAATCATAGCACAAGTTGCTTGGACACCTCACCCCTCCCCTGCGTGGCTTTCACTGACCTTGGCAATAAACCCGTCAGAGGCTCTCCCTGCAGCCCAGTGGCCTCTGGGTGCCTCTCCTGCTCCATCTCCTCCTCTCTCCACCAAGCCCCCCCCTCGGTGCCCAGCAGCCACCAGGGATGCATTGAGGCCTCAGATCCCGGCTCTGAGCTGACACCCACCCTCTGGCCTGCCTGCAGAAGGCGTCCTCCTCCGCCTTCTCCCCACTGTGTCCGTGCCGCCACCAAGTTCCCCACGTTGATGGGACACGCGGTCTCGTGTAATGTTTGCCTCCAGACCAGAGCTGCCTCCAAGGCAGGGACTGGGTCTTGTTGACTTCCCGGGCCTCTGTCTGCTCACAGGAAGGAGGCCAGGCTTGCATATATGTGCTGGGACGGATGGTGGACTGGGAGGAAGTGTGGGGAGGGAGGGAGGGAGGGAAGAAAGATGGATAGGACGAAGAATGGATGGCTGGATAGGAGAGATGGATGGATGGGGAGAAGGATGGATAGGAGGAAGGATGGAAGAACTGATGAGTAGATGGGTGGATGGATAGAAGGATGGATGGTGATATTTGCACAGAATGATGGATGGAGGTAAGGATGGATGGAGAGATGGGCGGAGTGAAAGAGCACATGCACAAGTGAGTCCCACATCCCAGCTCTGCCTCTTGACCTCGAACAAGTTTTTGCAGATCTCGGACCCTTGATTCCTGGCTGTGAGAGATATGAGGGTGTCTGTCACAAGATTGTCTCGGCGGCTGGGCCATGCTTGTGGCATCCTTGATTCGTGTCCAGTGAGGGGAGTGGCCCCAGACTTACAGGGAGAGACTGGCCACCCCAACACTCTCCTTGGCCCTCCCTCCCAGACAGGACGGCTGACCCCCAGTGGCCTGCAGCCCGGCCTCTGTCCCCACTGTCCTGCTCTCACTGCTGCAGTTTGTCCTTGGGTGCTGGGTGCATCTCTCCCCGGGGCCCTCACAGGCCACTGCGTGGACACAGACCCGGATCCCCTGCATGAGGTCAGGGCCTGCTGGGGGGCTGATCTGGTGGTCAGGCTGCTGGGGGACTGCAGCCCTGCCAAGGGGACTGTGTCCTCTTGGCTCTTAGGAGACCACGCTGGGGCATTGGGCAGCTCTTGCTCACACTGACCCCTGGACACGCCCCAGGAAGGGAAACAGCACGAGGTGAAAGTCATCTCCAGGTGCCAGTTGGGGGCAAAGGGGATCTGCTCCAGAAACCCCTCATCACGGTCTTCCTTCTGGGGCTGCTCAGATTCTCAGCACCACCAGGTGTGGCCCCAAAATCACTAAAGCCAGGGGTGGACTGCATTAGAACCACTGTTTCTACCCCAGGGCACTCCCTTGGCCTGCCACACCATGACACTGAAGCCGTCGGAGGCTCATGTGAACAGTGCTCCCTTGTGTGTGACCTTCTGCAGCCGGGTCTGGGCAGGGCGACCTCCTGTCTCCCAGGGCGCCTGCTGAGAGCCGCCTCCGATGGCTGGCCCCATGGAGGGACAGACAAGGGTTTTCCGCTCACCACTTCTGTGTGGCCATGGGGGTCATCCTCCCCAGGGCGTCCACGGCCACGGGCTGTGTCCAGGCTCAGGCTGTGCCTCGGTGCAGGTGCGCCTGGGAAAATCAGCCCCAGGACTCAGTGCTCTGGGTCCCAATTGTGCTGCACCCCGCCTCAGGGCGTATCTCCCCCTAGCTCTGGCCCCGGGCATCATGCACTTGACCTGGACACGGCCGGTCTCTCGCTGGTGGCCTCAGGACCAACGCCTGCATGGCCACCCACGAGTTTGTGGGAGTGCTGAGACATTTGCAGAGTCAGTGCGTAAACACGCCCGAGACGAGCTCCTGGCTCTAGAGCCTGCGCCTTCCTGGGGAGCAGCGCGGGGGGAGTGTGCCTGTTAGGCCACGCCCAGTGATGCTCGGGGCTCCCTCCCGATTCTGCAGTCAAGGATCCCTTCCGGCAGTGCTTAGGGCACCATCTGCAGTGCCAGTGTCGGCCACATGCTGGGCAGGTGCCTTGTGGCTGCCTTATTGCCCTGGCCTGCCCCCGACACGGCCCAGCAGCTTTCCCGACTCTGCTGCGTGCCACGGATCATGCGCACACGTGTCACGGATCATGCACATATGTGCCACAGGTCATGCACACACAATTGGAGCCTTGTTCTGCAGAGAGAGGGAGAGAGAGGCAGTCGGACTCAGTGGTGTGTGTAGTTGTTTGTGGGGAGGTGAGCTGTGTGTGTTGCTGAGGTTCTCCTGTGTGTGTGTGTGTGTGTGTGTTGGTGTAGGGTGTGTAGGGTACCTGAGTATGTTCTGAGGTTTGGTTGTGTGTGTTTATGTGTGTGTATATGTATGTTTAATTGAATCACTGTGAGATACACACTTACAAACTTGGTCATGATTGACTGGGCTTCAGTCACGTCATGTTCCAACACCCATCCCTTCACCAGTGTACATTCCCCACCCATGTCCAGTGTGTGTGTTTATATGTGTGTTTGTGTGCGTTTATATGCTCTGTTTGTGTGGCTTCTTTGTGTGTGTTTGTGTGTCTATATGTGTGTGTTTATATGTGTTTGTGTGTTTATGTGTTTGTGTGTTCAAATGTGTTTTTGTGTTTATATGTGTTTTATATGTGTGTGTTTATATTGATACTTGTGTTTTGTGTGTTTGTGTGTATGTTTATGTGTGTGAGTGTTTGTGTGTCTTCCCGCTACCTGTTGGCAGTTGTGGTTTTCCACGTCCCTCGCCTCATGGACTTGAGTCCAGCCGCACGTCCTTCTCCTCCCGCCTCTCCCTGCCACACTCCCCCCTTCGCATCAGCCGCAGCTGCCCCGTGTCACTTCTGACACGTCTGCTTGCCCCACAGGTCTCAGAGCGCAAGCAGCTGCCCATCCCGAAGACCGACACCCCGGAGGGCTACTATGAAGAGGCCGAGCCCTACGACGCGTCCCTGAACGGTACCTGGGGTGGGCACCCCCCACCCCTGCGTGCAGCCTGTCCTGAGCTGGGTCCTGAGCTGGAGCCCCGGGTCTGCTGGATGCTGACGCCACCGGGCCCTGTGTGGGAGGGGTGGGGAGGGGCAGGGAGCTGGTTCACTGTGTCTCCAGCCTGGGCATGGCTGGAGTCAGTACCCGAAGGGCAGCAGGTGTCGGACCCAGGAGAACAGCATGTGGTGGTTCCCGGGCTCTGCCCTGGGCTGTGTTGTCACAGTGCTCCCCGCTGTGGTCATGCTTGCTTCCAGTCACCGGGAACTCAGCAGTGCTCGAGTCTCTGAGAACAGACACTCGGGGCTTGTCGGGGAGGAAGTGAGGCACCCACCTGCCTGATCATGTGATCCCGAGAGATTTCTGCATGAGTTGGGAGGCGGGGTCAGAAATCCACAGCAAGCTCAGTGCGTGCAAAGGCCCTGCGGCAGGAGCACTCTGGGGAAGGAGCATTCGGGGCCAGTTGAAGGAGCAGCCAGGAGGGCATGTTTGGAGCCAGAGTTGCAGGAGAGAGAAGACAGGGACCAAGGGGCCTCTGTGTCTGGAGGGGGGCTCCATGATGGACCTGCCTTACGTATAGCAGACAGCCTGCAAGGAAGGAACCTCAGTGACAAGGGCAAGTGTGAGGCTCCTCCCCCGGCCCACGTGTCACACAACCTCCATCTGTCTCCATCTCTCCTGGCCAGGGGCTTCCAGCTGCAGGGACAGAACAGCCTAGATCCTGGAAAGGCTCCCAGACAGGGTCCCAGACAAGGTGGCCATGACACTCCTCTGGGGGCCACTGGACACTGTCCTCCTTCCTGCCCGCATCATCTGGCCAAGACAACTGGCCCCCTGGGACCCTGTGCGGGGGCCGCCCCCTCCCTGCTCCCTCTCCCCTGATACCCCCCCGCCCCCCATCCTGGGAGCCGTGTGGGAGGCCGCGTCCCCTCCAAGGCCTGCATGGACGGCAGGGAGTGTGGTGTGCTGGGCCCACTGTGATGGCCCTGGAGGGTGTGGCCCCGCTGTCTGGGCGCATCTGGGAGGCAGCAGCTGTGACTCACCCCGCAGTCTCTCTCGGTCTCTACCAGGTGAGGCCGTGCCAGCCCGGACCTGTCTCAGGGCGCTCCGGAGGGCGGGGGTGGACACTGGCAGGTGATGATTGGGACAAACTGAGTTGCGACAACTGCCCCGAGTGGGGTTTAGAATGGGGCGCTGGGGCGTGGCCCCACAGACCCCACTGGTGGGACTGTTCATCATGGGGGCCACAGTGGGGGCAGGTTGGGGGTCCTGACCTCTTAGCGCCGAGCCTTCCTGAGGACCACAGCTTGTTCCCAAGGGGACAGATCAGCCCTGTGTCCATGCCTCGGCTGCAGAGATGGCACCGCGGGGAGAGAGCCTGCAGGGTGTGCAGCTAACCTGGGTTCACTCCCCGGCCACCCTGCACGACCCCCTGAGTCCCTCCAGGAGTGATTCCCGAGCACAGAGCCAGGAGTAATCCCTGAGCACTGCCGAGTGTGGCCCCAAAACAAATAGATTCAGCCAGAAATGGTGCCCCCTGACCCCCTGCAAGTCTCTGGGCTGGGGAGAGCCAGGGCCAGTGTCCTGCAGCAAGTGGTGGACAGCGCATGGCCTGTGCCCACCCCCCGGTCAGTCTGTCTCTGTCCCTTTTCTGTCTCTCCTCTATCTCTGTCTCTCCCCCCACACACACATCTCTATCACTGTCTCGTCTCCCCTCACCCCCCTGCGCCCTGCTGGCCAGAATATCTCTCTCCCCCTCGCCTCTGCCCATCCTTCTGATATCACACAGGTCGCCCCGGCCGATGTCCCCCCACTGGAGTCCCCAGCTGGGTGCAGGCGCCCGAAGGAGTCATTTACGCCACCATCACCCTGGGTACTGCTTCTCCCCGGAGACCCGGTGCCTGTGCCTGCCTCTCAGAGACGGGGTGCATGCCGTGGGGGTCCCACCCTCGTGTGCGGGGGGTGCAGAGCCTGCATGGTCTGCTCTTCCCCCCACCGCCTGGCCATGGAGGGGTGCAGTCAGGAGAGAGCACGGGGTCACCTTCCCTCCGCTCCTTTTCACCCTGTGACTTCTGGGAGCTGGAAGACCGTCCGCATTGGATCATTTCTCAACCCTTGACCCTCCGAGTGCCCTCTGACCTCAGTTTCTTCCCCTAAACCACCGGAATGTGGTGCTCACCCAGGCCCCCTTGGGATGTGTGTGGGGGCTTCTCTGCATGCCAGTCGTCCTGGTCCGGGCTCTGGGCTGTCAGGAACACCATGTCAGCCCTTCTGCCCACTCACCCCGGCCGCTCTGGGTAGCCCTGTGCCCCCGTGTGACTGCGTCCCTGAAGGTGGGTGGCAGGTGAGAATTCTCCCTGCTGCCATGGAGCGAGGGGCTGGTGCTCCCTGCAGACAGCCTTCTCCCGAGCCGCGGCCTGGGTCGCGGGTGTGGGTGAGAAGGAGGGACCTGTGCCCAGTGGCAGGGACACCTTCGTCCATCAGTAGAGCCTCCCAAGGGTGCTCAGGGGGCCGGGGACACTCCTGGAACCACTCAGCCAACGGCCGACTGGTTCCCTGCTCAGGGCCAGCATGCCAGGGCCCTGGGCTCCACCTGGGAGTGTTCTGGGGGTCTCACAGCCCAGGAAGAAGCCAGGGGTGACACCCCGTAGCTGCTTCCTGGCACTAGCCCCTTCCTCGCGTTAGATGACAGAGGGCCCCAAGAGTAGGGCACCAGCTTGTGCGAGGCCAGTGGGTGTCTGCGGGCAGTATCTGCCCCAGGTGGACTCCGTGGTAACAGGACTGGAGGAGGCACAGGGGCAGACTGTGGGTTTTGGCCATGGCCATGGCCAGGCCGGGAACTCTGCCCTGTGTGTGCTTGCTGGTGGCAAGACCTGCTCCAGGGCCCAGCTGGGCGGGGGACCGCAGGGCATGGGAGGAGGGGACAGGGGAGTATGGCCTGGGGTCCCCCACGCTGCCTGCACCTTCCGGAACCAGCTGGCGTGCTGGGACCGGGAGGACCCCGACCTGACCTTCTAGAAGTTTCCGGTGGTGTTCGGCCTGGGACCAAGCCTGGCTTCTTTGCAGAGGACGGGGAGGCCGTGAGCAGCTCCTACGAGTCGTACGATGAGGAGGAGAACAGCAGGAGCAAGTCCGCACCCCACCAGTGGCCCTCACCTGAGGCCAGCATCGAGCTGATGCGTGATGCCCGCATCTGTGCCTTCCTGTGGCGGAAGAAGTGGCTGGGCCAGTGGGCCAAGCAGCTGTGCGTCATCAGGGACTCCCGGCTGCTGGTCAGTCGGCCATGCGGCCTGCCCGCTTCCTGGGGGGTCGGGGGGGGGGGGGCACCGGGTTTGGGGCAGTGCCCAGTGGGGCCTAGAAATCAGGTGTGACTCCTCCCAGGACTGCAGGTGTGGGTGGGGTTATACACACGCAGCAGCGGGCTTGGCGTTGGTGTGGCGCTGGGCATTGAACCCGGGACCTCACAAGCCCTGCCCCCGACAGAATGCCCGGGACTGAGGGTTTGGGACACCAGTGATTACAGCCGTCCGTTCCCCGTGGGGCCTGAGCCCAGCTGGCCGGCATCCTGGAAGGGGCTACACGGGATCTTTGTGTTGGGGGTCTATGCCAGGTGCCGTGTGGCACCTACTACCCAGCCAGGGCACACCCCCTCCCCACCCATTGCCCCACCCAGCCCTGGTCATGGCCTGCAGGGGCTCAACCTCAGGCATCTCTTCAGAAGTTGAGCCATTTTGTGGGACCCACAAAGGCCTTGGGAAAGATTTCCCCGCACACTCGGCCATGTCTACCACAGCTGACCTGGTGGGTGATCCTGAGGGCCTCAGAGACCCCTTGCTCTACCTCTCTCCACCGGGCAGCTCAGTGCTGGCCCCATTCGGTGCTTGCAGGGACCCCCATCTTCTAGATGCAAATGGTTGGGGGGAGGTGCTCTGCCCTGGGTGCAGGTCCTGGGTGCTGCTGGGGTCCCCCAGCCTGAGCCTCAAGGCTGGGATGTTGAGAAAGGGCGCAGAAGAGAGCGGGAGCAGAGTATGGGCAGGGGGTGCCCACAGAGCAGGGGGTGTGCAGGGTGCCCACAAAGCAGGGCATGGTTGCGGGGTGCCGGGGGATAGGAGCAGGGCATGGGTGCTGGGATGCAGGGGTGGAGCCCCGGCCCAGGGTGCCGACCAAGCAGGGCCCTGCAGACCTGCTAGAGCAGCCTCCTCCCCCTGCCCCCCGGCAGTGCTACAAGTCGTCCAAGGACCACAGCCCCCAGCTGGACGTGAGCCTGCTGGGCAGCAGCGTCGTGCACAAGGAGAAGCAGGTGCGGAAGAAGGAGCACAAGCTGAAGATCACGCCCATGAACGCCGACGTCATCGTGCTGGGGCTGCAGAGCCGGGACCAGGCGGAGCAGTGGCTCAGGGTGAGGCCCCGCGGACACCCCCCCACTGAGGCCCGTCCTTGCATGCAGGTGCCCACGCCAGCACTCGCAAGTGGACACATACACGCACACACACACACAAGCACGCACATACACACATGCACACACATGTGCACACACACGCACACATACACACGCACACACAAGCACACGTACACACACATGCACACACAAGCACGCACATGCATACATGCAAACACACACACATGCACACACAAGCACACGTACACACACATACACACACACAAGCACGCACATGCATACATGCAAACACATACACACATGCACACACAAGCACACATACGCACACGTGCACACACAAGCGCACATAGCACATACACGCACACATGCGTGCACACACATACAAGTGCACATACACATGCACACACATACACAAGCACACACGCACACATGCAAACACACAAGTGCGCACACGAACACACACACACACACACACCATCCCCAACAGTTACCAGTGCTCCCCACCCAACTCCCACACCTTCTTCCGGAGACCCCACAGTCTTGCTGCTGCTCGAGGAGCAGGGAAGCTTCTGGAAGACTCAGTCCCCAGGTCAGAGGGCCCATGCTCACGCCTCGCGGCTAATATGGGTTAGACGGTCAGTGAAGACGGGACCAGAGTCCAGGGAAGAAAGGCCCAAGGGGCCCTTGCAGAGCCGTAGCCTGCTGCCCCGAATGGTGTCCGGGGCCCAGGCTGGCTACAGCTGCCTGGATGCCTGTGGACATGCCTTTCTGGGCAGTACTGGACATGCTGCCCTCCCGGCCCCTCTCGGCTGGGTCCCTAGGATGCCCTCTGGGGTCTGCGGGCCACAGGCCAGTGCTGGAGGCTGCTGGGCAGTGGCGAGGCCACGGTCTGCAGCACCCACAGCCCTTCCTGCTGGTTCTCTGCAGAGCCCATACCCTGCCCCGCCTAGCTGGGGTCTGCAGCAGGCTCTGAGCTGCGCATGCAGGGTCTCTGCTTGGGCTCCAGGGGGCAGCGCGGTGGCCTGTGCTGGACGCCCCCCCTGGGAGTCCCACAGTGCCACTTGCCTGGCCAGGTGCTGGTGGCCGGTTAGAAGCTCCTTCCCCAGGAGGGTGGATGGGCAGTGCTGGGCAGTCTGAGAGCTGGTGCTGGGTTGGTGGTCTACATGGTCTGCAGGCGCCCTATGACCCCTGTCTGTCTGTCTGTCCGACCAGGGCCATCAGCCCTGCGACAGAGCCCCCTGGCACTGGAGCAGGCCTGGAGGGGCCCCTGGGCTGGGGGCATCCGGGCCATCTGTGGACTTTCCTGCAGACCCCTCCCTTCTTCTCACCCCTAGGATGCTTGTGGGGGGCCAGGAACTGGGACCCCCACCCCATGCCCATCACATCACACCCAGCTGGGTCCCAGGGCCACCCTTGGGCTAGCGGAAGCCACTCTGCTCCTTGGTAGGGGCGTCACCTCCCACCTGTCCCCGTGTCCCCCAGCTCTGGGGGGCTTTGCTTCACGTGGCACGGACGGCAGGGCCCCGGCTGACCCCCTGCCCGTCTCTCCCTAGGTCATCCAGGAGGTGAGCGGCCTGCCATTCGAGGGCACGTCCGAAGGGAACCAGTACACCCCAGATGCCCTGCGTCTCAACTGCCAAAAGGTAGGACCCCAGCCGGGAGTCCAGTGGCGCTGTACCCTAACTCCCAGCCGCCCCCCCATACACACACACATCTCCGGCCATGACACCCGTAGCGCCCAGGAGAGGGCGCTCTTTCCTCCAAGGCTCTCTTGCCTCTTGCTTCCCCAGGATGTGCGGGGGCCTGGGGGCATCGTCTTGATGTCTTGATGTTGGTCCCAGCTCCTGGGTCTGTGTGCGGGGCACTGTGGTCCCCCCTGGTTGTGGGTCAGAGCCAGGCAGTGGAGCTGGCACTGGCTGAGATCGGGCCATCACCCTGGGGCTATGTTGTGTGCCCACCAACACCAGTACCTGCAGGGAGGTGCCCAGAGCCTGAGTGGCCACGGGACAGTCTCACCATGGGCCCCCACTCCAGGCAGGGGGAGGTGTGCAGGACAGAGTGTCTATGGGGGGGGGCAGCCCCTGTGGAATGGAAGAGGGGGCTGCCCCTAGCTTTGTCCTCCTGCATCAGAGACTGACCAGACCTTGGGGGTTACCAGCCCGGGGACTCTTCTTCCCCCATTGTGTCCCCAGAGGCCTGGAGCGGGGGCTCTCTAGGACGGGGTGAACTGGAGACTCATGGGGTCCTCATCCATCCGGGACAGGGCTATGGACAGGGCCATCACCAGGAGTCTGGGAGACCAACCATCTCCGCGCAGGGCTGGTCGCACTCACTGAGAACTGGGGTACACTGTCACCCCTGCATGTTGGAGGGGCTTGGGACCCCCCCAACACTGCTGCAGTGTGTGGGTCCCCACTTTGGTGGCCTTAGCCACGGGACCCCGACGCCTCCCCAGGGCCGGCTCCCTGCAGAATCTCCACGTCTGAGCATCTGTGAATGAGGCCCGGAGCATGGGGACATTCTGGATCGGGAGAAGGAACTTCAGGGAAGGGGGCAAAGCAGGTCCCCTTGAGTCCCCCAGGAACTTTTTGTCTCCCCTGGGACCTGACCCCAGCCTGGGCCAGCCAGCCTGCCACCACTGCTGACCCTCTTGCCATGTGCTCAGACAAGCTGACCCTGAACCTCTGCCCCGCAGCCCGACCTCACGGAGAAGTACATGCCCGCCTCTGAGTACGGGAGCCCCATCGACGGCCACTTGGACGTCCCCGAGACCAAAGATGGTATCAGTGCACCTGATTCTCAGCGCCATTTGGGAGGGGGCGGTGTCTGGCATGAGGCTGCGCCCTGTGGGGTCCTGCAGCAGTTCTGGCAGAAGAAGGGGGCCGGGCCGAGTGGCCAGAGGGGAGAAGCTCAGATCTCTGCTGCTTTACCCCCCCCCCGGGCCCATTCCCATCTCTGGGCCTGGTTCCGCTCCCTGGCACATGTGTGAGCCTGTGGCTGCCTGCATGTGTGTGTGCACATGTCCATGCCTGCATGCACGTGTATACTGGCATGTGTACATGCCTGTGTGCGTGTGTCTGCCTAAGTCCACATGTGCACGTGTGCCTGCATGCCTATGTCTGCAAATGTGTCTGCCCGCATGTGGGCATTGAATGCACCTGACAACGTGTGTGCATGCCTGTGTGCCTGCATGTGTGCGTGCATGTGCACCCCTGACTGCATGTGTGCATGTGTGTGTGCCTGCATGTGTGTGTCTGTGATTGTGTGTGATTGTGCATGTGTGCACCTGACTACGTGTGTGCATGCCTGTGGTGTGCCTGCATGTGTGCGTGCATGTGTGCGTGCATGTGTGCATGCATGTGTGCGTGCATGTGTGTGCATGTATGCGTGCATGTGTGCGTGCATGTGCACCCCTGACTGCATGTGTGCATGTGTGTGCCTACATATGTTTCTGTGATTGTGTGTGATTGTGCATGTGTGCACCTGACTGCGTGTGTGCATGCCTGTGGTGTGCCTGCATGTGTGTGTGCGTGTGTGTGTGCACGTGTGTGTGCATGTGCATGTGCACCCCTGTGTGCATGCGTGTGTGCCTGCATGTGTATGTGTGTCTGTGATTGTGCATGTGTGTGTGCATGTGCACCTGACTGTGTGTGTGCATGCCTGTGTGTCTGCATGCATATGTGCACGTGTGCGTGTGTGTGTGCTGCATGCGTGTGCAGAAAGTGGTCCTGGTTCCCGAGGGCACAGGACCGGGGACTGCGTGCCCCGACACTGACAGCTTTTCCTTCCCACCTTGACAGTCAAGAAGAAGAGTTCCGCTGGCCTCAAACTGAGCAACCTCATGAACCTGGGCCGGAAGAAATCCTCCTCGCTGGAGCCCCCGGAGCGGTCCCTGGAGACAGCCAGTAAGGGCGGGCGGAGGGTCCCTGACTCACAGCAGCATCCTGTGTTGGTCTTGGTGACAGCGGGGGCACCCATGGGTGAGGACAGTGGGGACAGGCCAGCCTGAGGCTGTGAGCTAGAGAAGGACTCGCCACACCAATGCTCGGGCTGCTTCTGGTTCTGTGCTCAGGGATCACTCCCAGAGGTGCTCGGGGGACCATTTTGGGTGGCAGGGATTGAACTCAGCCATTGGCGTGCAAGGCGGGCACCCCCAGGGCTCTTCAGCCCGTCCTGCCCATACCACAGGCTGCTCCCCGTCGGGGCTGTAAGTCCTCACGGGACTTGGTGAAAGAAAACTTTAGCCACTCAGTGACTCGAACTAGCTTCCTGGGCCCCAGTCACCTCTTCTGGACTGGCACCCGTGGCAGGACCCATCTTTGGGCACCCCGAAACCCCATTTCCTGCTGCTCTGTGAGGCTGGTTGAGGGAGTGGGTCGGGGATCTCCAGTTCTCCAGCCAGGGATCAGCCCAGCTGGACCCGTCAGCTCTGGGCGCCTCTGGGGGCACCCCTCCATCTCAGCGTGGGAGCACCACTGACTAATTGCTCAGTGTCTGGGGTTCCGTGGCGCCTGTCCTGCTCCCTGGGGGTTGCCAAGGTTCAGCTTTGGGCTGTCACACAGGCAGGGCAGACCCAGCCTGAGAGAACCTGCACCCAACCCTTCCAGTCGGCTAGAGTCATGCGTGGCCCGGGCGTGGGCTGAGCACCCTGGATCTGCTCTGGGGATGCAGTGACTGTGCGCTGTGGCCCTCAGGCTGGACATGCCCCTCATAGCCTCTGAGCGAGTGGGCGGCTTAGCTGCATGGAACTCAGGCCTCCCGAGACTTGGTGTTGCCCCTGCTGTGGCCCAGGTGATAGGCCGGGCTGGGCCCACGTGGGCAACTTCTCTCCCTGTCCCATAAAGGCTGGGGCAGGGTCGTGCCCCGGGATGGGAGCCAACACCTCCCACCCCGAGAAGCAGCGTGCATGGGGGGCACCCAACTCCCACCCTCAGAGACTGTCCGCTGGTATGTGGGCACTGCGTGCTTCCGGGATCCTATGTCCTGTGGCCGAGGGAGGCGCGGACGCCAGTCCCTCTAGGGGCAGAGGCTGGAGGATTGAGCGCTGGGGTTGGGCCAAGTCTGGTTCACTCTCTGGCACTGCAGAGGGTCCTGCCCTGAGCACAGAGCTAGGACTAAGCCCCAAGCACCCCCAGGTATGGTTCAGCCCCAAATAAATGAGGCAGGACAGCACAGGCTGTGCTCAGTATGGCCCGGGACAGAGGGGCTGCCAGGAGCTGAGGACCCTGAGGCTGGAGAGTTGAGAGGTTTCCCTGTGCAGTGAGGAAGTCGGAGGGTGCAGTCCTGCGGGGTCCCACTGAGGCAAGAAACAGGCTGCCTGGGTGCAGGCAGGGAACAGAGGAGGCCATGGGCAGGGTTGCCGCCCTCCTAGCTGGGCCTCTCTGGAGATGCCTCAGCCAGTCCCCAGTCCAGAGGGCGGAACTGCTTGGCTTCCGAGGGTCTCAGGGATGGGAGGGGCATCTGGATAGTAGCTTACAGCCGTGTCCCATCTGCAGATTACCTGAATGTGCTGGTGAACGGCCAGTGGAAGTCCCGCTGGTGCTCCGTGAGGGACAGTCACCTGCACTTCTACCAGGACCGGAACCGGAGCAGGGCGGCCCAGCAGCCCGTCAGCCTGGGTGGCTGCGAGGTGGTCCCAGACCCCAGCCCGGACCACCTCTACTCCTTCCGCATCCTCCACAAAGGCGAGGAGCTGGTGAAACTGGAGGTACCGCGGGGGCTGGGGACACAGTATTGAGGAGACACAGCAGGGCTGGTGGGGACACATTGGGCGGTTGGGGGACACGGGGAGGGGTGGGGGGCACAGTGGGGGATGGGGACACAGCAGGGTATGAAGGTCACAGCCCTCGGCTGCCTGTGACCCCACCAGGGCCGGGTCTGACGGCTTCTCTGTTATTTTTACTTCCTTTGCCCAAGATTGTTGGCATTTTACAAAATTTCCATTCCCTTCCCGACCTCAGGGTGGCTGAGTTACGGGGCCAGACAGCCCGTGGCTTCCGTCGTGGGGCGGGCGGGAGGGGTATTTATAGCTCCGGGCTGTGGGAGAACCTTCATGGATTCTCATCAAGGGAGCAGGTGGGGTTCCACCCCGCTGCTCCCCCCCCGGGACCCCACGGGTGCTTTGTTTACGAAAAGGGAGGTGGGAAAGTGGGGTGCTAGGCGGGCGGCCCCAGCCCGGCTTCTGTGCAGAGAGGCCAGCAGGGTCCCTGGCACCGCAGAGTCCCCCCTCGGTGGCTCCTTGGCCACACTGCTCAAGATTGCCCCCTGGCGGCTGCGAGCCCAACAATATGACTCAATCTCGCCCCCTAGTGGCAGAGTCCGTCTCAGTTGCTTCCCAGGGACAGGCCTGTGTATGCATCCAGCCTGGCAGCAGAAAGCATGGATGGGGGGAGTCGCGCCCTGTCCTGGGGGCACATTCTAGTGGGAGAGGGAGCAGCAGCTTATACATGGTCCAGCTGATCACTGAGTTATGGCTGCTGAAAGGCAGCAGAGCTTGGGCTGGGAGCGTAGACACTAGGGGGAGTGTGAGAAGCTGGGTGGGCAGGGGTGCATGGGGCCGGGAGGGCAGGGGTATGTGAGGCCCAGAGGGCAGGGGTGCATGAGTCCAGGAGGGAGAGGTGTGAGAGGCTGGGAGGGCAGGGGTGCATGAGACTGGGAGGGCAGGGGTGCATGAGACCAGGAGGGCAGGGGTGCATGAGGCCAGGAGGGCAGGGGTGCGTGAGGCCAGGAGGGCAGGAGTGTGTGAGGCCAGGAGGGCAGGGGTGCGTGAGGCCGGGAGGAAGAGGTGTGTGAGGCCGGGAGGGAGGGGTGCATGAGACCGGGAGGGCAGGGGTCCGTGAGGCCAGGAGGGCAGGGGTGTGTGAAGCCAGGAAGGCAGGGGTGCATGAGGCCAGGAGGGCAGGGGTGTGTGAAGCCAGGAAGGCAGGGGTGCATAAGGCCAGGAGGGCAGGGGTGCGTGAGGCCAGGAGGGCAGGGGTGTGTGAGTCCAGGAGAGCAGGGGTGCGTGAGGCCGGGAGGGAGAGGTGCGTGAAGCTGGGAGGGAGGGGTGTATGAGATAGGGAGGGAGGGATGCGTGAGGCCAGGAGGGAGGAGTATGTGAGGCCAGGAAAGCAGGGGGGCGTGAGGCCAGGAAGGCAGGGGTGCATGAGGCTGGGAGGGAGGGGAGTGATGTCTGTTAGTGCCTGAATCACTGCAAGAGGGCAGTGGGTTCAGATTCGGATTTGGAACTGCTTCCTCCAGCTGCTGGCCGGGGGGACACAATGACACTCGGGTTCGTGAGGCTCGCCCAGGACAGAGCTGGGGTTCCCGGGAGTGAGGGTGCCTGGGAGCCTCAGCAGGACGGGGCCAGCTCCAGTGCTCACTCGGCTCTGCTGGGGAGGACCTGGTGGCCGAGGGGGGCCGGGCCCATCCCGGGGGTCTCCGGTGTAGGGGCTCTCAGAGCTGCGCAGGGTGAGCACCAGGGAGGGAGTCTCCCTGCAGCCCAGCTCCTGCCCCCACAGGCCAAGTCCTCCGAGGAGATGGGCCACTGGCTGGGCCTCCTGCTGTCGGAGTCGGGCTCCAGGACGGACCCCGAGGACTTCACCTACGACTACGTGGACGCAGACAGAGTGTCCTGCATCGTGAGCGCGGCCAGAACCTCGCTGCTGTGAGCAGGAGGGTCCCTGCCCTGCACCCCCGCCCAGCCCTGCTGCCACTGCCACTGGGAGTGGGGGACACCGCCCCGCAGCCAGGGCCCCCCGGGGACCAGGGGACCAGCCGACCAGCTGTGGGGTCCACGCTGTGTCTGCGCCTGCGCGTGCCTGTCTGCGCCCCCGGTTCCCTCTCTGGGTCCCAGCACCTGGAGACCGGAGTGGGGTGTGCTCCTGCATTCCTCCGGGAGCCCGCAGGGTTAGGGAGAAGCGCTGCGGGGGTGCAGGGCTGCCCCCTCACCCCGGCCAGGATTGCTTGAGGCACAGACGGTCTGGCCTTGGCTGCTGCAGTTTGCTGCTGGGGAACCATCCAGCCCAAGGATGGCAGGATGGGGGGTGGGGAGGAGGGGGAGGAGGGGCGAGGCAGGAAGGGGCGTTGGTGTTTCTCCGAGAGGTTCTTAGAACTGAGCCTTCTAGTGAGCAGACACTGGGAAGGGAGGGGGAGACCCCCTGCAGCGCCCCCCCCCCAGGCCAGATGGCCGCATGTGAGACACGGAAGGTGCTGTCTGCATCTCTGGCCCATCCCGAGACTTCCAGAGCCCCAACAACACTTGCGGGCGCCCCCATCGGTCCCCCTGGTCTCAGCCGGCCCACGTGTCTTCCAGGCTGATGCAGAGGAAGTTCTCGGAGCCCAACACGTACATCGACGGTCTGCCCAGCCAGGCCCGCCCCGAGCTGCTGTACGATGACGTGGAGGTGTCAGAACCGCCAGCGGTGAGGACCAGTCTTCCCCCCACCGACATCACCGGGGTGCAAGCTGGCCAACTGGGTCATTGCTGGCACCGGGTTGTGTCCCCCACGGCAGGGGGCCCTGTTGAGATTTTGGGGGCACCACAACTCGAGTCCCGGGGCTGGCACCCCAGGGTGCCCTGGTACCCACCTGGGTGGGCCTCCCGTCCCTCTCCCAGGGACAGTTCAGCCTCCTGGGGGTCCAAGCAGGGGATCACCCAGACCGGGGGCCAAGTGCTGCTGTGGAGCACTGTGTAGGAGAGTCCCAGTAGCTGGTCTGCAGCCCTGCTCAGTGCTGGGGTGCAGGGTTGGGCTGGGAGGGCGTTCTCACCGCTGAGGCTGGGCATGGAACCACACTCCGCGCCTGGGTGACCCCCTTTCCTCCCAGCTATGTGAGGAAAGCACCAGCTGGATGCGCGGGTCAGTAGGGCTTTGGGGAGGGGGTGAGGCTTCCCCCTTGGAGCAAAGAGGGAGGGCCCAGCCAGCAGGCCTGGGAGCTCGGGAGGGGTGCGGGCAGGGTGAGAGCTGCCGACCTCCCCCCTGCAGGTGGAGCCTGAGGTGGGCGTCCCCGCACCAGACGCTGGCGGGGAGAGCGAGTCCGATCGTGTGTACCTGGACCTCACACCCATCAAGTCCTTCCTGCACAGCCCCGCGGGTGCACAGGCCGGCTCCCCACCGCGGCCAGAGCCCCCCACCGAGGCCGTCCCCATGGACCTGGTGCCCACCCCCGGTGAGCCCCCCGGGCCCTCTCCAGAGACCGTCTGCATGGACCCACAGGTATGGGCCAGCCCCCTGCAGGAACCAGGCCAGCATCCCTTCCTGGGGACCCGCCTAGGCCTGATGCGTTCCCCCAAAGCAGGTGCCGTGTGGGGGCCCCGAGCCCGGGGAGCCGCCCCTGAGGAGCACCACCGTGAAGATCCAATTGGAGCAGCAGAACATCTCATTTCCGCTGAGCTGCCCCGACGTGGCGGCCAGCACCCTGGCGGGGGCCAGCTCCCCCGTGAGGGACAGGCTCAAGGTGGCCACTGCAGGTATCTTGGTGGGTAAGGGGGTGTTGCCCAGAGGCGGGCACGGCCCTCCTGTCCGGCTCACGGGGACCCACTCTGGCTGCGCAGAGATCAAACTGGGCAAGAACCGGACAGAAGCAGAGGTGAAGCGCTACACGGAGGAGAAGGAGCGGCTGGAGCGGGAGAAGGAGGAGATCCGGGCGCACCTGGCGCAGCTCCGAAGGGAGAGGCGGGAGCTGAAGGAGAGCCTGGCGGCCTGCACGGGTGAGGGGGCACAGGGCTGACAGCAGACGGGGCTCCCTCACCCACCTCACGCCTCAGCTTTGCGGCTCTGTCTTTGTGCTGCCCTCTCTCTCTGCCCTCTCCCTTGCCCTCAGTGGCCGCGGCTGTTGCTGATGAGGACCCGTGGGGGGGGGGGGGGGTCACGTGTGTGCCCCGCAACGGCGGTGCACCCCAGGGTCTTCACTCTCGAGCTGCGGGGTTTCTGCATGTGCTGATGCCCTTCGTGGAACACAAGTTCCGGCCGTGGTGCTTGCTGCGGGGGAGGTGGGGGGGTGTGCACGCCTTCAGTGCGGGTCTCTCTCACCTGGTCATGATGTGGCCAGCAGCATGACCGTGTGCTCACCAGGCAGCTGCTGATGCTTTTAGCCTCTGGTGCTACTCTGCCCAGGCTTCGTCTTCCTTCCTTCCTTCCTTCCTTCCTTTTTTTTTTTCTTTTTGGGTCACACCCAACGATGCACAGGGGTTACTCCTGGTTCTGCACTCAGGAATTAACTCCTGGTGGTGCTCAGGGGACCATATGGGATGCTGGGATTTGAACCCAGGTCGGCTGCGTGCAAGGCAAATGCCCTCCCAGTTGGGCTGTTACTCCAGCCTCTTCCTTTGTTCTTTAAAGCGAACAAAGAGATGGAGTCTTTCTGCCATCTTGTCTCTGGTCGGACCTTTCTAAAGCACTTAGCTGAGCCTTTCATGCTTGGAGCTGCATCCCTTTAACACCTGATTCCTAGAGTGTCACACACACACACACACACACACTCATACACACACACACACACACACACACACACACTGACAGAAGCAGGTTTGGGGACCCACGCAGTCGATTCCAGAGAAGCTGACCAAGTGATGGGCAGAGGGAGGTCCTGGGCACCGAGGAGATGACCCGCTTTTCCTTCTCACGTGTGACAGCTTCAAGAGGGGAATCAGACCCTATGCTGATCAGTGTGGCCAAGGGCTGGGCAGCCATCACTGCCGAGGGTCTGAAGGCACCTTCAGCCCAGACCTCAGGCAGCCTGGCCTGTTCGCAGCACCCCTGCCCCATGCCACCATGATCTGCGTGGTCCTCAACATACATGGCTCAAGGGCCAATTGCAGCATGAGAATTTTTTTTTTCCTTTTTGGTCACACCCAGCAATGGTCAGGGGTTATTCCTGGCTCTGCACTCAGCACTCAGGAATTACTCCTGGCAGTGCTCAGAGAACCATATGGGATGCCGGGACCTCGGGGCCCTGCACACAGGCGGGCGTATGTTGAGAAGGACCACACAGATCGTGGTGGCATGGGGCAGGGGTGCTGCGAACAGGCCAGGTGTAAACCAGGGCTAGCACCCAAGCTGTCCCGTGTTGGATGTTGCAGGGGGCAGCTAGGGGACCTCCGTCCTTCCATCCACTGGGCATTCCCAGACAGACCCCCGGTAACCGGGGATCTCTGGGGAGCACTGGTGCCAAAGGGTACCGTGGGGGGGGGGGGGGCAGGTTGAGAGTTTTAGGCCATTCTGTCACAGCATACATAGCGGGCATTGGGACACCAGCAACCACTTCCGGGGGTCCGGGCTTAGCTCTGCTTCCAGAGCCGCCTCCGCTCGGCAGGTGTTGGACGGGCCTTCCGGGCTGACGCAGACCCCTGTCGGAGCCGTTGCTGGGGTTCCCCACTGCGCCATTTGCTGCAGCCGCTCGCCCTCTCTGTAGACAAGGGCATCGTGGCCAGCCTGGAGCAGAAGCTGCGCGAGGTGGACGAGGAGTGCCGCGTGGAGGAGCGCAGGCGCGTGGACCTGGAGCTCAGCATCGTGGACGTGAAGGACAACCTCAAGAAGGCCGAGGCGGGCCCTGTGACGCTGGGCACCACCGTGGACACCACCCACCTGGAGAGCACGAGCCCCCGTGTGCGTCCCCGCTTGCCTGTGCCTGTGCCCGCATGCGTGCGTCCCTGCGTGTGTGAGTGCGTGCGTGTGTCCCTGCCTGCGTGTGTGTCCCTGCCTGCGTGCGTGAGTCCGTGCATGCGTCCGTGCGTGCGTCCCCGCGAGTGTCCCTGTGTGCGTGCGTCCCTGCCCGTGCATGCTGCATGTGTGCATTCCCGCCTGCGTGAGCCCTGTGTGTTTGCCTGCATGTGAGTCACTGCGTGCGTGTCCACATGCGTGATTCCCTGCGTGTGTGTGTGCGTGCGTATGTTCCTGCCTGGCTGCCTGCGCCGTGAACCCCTGCATGTGTGCCTGCATTTGTGGCTGTCCCGGGTGGGGGCAGTGGGTTCCTGCCCTGGGCTCTGACCACGCCCCTCTCTCCTGTCACCACAGCCCAAAGCTGCCGCCCCCTCCAGCCCTGTCCCAGACTGTACCCCGGTCAACTCGGCCACGGCGCTCAAGAACAGGCCCCTGTCCGTCCTGGTCACGGGCAAAGGCACCGTCCTGCAGAAAGCCAAGGTAGGTGTCACCAGGGCATCTGCCCGGCTCCCTGCCTGCTAGCCACTCCCCTCCCCTCCTTTCCCTCTGCCCTTCTCATGTCCGCCCAGGTGCCTCGGGCTCAGGGACACCCCAGCCAGCAGTTTGTTTGATTGGGGCCCCCCGCATTCTTCAGGGACCGCCCAGTACCTGTGGGTTCCCCCCGGGGCAAAGCTGTAGTTCTGAGACCAGCCCTGCCTGAATTCTTCCTAATGCAGACCCACTGACCCCGAAGGGTTAAAGAAATAGTTCCACCAGGCACCTGCTGGGTGTAGTGTAGTGAAGATCAGGTGCTGGGTTTTTCCCAGGGGTCTAGAGGGGGTCCTTGTGGCTTGTACCCTCCCTGGCTCAGGAGGGAGCAAGAGCTTGTAGGGTTGGGGTACTGACTCCACATACAAGAGCCCAAGCTGGATCCTGGGCACTGATGAGAGTGAACACAGGGCCAGAATCAAAGGAGAGGGAGGGAGGGAGAGGAAGAGAGGAGGAAGGAGAGGGAGGGGGAAGAGTTTGTGTGCTGGTGTGTGTGTCTTCCGGTTTCTGGCACAGGAAGACACACTCCTTGTAGCTCCTTGTAGCTCCCCCAGGTCCCTGCTGCAGAGATTGGGGGAACCTGCACCAATGATGCTTTTGTGTGGGGAGTGGGGTCCCCACATCTCCAGCTCCTGCTCCCCGCTCAGCCAGGGGATCTGCAGGGTCCGTGGAGATCGGGCTGTCCCCGGGGCCCGGCCCTTCTTGCTCTAGGCCCGTTGGCTGACTTCTGCCTGTGCGGACCGCGGCTGCGCAGAGGCAGACTAACGCTTTTCTCCCTCGGGGGCGGGGGGCTGTCCGGACGCTGCCCAGGAGTGGGAGAAGAAAGGCGCCAGCTAGGAGCCACGGGTCCTGGGAAGACTCTGCTGTCCAGATGGGTCTCGGCGACAATCCTGCTTCGCCCACGTCTTTGTCCACGCAGCACCTCTGGGACAGGGCGCGTCCGCCCGTCTGTCCAGAAGGGAGCGCCAGGACCAGGGGGCTTCGGCCCAGTGGGGCCTTGACCTTCTCAGAGCCAAAGGAAATGAGCCGAGGGAGCCTCTGTCCATCGCTGTCTGCGGGGGCTCTTGCTGGCTTTACCGACCCTTTTGAGTATGAAAAGCTTCTGAGGTGGAGGCTTTGGAGAAAAAACTGAGCGAGCAGGCCATTGCATTCCTGGTCATGAGACTCTGCTCCCCGGTATGACCACTGTCCCTGTACCTGGACCGCAGGAGGCTGGGACAGCCCTGGCCCCCATTGGCATGGTAACGGGTCCCACTCGGCCTTCTGGGGTTCTCGACAGCCAAGCACCTGCTCTTCAAGAAATGTCCCATTGGGGATCAATCAAGCATTGGGGACCAATCAGGCGGAAGCCTGGCCCCTCCCACTAAGGAGGGACCCCTTTTCAGCCTAACACAGGCTTGGTCATTTTTTTTTTAATAAAAATTTTCAATGATGCTGTATTATACAGAAGAAAGAAAAGGATCTTTTAAAGATTTAACTGACTTTTTTTTTTTTAACGTTACCGGGAATAGAGCAGGGGTGGGGGAGGGGGGCGGGCAGGCATCGCTCTGTGTTTATGGATTCTCTCCTCTGGCCTGACCATGCTGAAGAGAGAAGTTTTCATGCAACACCCTCCTGGTCCGTTTTGAGAGCTTTGCTTCATGTCTGAGGCCCTCCAAGAAAAGGAAGCGATGGATTCTGTGCCGAGCGGCTGCCTCCTGGGGCCGCCCCTGCTTTCCCGCTGGGTTTCTTTATACATATATATATTATATTATTTTTTTTAACACAGGTTGAAACATTTCATCTCTCATCCCTGCCTCATTTCTGAGGGTTCTCGGAGCCCTCTAACACTGGTCCCTGAGAACTAAAGGTCTTTATGTTCTTGTCTTTCTAATCCCAGGACATTTATTTCCTTTGTCACAAATGATGGGTGTCCCCTTACCCAGTGGTGAGTTCATTTTTTTTTTAATAAAAATATTCATTGCATTTTGCGTTGTCTTTCTGGTACATGGAATGACCTGGGGTAGGCCTTGGTGATCTCCCAACTCAAGAGGGGAAACAACTTGGTTTATTGTTGCTGGAGTAACAGCTGTTCAAGCCCAAGTCCTGGCCTTAACTACTTAACTGAAGCGAGTGTAGTTCTGAGGACAAGTATACTTGTGGACAGTGAAAATCAAAACTCCTTGGAATTGAACATGAGCGATTAAATCATTCTTTGTGGTGGGGGAGGGGGGAAGAAGCACAAGAGTCCCTGGGAAAAGGCCCAAGGATCAATTCAGAAAGTGCCCTTAAAAACGACTGATCCAAACTCTGTCTCAACGAAGACAAATGCAAGGCAAGGGTATACATGTAACGGTCTTCCTGAAAAGGAGGCCTGAAAAGTAACTGAGCAGGCCAGAGTAATAGTACAATGGACAGGGTGTTTGCCTTGCACGTGGGTGACCCGGGTTCAATCCCCAGCTTCCCATAAAGTCCCCAAGCACCGCCAGGAGTGATTCCTGAGTGCAGAGCCAGGAGTAATTCTTGAGCATCGCCAGATGTGGATCCCCCCCCCCAAAAAAAAGTAACCGGGCACCAAAATGGGTTTGTTTATTTATTTATTTATTGCTTTTTGGGTCACACCCAGCAATGCTCAGATACTCAGGGGTTACTCCTGGCTCTGCACTCAGGAATCACTCCTGGCAGTGCTCGGGGACCATATGGGATGCTGGGAATCGAACCCGGGTTGGCTGCGTGCAAGGCAAATGCTCGCTCTACTATGCCATCACTCCAGCCCCCAAAATGTTTATTTTTTTAAATGCTAAGAATGTGCTGTGAATATGAGTAATTTGAAAGAAAAACCCCATCTCATGGGCAGGGGTGGAGGACTTGCATGAAAAACATCTAAATGATCTTACCCAAGGCAAGCCACGGTGTTCAGAGCCAGATGGAGTGGACGGCATCAGAGGTGGTGCAGTGACCAGAAATGCGCTCCCGGCTCCTTTATCAAGGAGACACCCTGAGTGCGGCACGACAGCTTTACGGGGCATGGCCGAGTCAAACCTCCAGTCTCAACACTAACATTTGTCATGATCCAGGAATGGAGGAGTAAGCCTCCCCAGGGTGACAGTGACCTCGACTAAGGCCAGGGAGGGGGGCGGAGCGATAGTACAGCCCGTATGGCATTTGCCTTGCATGCGGCCAAACCAGGTTCCATCCCCGGGATCCCATACGGTCCCCCGAGCACTGCCAGGAGTGATTCCTGAGTGCAGAGCCAAGAGTAGCCCCTGAGCATGCTGGGTGTGACCCAAAAATGCAAAATAAATAAACAGCACTGTAGCACTGTCCTCCTCTTGTTCATCAATTTGCTCAAGTGGGCACCAGTAACGTCTCCATTATGAGACTTGTTGTTACTGTGTCTGGCATATCGAATACGTCCCGGGGAGCTTGCCAGGCTTTGCCAGGTAAGATACTCTCGGTAGCTTGCCGAGCTCTACGAGAGGGGCGGAGGAATCGAACCCTGGTCGGCCGGGTTGGCCGCATGCAAGGCAAACGCCCTATCCGCTGTGTACTCGCTTCAGCAACACATATACTAAAATTGGAACGATACAGAGAAGATTAGCATGGCCCCAGCGTAAGGATGACACTCAAATAAATAAATAAATAAAGGCTGGGGGTATTATGGAGAGGCCAGTGGCTCCTGGCCAAGACATGCTGCCCTCAAGAGCTGCTCCCAGTCCCTTGGAAAGACCCTGCCCAGGAGTCCGGAAAAGGACTATAAGGCCTGGGGAGAGGATCTGAACCCTGACCACACATAACACCTCTCAAAAGCAGCCAGAGTGCGGATTAGAACGAGCTAAGAAAACAACTCCACGCACGTGGGACGATCTGAGACCCGCTGATGTATTTTCTTTAGGACAGAAATAACATACTGGAAGCTGAAGCCGGAAGGGCGCTTGCCTCACACACGGCTACCCCAGGTTCGATCCCTGGCATCCCACGTGGTCCCCCTAGCACATCCAGGAGTCATTCCTGAATGCAGAGCCAGGAGTAAGCCCTGAGCATCGCCGGGTGCGTCCCCCACCCAAAAGAAAGAAAACTTCTCTGGAACTTTTATGAACAGAAGCCAGTTCCCCACAGGAGCAAGAAGACCCACAGGCACCCCCTGAGGATACTGGGGAGCCCATTCGATTCACTCAAGAAGGTTCCATGTCTCCATGGCTGGACTCCCCCACCCCATACATATGTGAGCCCAGGGCCTACAATTTTCTGGTGTAATTCTTTTTTTGGTGGGGGGAGGCTCTTAAACCAGGTCACCCCTGGCAGTAGTGGGGGTCACCCTTGTCCTTGAGCCATCTCCCTGGCCCAGCTCCATGTGTCCAGGCAGTTCGGAGTGGACAAGGGACTAGCAGCCCTGACAGAGACAGCCGGTTTAGCTTCTAGAAGCGGCAAGACTGTTTTATTAGAGAGTGATTCGAGCCCCGTTCTCCCTTCTGTTGGACCTGCTTGGAGGCGCCTTTTGTTGGGACCAGCCTAACAGCAGCCACAGACCGAGCCCTGCGTGGTTCCTGGGCTTCCGCCACCCATGTCCACACACCGTGTTCCCCAGCATCTGGGAGCAGTTTTCCTGCCGGGTGGGAATGGACCGGCTTCCTGTGACTGAGAGCCTCAGCCCAGCCAGGAGAGCATGTGAGGATCATTTCTCGATGTTCTCTGCCCTGAACCTGCCACTCATATGACATAGGTTTGGGGAGGGGGGATCTGGGGGGCGTGGGCCACGGCGACACCCCTCGGGGACCTCCCTACTCCAGAATTCCTTCCACACTTAAAGCTAAGTGGAGTTTCAAATGAAGGAGCTGAATGACTGTGGGGTCACAAACAGTCTATTAAAAGCTTTGGAAGTGTCTGGATTTAAGTCAAGAAAGCTGCAAAATGGGAAAAAACTGAGATAAGGCCTGGCCGGGGTCAGGACCCAGATGTGTGCTGACCTGGATTTAATCCCCAGCAACCCTGGGCTCCTGGAAGCACTCCCCCCTCATCACTACTGGGATGGCCCTGGGGACTCCCAGCACTCCTGGGACCCTTACAGCGAACTACCAGCACGGTTAGCCCAGAACTGCTAGGAATGACTGCTGGACACCCTGAGCCCCACCGGGGTCCCCACCACCACCTCACCCCACGAACAGAGAAAACTCAGAGTCGCAGAACAAAGGGGAGAACGGACTCCTAGACTCCATGGGGGTAAGCGCCACATTTGCAAGAAACAGAGCCAGACACACCATATTGCCAAATAGACACAAAATCCTCCCGTGGGACTAGTGGGCCCCATGGTGCCAAAGGGGGTCGTGGCAGGACCCCAGAACAGAAGCCAGACAACACATTCCCTGCTCAGCACAGTGAACCCCACAAACTTTATTTCTGTGGTGTCTTAGAATCCTTCCTCTTTGGCTCCTGGGGGTCTACCACTCAGTGTGCCCACCACAAATCCCTCGCAGGGAGGTGCCCAGAGCACAGCCATCTGCACGCTCCCCCTTCCCCCAGAATCCAACGGGCTGGGGTCGGGGGGGCTCTCCAAGTCTCCCCCACAAAGGCCATTCACGGCCCCCTCTGAACGGAAAGCCAGTAGCAAGTACCTGGGGCCTGGCAGGCCGCTGGGGAACTGGAATCGGGCCACGTTGTCTGTCCAGACGCTGCTGCTCCATCACCCCGAGTTGGGGCCCAGGCACTGCCCCGAGCAGTGTGAGCTGCAGCCTGAACAGCCTCCAGTTCCTCCGCTCTGGGGTGACCCGGGCACCCGCAGGCACAGACGGCAGCTGGAGGTGCTCTAGTCCTCCTCCATGGAGGCTCGGCTCCGTGGCCTCTTCTCACTGGCCGCAGTGCAGAGAAGGCCGGGGCGCAGGGCCAGACCCTGTCAGGGCCCGGGTTGCCCAGGCTGCCGGGATCGATGCTGCAAGGGGTCCAGCCGCTGCCCTCCTGCTGGTGCCGGGCGGGGGCCCCGTGCTTGGGGGGCGTCACCTCTCAAGGTCCCTGGGGGAGAAGTGAACTCTGAGGGCCAGTGGGCTCTGCCCGGCTGGCCACAGAAGGATGCCACCTGGGGGGAGGGCGGATGTCCTGACCCCCTCCACTGCACCCCCAGCCTTCAGAAGGCCCCCAATGCCGGAGGGCTGGGTGGGGAAGTGACCGGAAAACTCAAACCTCCGTGGGGATCTCGGGGTTGTGGCTGGGAGACCCCTAAATTCCTCAACATGGCCCGCCATGGTTCCCTAAGGGCTCCCTCTCCCCGTCTCATCCCCAGCCCTGCTCCGCAGCAGACTCTCAGCACGCCTCTCCTACCCACGGCAGCGAAGCTCAGAGAACCCCCCTCAGGTGCCACCCCCGCCCCCAGCCGGCTCCTACCCTTGCTCCCTCTCTCATCTTCGTTCTGGTCTTCCCAGCCACTATCAAGTGTGTATGTGTGTGTGTGTGTGGGGGGCGGGGTCCCTTGGGATGCCCCCAGTGCCTCATTTCACTTCTCCACTGTGCTGTGACCCACCACCCAGCACGTGGCATTCTGTTCTTGATGCCTGCATGCCCCCCACTAGCCTGGCAGCGCAGAGCTGGAAGAGTCACTGTGACCACTCAGGGGGTGACAACTCCTGCACCCACAGGGCTTCTCCTGCGCGAACGTCCCATGGCTGCGTGATTCCTTCCACTAGGGGAGACGCCACACACACACACATACACACACACATATTCACACTCACACTCACACAGCCCTCTCTCTGTTCAGTGGCCAGGAAGAGCTAAACACACACACACATACACACACTCACATATACACATACACTCACACAGCCCTCTCTCTGCCCAGCACCAGGGAGACACTACACACACACACTCACACATACACACTCTCTCTCACACACACTCACACATACACACACTCTCTCTCTCACAAACACACACACTCACACAACCCTCTCTCTGCCCAGTGCCCAGGGAGACACTCCCCCCACACCCTTTCTCGCTCTCTCTCACATCTCTCTCACACACATCTCTCTCTCTCTCTCTCTCTCTCTCTCACACACACACACACACACACACACACACAAACACAGAGTCTTCTCTTTGCCCAGTGCCCAGGGAGAGGCCAAACACAGACACATTCACACACACACTCTCAGATGCACACACTCACACACACAGAGTCCTCTCTTTGCCCAGCGCCCACGGAGAGACCAAACACACACACACACACACACACACAGACACACACATATTCATTCACACATACTCTCACATACTCTCACATGCACACACTCTCTCCCTCCCCCCCCCCTCTCTCTCTCTCTCTCTCTCTCTCACACACACACACACACACACACACACACACACACACAGAGCCCTCTCTGCCCAGCGCCCAGGACCCCGGCAAGCGCCCACTCACGGTTCTCGCAGTGGGGGCCCTCCCAGCCGGGGCGACACTCGCACCGGTAGCTGCCGAGCTGCAGGACGCAGGCGCCTTCGTTCATGCAGGGGCTGGGGCGGCACAGGTCTGCGGGTCGCTTGGCTTCTACGGGGCAGAAGGGGAGCCCAGGGACCGACTGTCAGGTGAGGCCCGGGGAGGAGGGCTTCTCCCTCTTGGGGTGTCGTGTGGTGCTGCCTCTGGGGGCTCAGAGCACCCCATGTGCCTCGGGCCCTGCACACCCGCGCTGTGAGTGGGAAGCTACTGATCACGTGGCAACAGCCACGCACTGGGTTTTGTTTCCGTTTTTGTCTTTTTGGTCGCACCTGTCTTAGGGGTTCTTAGGGGTCATTTCTGGTGGTGCTCAAGGGGCCAGGTGGTACCAGGGACAGAACCTGGGCTTTTGGCATGCAAAGAATGTCCAGAGTCGTGAGCCAGCTCCCGGGCCCCAGTCACTGGCTTTAACACAGCAGAAAGAGGGTCTCAGGGAAGAAGAGGCTTGGCGGCCCTCCCCCCACCTGCCCTATCTGGGCCAGTGTCCACTTGGGGGTCCCTAGTCCCGTGAGGGTCTGTGGGTGTCCTGCCCCCATGTAAGCAGAGTGCAGAGGGCCAGTGGTGGCTGAGGGCTGGAGCCCACGCTATGCCCGTAGAACTCGTGGGTTCTAGCCCCAGCACCTCGGGGTCCCATGAGCACGGCCTGGGACCCCTCAACCCCACCCCCAAACTAAAACCAATGGCTCAATAAAAAGAAATCCTCCAGTGTGGGATCTGGGATCTGTTTGTCTTCCACTCTCTGCACCCCGAATGTCAAGCGGGGATGGCTTTGCAGGGGACCCAGGGGAGCTGGGGCGTTAACCCAGAGGATTCCGTGGCCAGAGGGAGGACGGACTGGGACGGGCTGCCAGGGTGGGTCCCTGGGATGATGGGTTGAGGCTCCCAGGTACTCACCTGCGCACAGCCACTCCACGAGCGCATCCTGGTGGCGCCGCAGGTCCGAGTAGGCGGCCGCGTGGATGAGGGCGTCACGGGGACCCGCCAGCCTCCGCAGCGCGTCCCCCAGCACGGGCCCCACGCCCACCACCAGCACGGAGACCCCGTTGTTCCGCAGCCTCCGGACGGGGACAGTGGCGTCCTCGGCCGCTCGGCCGCCCGTGAGCAGCACCACCGCCTTGGGGACCCCTGGCCGGGCGCCCCTCTGGACAGTCATCACCTTGTCGTGCACGTGCAGCAGCGCGGTGCCCGCCGACCCCGCGCCCCCCAGGTAGGGGGCCTGGCTGACGGCGCGCAGCACGGCCGCGCGGGTCACGTGCGTGTCCAGCCCGAAGACCGTCTGCACGCGGCTGCCGTAGGCCACCAGGCCCACCTGCGTCACGTCGGGGTTGACGTCGAACTGCTGCGTGCAGCCCCTCACGAAGCTCAGCACCCGGGCGAAGTGCTCGGGCCCCACCGCGGCGGAGGCGTCCAGCAGGAAGACCAGGTCCAGGGCTTGCGTCTGGCAGCCTGCGGGAACAGACGCGCGCTGGGGGCGGTCTGCCGGGTGCCCACCCAACCACGGGCCGGCAAAACGGGCGCTGATCCACCCCCCCTCCCAGGGCACCAACCCATTCCTTGGGTCACTGGTGATGGGCATGGCGTTGGAATTACGCACAGGTTAAACCATCGTTGACAAGCCTGTACCTCAAGTGGTAATAAAAGACCCCCCCCAAAAAATTTTTTAAAGCAAACTGCTTCTCTCTTTCTCCTCTCCTCTTCCTGCTGGCTGTGTGATATTTACCTGTTAGCTCATTACCTGTCCAAGTGCATGTTATATGTTATAAGAAAAGTATTGTGGGGTGAAGGTGTAGGGACTTTGAGAAGGTCCCCTTCTTCCCTGAAAATCTTAAACAACTTTTTTTTTTTTACTTTTGGGGTCACACCTGATGATGCTCAGTGGCTCCCCCTGGGCTCTAAACTCAGGAATCACTCCTGGCTGTGCTCAGGGGACCATATGGGATGCTGAGGATTGAAGCCGTGTTGGCCAGGTGCAAGGCAAACACCCTACCTGCTGTACTATTGCTCTGTCCCCCTCTTAAACAATTGTATATTGGGGGGGGGGGGTTGAGGGGGAAACTCTCAGGGATCACTCCTGGAGGTACTTGGGGATGATGTCGGCACTAGGGGGTCCAAGCAGGGCAAGCACATTAGCCCATGCTCTGCCTCTGGCTGTGAAGTGTTTTTATGCCCACCTGGTGCTCCTGGGCAGGTGTAAAGGGGAATCTGGACCAGGTGGCCCTTCTCGCCTCCGGGTAACATCTGGGTTGCAAGGTAGATGCTGCTCCCACCCACCCCTCACCCCTGGGAGGAGAGTCTGGGGAGCCCCCTCAGGGACGTTTCAGTGGTCACCACTCCGCAGTCCATCGGCCCCATGCCCAGTCTCAGGGACAGTGGTCTCCAGCGCCCTCTGCTGGTGGGCCAGGAAACCAGCTTCCTAGATAAAGACGCTCAAGAGAAATGTGACTGCAGAGCCCTAGGTAAGATCTTGACAGGGGTTCTGTTCAGGAAATGCTTGTTCCTCTGTGTGTGTGTGTGTGTGTGTGTGTGTGTGTGTGTGTGTGTGTGTGTGTGTGTGTGCGCGCGTGCTGCTCTTCTGTGGCCTGTTAACACTGTCAGCAGCAGCAGCTAACAGCGCCCAGAGCAATGCTGCGAGTGCCTGCTATGAGCTCATTCTGCAGGCCACATGCACACTGCTTGCATTTTCTCTGACTTTGCAGACACCTGTCTTTTCAACTTCCAATTTACAGACTGGTGCAGTGAGGAGTGACTTAGCACGGGCCAGGCAGCAGCAGGGGCGATGTCCCAACCCGCAGGCTGAAGCTCTGGTTAAGTGGTGTCCAAAGAGGGTCCCTGGGCGGGGTGACACTGCCCGGGGGAGGGGGGGGGGTCCTTACCTGGCTGCAGCCGGCTGCACAGTTTCGTCTGCAGCTCCGGGATTTTGTGGAACAGGTCCTGAGGGCTGGCGTAGATCATCACCTGTTTGGGGCTGCCCGTGATCTCCTCCAACTCTGCCCCCACCGCCTCGCTGCCCAGCGCCAGCAGGAGCAGCTCCCGGGCCCTGGCGTGCCGCGCGGCGCCGGCCACCTCGTCCTGGGAGCGCGCCTCGGTGAGCAGGACCAGCACCCGGCGGGGACGGTCCCGGCCCGCCACGCCCACGCTGCCGAAGCCGCGCTCCGCTGCCTCGCGCAGGGCGCGGCCCGTGAGGGTGGCCCCGCCGTGGAAGGGCAGGGCGTCGAGGCTCCCGAGCAGGTCGGCCACGTCCTGGTACTCGCCCACGGGCACGGCCAGGGCCAGCTCCCCGCTGTACTGGGCCACGCCCACGCGGGCCTGGGCCTCGTCGCTCAGTGCCGCCTGCACGAAGCGCTTCACGAAGGCCTTGGCCCGCAGGAAGCCGTCCAGCGTGGTGCCCGCGGAGCTGGCCAGCAGGAAGAGGACGTCGGTTCTGCAGTCCACGCTCAGCTTCGGGGCTGCGGGGAATCACAGTGGCCAGTCACTGGGCGCGCCCAGCACTACCACCACCTCCCGGAGGATACGCCAGGGGTGACCCCAGGACCCTGCCTCTCCAGGGTCTGCACTAGGGCTTCATGGTCTGGGGGCCACACCCGGCAGTGCTCGGGGTGTACTCCTGGCTCTCTGCAAGGGATCACTCATGGCAAGGCTTCAGAACTGTATGTGGTGCCGAGGATAGAACCGGGTTGGCCCACCCGCTAGGCAAGCACCCTACCTGCTGTACTGCCTCTCCAGTATGACTTATTTTGGGGGTTTTATAACCACCTGGGCTATATCCAGCCACGCTAAGGAGGCCAAGTGGGGCGAAGGATCAAACCCAGGGCCTGAGTGCCAGGCCTGTGCTCCAGCCCTGTGACCTTGCTTTCCGCCTCACCACTGTGACTTCTTATAAAGATTTCATAGGGATCAGGAAAGAGTCCAGCAGACTGGGTGCTTGCCTTGCAAGCGGCTGAATGACAGTACAGTGGGCAGGGCACTCGCCTTGCACACGGCCAGCCCAGGTTCGATCTCCAGCATCCCATATAATCCCTGAGCATTGTCCAAAGGAATTCATGAACACAAGAGTAACCCCTGAGAATTGCAGGGAGTGGCCCCAAAACAAAACATAAAACAAGCAAAACAAAAATGCTACTAAGGCCGGAGAGAGCTGGACAGGCCGGAGTATGTGAGAGGCCCAGACTCGGTCCAAGGCGCTGCCTGGTGTAGACCCCCCACCCCCACCCCAACGCATAGAACTGGGAGTAGCCCCTGAGTATGGCCAGGTGTGACCCAACCAACCCCCCAAGCACTGTCCTCCCGTTGTTCATCGATTTGCTCAAGCAGGCCCAGTAACGTCCCCAGTAAAGTTGTGAAACTTGTTGTTACTGTGTTTGCCATATCAAATACGTCATGGGTGGCTTGCCAGGCTTTGCCGTGCGAGCAAAGTACTCTCAGTAGCTTGCCGGGCTCTCTGAGAGGGGTGGAGGAATTGAACCCGGTTTGGCTGGGTTGGCGGCTTGCAAGGCAAACGCCCTACCGCTGTGCTATTGCTCCAGCCCTTCCCCCCAAAAAAGAGTTATTAAGCACCTAGGTTGAGCACGTAATACATATGATTTTTATCTCAAGCTTCCAAAACACTGTAGGTAAGAAGGATATATTTTTTATATATAGTAAAAATTTCTATTATTGGGGCTGGAGCAATAGCACAGCGGGTAGGGCATTTGCCTTGCACGCGGCCGACCCAAGTTTGATTCCCAGCATCCCATATGGTCCCCCAAGCGCTGCCAGGAGCAATTTCTGAGTGCATGAGCCGGAAGTAAGCCCTGTGCATCTCAGGGTGTGGCCCAAAAAGAAAAATAATTATTATTTAAAATAATATAAAACCTATTATTATATAATAATAAAGCCTATTATTAAAATCCTTACTTTATACCTTTAAAGCCACAGCGGCCTGAAGATCCTGGTTCCTCTTTTAACTGGGACCCTCCCTTCCCAGTCCCCCCCTCACCAACCTACCGCAGGCGGCCGCCCCGTCGAAGGGTGGTGGGCACAGGCAGCGGTAGCCCTCACGGCCTTCTGGAACACACGTGCCTCCATTCTGGCAGGGCTGTGAATCACAGGGGCCTGGCAGAGAGATGCCCATCACCCGCCTGGCACAGTAGCCCCGAGGGCCAAAGACATGAGTCTCTCAGGCTACCCTGCATTCCTCCCCGGAACCCTGGAAACTCGATGACCCCCACCATGAAGAGGGCAAGGGGGTGACTGGTGGGTGGGTGGGTGGGTGGGCTCAGGCTCTCTTGTGCACCTGAGTAAGGGGCTGGGTGCTGCCCACCTTAAGTTGGAGGCCCAAACCCTGCACACCCCCGCCCCCACTCCTATTTAAAGGTAGGACCCCTTTAGAGAGGGAATGTTCTCTGGGGGCCCGGGCCAGGGTCCTCACCCAACAAGACCACAGTTGGACGGTGTCCCGAGAGGAAGAGATGAGGGTGAAATGAAAGGGAGGCCCCGGGTGGGGGTGAGGGAGGAGACCCTCTCTGCCCCTTGCCCCCCACCTCCCAGGCTCTCCACCCAACTCCTGCCTGCAGCCTGAGAGAAACGACAACTCTGCCTGTGGTTTCAGATCCCCTCCTTCACCGTGTGAGTGTGTGTGGGGGGGGAAGGGGTGGGTCCTGGGAAACATGTGTAGGGCATTGGGGTTGCCCACAGCTGCTAAGCTGGCCCCCTGGATCCATGCCTATAAAGGGCTGGGTAGCATCAAGGCCAACTTTGGGGCCCACCCATGGGTGTGATTATATAGCTTCTTCTGCCCAAGCTCCCGGGGTGCAAACGCCCAGAGAAACGAGCTTGGAGCCCGGGCGCAGGAGAGCACAGTGGCAGAGGCGGACTGTTACCTGGGCAGGTGGTCCTGTAGCAGGTGGCAGGGTGGGCCAAGAACACTTTCTTCCAGCTGCATAGCACGGGAACAAGAGACAGGGGGCAGAGTTGAGTAGGACAGGGCACGACTGGGAGGGTATTAGAAACACGGGAGCCGCTGCCTGGGCCCAGGGCAGAGGCAGGCCAAGAAACAAACTCTTGGGCAAGAAAGATGAAACAGGGGTCATGGTGCTGGCCTGGCAGGGGGCTCCCCTTGGTCCAATCCCTGGCACCACCTCTGGTCTCTTGAGCAGCCCAGGAGTGACCCCCTGAGCACAGAGCCAGGAGCAGTCCTAGGGTGCCAGTGAGAATGGCCCCAAGTCCCCTGGCTCTTGTCTAGGTTCAACCCCTGGGACCACAGAACCACCTGGAGCAACCCCCAGACACAGAATTAGGCAGAGACCCCAAACACTGCCTCCTGTGGCCCTCCCAAAGAAACATTTAGGGGGGGGCGCCCAGCCTTTAAGGGGCCTCTCAAGAAGTTCTTAGAGGATCCCGAGGCTCCCTGCATCAGTTCTCTGGCTACTAGTTCAGTCCCTCAAGTGGCAGGGATGCCCTGGGCCACCAGGGTACAACTGGAGATGCTCAGGGCACCATGCGGTGCTGGGGACTGAACCTGGGGGAGAGGGGGTGCATGATTGGCAAGTGCTCTAACCACTGCACTATCTCCCAGCCAGGATCCCAGTTAAAAATAAATGAAGGGGCCCACCAGAGCTACAAAAGGCGATGCTAGGAGGGCCATGCTGCACTGGGGGTTGAACCCGGGGCCTGCTCTCTACCACATCCTGGTCCATCTGTTCTGCATGTATTGTAGGGACTATTTCAACACCCCTGCCCCCGAGATTATCTGTAGCACTGTAGCACTGTCCTCCCGTTGTTCATCAATTTGTTTGAGCAGGCACCAGTAACGTCTCCATTGTGAGACTTGCTGTTACTGTTTTTGGCATATCAAATACACCATGGAGAGCTTGCCAGGCTCTGCCATGCGGGTGGGATACTCTCAGTAGCTTGCCAGGCTCTCTGAGGGGGGCATAGGAATCAAACCCGGGTTGGCTGCGTGCAAGGCAAACACCGTACCCTCTGTGCTATCGCTCCAGCCCTTGACAAATAAATTTCCCAGGATCTCATTTTCCTCATTTTGCACACAGGTAGACGCTTGCAGAGTGTACACAATCAAAGAAAGGCTACACAACAAATGGACAGATGACCAGACAAGAAGATGATTCTGGAAAACGCTCCCCAGAAGTATGCTGTCTTCTTTTACTAACTTTTAAGGGTAAAAGATTGCTTGTAACTCTCATTTAAAAAAAAAGAGATTATCATAAAAATATAACAATAATGTGAGTTGGCTCTCTGGTCAGGAGTCCAAAGCGTCTCTGTTCAAATCCTGAACTTGGGGGGCAGTTTCCTTCCTGCCTGTCTCGGGGAGGGCAGCAGAGGTCACACAGATTCTGGCTCTGTCACCCCAGGTCCGGGGCTTTCCTTCTCCACCTCTGAATTCTTCTTCTCCCCAGCAACCCCCTGGGGTCTCTACTGGGGCCAGACCTCTCCCGTACCACAGTCCCAGCCCGTCACCCAAAATGTGTTGCCCCTACAATCTGTACCGCCCGTGTCCATCAAACCTCACTCTGCAGCCCAAATGGGCATGCAAACCAGCTGCGCCCTGACCTTGAGGTCAGCTTCATGCTGACATTCTGGGACTGCTCCTGGATGGCCCCCATGAACCTGATGTCACCCACAGTGACCTCCGAGGCTGCAAGCTCCATCTTTGGGGGGAAGCTGGGCTTGGAGGGTGAGATGCTCTCCCAGGTCACAGGGGCATCAGGGTCCAGCAAGGCCATGTGCAGACTCTGCCTTCGATGCCAGAGCCCTGCCCCCTTCCCTGATCCCCCTTTGTTATACCGCTCCGAGCAAGCAGACCATCACCCTGGAGGGCCAGCTCGGGAATTTCCAGGTCCCTGGGGCTGCCTGCTGCCCCCTGCCCTCACCTCCGTCTGGGGGGACATCTCAGTGAGCCAGTATGGCTACAACTCTGCCCTGGGCTCCATCCTCCCACCCCACCAAACACCTCTTGTCCCTGAGTCCCCTCCCTCCCGGCCAGGCTCTCACCCAAGACCCCGTGAACAAACCTGGAGAAGGGGCAGTGTGTGGCCAGCACTCCGCCCGCGGGGCCCCGGGACCCTCGCCAGCACGGGGCATGGCCTGCGTGTTCCTGCACGGTCTCCAGTGTCCGGCGTTCACAGGGGTGAGGCTGCACAGTGCATTCTGCAGGGGTGGGGCGCAGAGGAGACAGTGTTGTGTGCCCCCCCCCCGGGGAGCCACAGGGCTCTGTCCACAGAGAGAGATGGCCAGCGAAGCGGGGTTGCACCCCCAAAGCTGCCTGCGCTGACTTCAGCAGACCGAGCAGGGTAAAGGGGGCAACATCCCAGCTGCCCCCTGGACTGGCTCAGGGTGCCCCCGTGCCCCTCCTCCTGCCAGCTCCGGGACCCGCAGTCCACCCGAACCTACCTGGGCTGGTGGCGGTGCAGACGCCAGAGTGGCTGAGGGTGCTGAAGAGACCGTTGGTGGCGTCCGGGGCCTGCTCCGCCATGAGCACGTACCACTCCCTGGGCTCGCTGGCCAGTGTGTGCAGCTCCTGCCACCTGGGGCCGTCCCACAGAGAAGGGCCAGGGCTTGTCTGTCGTGTCCACCCAACATCACCCCGCCCTCCCCCCCCCCCGTCACCGTGCCCTGGGTCTCTCGGCCACTCAGAGGCAGCCTCTGCCCAAAGCACACAGCATGAGTCCGAGAAGTGGGTCACCTGCCTGCCAAGACGCTTAAACCGCATCCCCACCCGAGAGCCTCGATGCAGAACCCCGGGCAGCTCTGCTGTCAACGCCCCCCCCCCACCCCAATCCTAACAACTCTGTCATTCTGTCACTGCCCCTGTGAGAAGAAAAGCCAAGAGGACGAGAAGGAAAGTGGGAAAGGAGACAGTGGCAGGAGCCACGCCCACAGACACAGCGAGGAAGGAAGGGCCGAGATGTGCCCACGGAGGGCCCAGAGCTCCAGGGTGAGCAGGATCATGCCACAGAGGATGGGCTGGCACCCCGAGGGCACCACGAAGAGGGTCCCAGACAAAAATCATGAAGCTCTGAGACTTGTGATTAAATCTCTAAAGAGATCAACTAGCCTCGAATATCCATAAGACACACAGGTCCCTGGTGGGACCTCTGGGCTATCTCTGGAGGGGTCGGGTCACACTCACACCCCAACCCATCATGCCCAGGGTGGGACCCCACCCTTTACACCTGAGCACCACAGAGATGGCAAATTGCCAAAAACCTCAGGTACAATGGTTTGTTTATTTATTTATTTATTTATTTTCTGCAAACTCCAGGCTTTCTTGGAGTCCGGGTGAACAACCTCCCCCACCCCACTCCATACTTCTAGAAGCCCAGGCAGCCACTGGCATGTAAACTCACTGCCCAGTTAAATATTCTGGATTTTCTGTACTGCACAGCAAGCAGTACACTCGGCCGCACAACTGCTCCAAATTCTACAATAGTAATGTCCCAGTTAGATCTGTGCACCAGATTGGATGGTAATGTAATGTTGAGGCCAGTGAAGCTCAATAAAAACACTAACCCAGAAGGCTCAACTAGCAACAACAGCTTAGTAAACCCTCAGACAAGGACCTAAAGTCCCCAGGTGAGATACAAAAGTTTTCACCAATTTTATTTTCCTGAGTTTTTTTTTTAATAATTCCATTAGCCATTTAATGGTAACAGGCAATATAAAACAAATTATTTGGGGCCTGCTTAATTATGGGGGCAGATTTGAGGGGTGGTTGGAGGGAAGGTAATTGTGGTGGTAGAATTGGGGTTGGATGCCTGTAACAGATGCATCACGCACAACTTTGTACACTACAGTGTTAAGGTAGAAAAAAATTACAAAGCTCAAAGGACTGGTGAGTGTTGCCTGTGTGTGTGTGAAGCCCAAGCTGGATGCCCAAAACCAGGCTGCTCTCCACAAGCCCCCTGCCCCCAGCATCTCTGGGTATCACTCTGAAGGGTTCAGCACTGCTGGGTCAGGCGTCATAGCATCTCTGAGCACTGGACCCTGCCACCTGGCTGAGGACTGCTGGACATGCCCAGACCCCTTGAGCACAGTTTTGGAGACAAAAAAGCAAATAAACATGTCTGGGATATTGACCTTAGGGCATGAAGAAAGGCTTAAGTGAAGCTGGGATCCTTGTTTTTGTCTTGGGGCTGCCATGCTTGGGGGGGGGGGGGGCTCACAGCTGGACCCCCTGTAAGCCCAAGTATGCAGTTCAATCCACTGAGCTCTCTCTGAACCTTCTCCTTAAGAAGACAGGGCAGAATGCCTTAAAAAGCCTCTTCATCAAGCAGGCAGTGAAATGTACCGGACTTTGTCAACGGGATGAACACGCCGTTTGTTTCTAGGATTCTGACAGGTCAAACTTCTGGTTCTCCTCTGAAGTCAGAACAAACCTTCCTTCTAGGACTTCGGACAGTGTCCGGCACCCGGGGGCCTGGCTCCATTCCTGCCCCCACTCTCAAGGCTCCTGGCTCTGCGAAAGTTTTCTTAACAGCTTCTGGGGGGCCCTGGGGCTCAGTCAGTGCCCAGAACCCTCCAGAGGGGAAAAGATAAATCACGAAAGTGGTGCCTGGCCTAAAGCAGTGCTAGTCTCGAGACTTTGAGCTCCACATTGGTGGGCATCGGAGTGATGGGGGCGAGACAGCAGACTGAAGTTCTGGACCCCATGCAAATTCAACTTCCATTCAACTATACAAAATATATTATTTTGGTTGTGCTTTGGGACAGGGATTGGGCTTGGGATGGAAACATCCCAAATATGGCAGTAGGAAGGTGTCATGGTGGTGGGATTGGTGTTTGAATATTAAATGTAATCAAATATCGTGAACTACCTTATAAAATAAAAAAAATTAAGAAAAAAAGAAATTCTATAAGGGATTTCTTGCAGCATTTCACAAATTGAATGGTTTATTTTTTAATTATATATTTTTAAATTAAAAAAAAATTCAACTTGCATTTCCCTAGGCCCCAGAGGATATCCTGCTGGTGGCGCCGGGAACACTCTGAGAAGCAGAGGCTCACTGCATCCAGACCTTTTCTAAGATAAGACGATTAGGAGTCTGGGGTGGCCTCACTGGGGGCATCTGCCACCCAGGCCACTCTGATCTGACACTGGTGTCTGGTGCCCTCCCAGCTGGGGACGTCTAAAGCAGAGCAAGGGCCCCGTGCCTGCCTGCCACCCCGGCTGACCTGACTCTGGAACGAGGCAAGTGCCAAGAATTCGAGCAGGCAACAGGGGCCAGAGAGTGGAGAAAGAGGACAGGGGTTAAGGCACTTGCTTTGCATGTGGCTGACGTGGGTTTCATCCCCAGCACCACGTACAATCCCCCGAGAACTGCCAGGGGTGATCCCTAAGGCCAGAGCCAGGAGTCAGCCTTAAGCACTGCTGGGCATGGCCCCCAAACCAGCCAAACCAAAAAAATCAGAAGCAACATGTGCTATGGCCTGACCGGGTCCCTTCATCCACTGGGTCAGTTAATGCTTCCAGAAGCTTCTCTTTGTCTTTGTCTCCCACTCCCTGCTTCGGGTCATGCTTTATCATGAAGTCAGGAATACCCTCAACAGCCTTAAGGCTCTGACTTCTGGGGGACCCCCCTACAACCTGCCCTCTCTCCTGTGCAGTCAAAGGAACCCATGAATTTTCATTTTTTGCCCACAATGAACACGAGTCAGGTGTCCGCCACCAAGAACACAGACTAATGACAATGCAAATCTTCACACATCAGACATGGGGCACCCTGCACCCCAGAAATGATAATATGACCAAGTGGGCAAAAGGCCAATCCCCAAGCTCACTGCCCAGTCCCCTGGTGCCCAAGCGTCTTACCTCGGGAAGCGGACCCCCACGGCGAACACAGAGACGCCCCTTTCCTTCAGCTGCTTGGCCGGCAGGGCCACCTGCCCCTGGGAACGCCCGTCGGTGACGATGATGAGGACCTGGGGCACGGAGGCATTTCTGCCCCCCGGGAAGCCTTTGCGCAGAAGGTACTTCAGAGCCAGCCCTGTCTCTGTGCGCCCACCTCTGAGCTCCCCGGAAAGGAAGAAAACAAAGAAGACAGTGTCAGTGACCCCCGCACCCCTGAGAGGGAAGCCGAATGAGAGCTCAGAAGACTCCGGCCAATCCCCAAGCTACAGTGAGGATGAGGTTTGAGGTGATATCGTGGTTCCCTGTGGGCTTGGACGGCCACTGTCTCCTGGGGTGTGGGGAGAACAAGCCACTGAGACTGGTGAGAACCCACAAGAGCACAATCATTCACAGCCTCGGGCGGAGGGGGTGAGGGCTGGGATGTTGAGGGCTGGGGTGTTGCATCAAAGCTGGTCCCTCCCCGGCTGCTGGCTCTTGTCCTCTCTCCTATGCCCAGTCAGACTCATCTCCCAAGCACAGGGACCATGGATGGAGCTCAGTATTTTTTTGGGTTTTGTTTTATTTTAAGCAAAAGACAAAAATCCTGAACTCAACCTCTCAACCTGTCTGGACCCTTCAAGGGAAAAGACTGGTTCCTTGGTGATATAGTTCAATTCATTGGGTTACTCTATATCCAGTACAAAGGATTATCATAAAAAATACAGCCAGAGAGAGAGCGAGCGAAAGAGAGATAGATAGATAGAGAGAGAGAGAGAGAGAGAGAGAGAGAGTACATCCATCAGGGAGGGTGCTTGCATGCGGGCGACCCAAGTTCAATCCCTGGAGCAACGAGTGCAGAGCAAGGAGTAATCCCTGAGCACTGCTGGGTATGACCCCAAAACAAAAACAAAATACAGCTTCATGGAAAAATACCTACCAGATTCTAATAAGTGGGGGGGGGGGGGGGGAAAGAGAAAGACGCTTTGCAGTTCTATCTGTTCTAGAAGCACAGGCACAGGTCCCTGTACTGTGCAAGCAGCCCAAGGCAGCTATAAAAGGCTGTGCAAAAGGCAAGCGGTGCTAATGTGCATAGAGTTTCTTTGAATACGAATGCATCTGTTACAACACCGATGGGGTCCCACACAAAGCCACACCCACAGAACTGGGCAGCGTGACTGAGGTCAGTGAAGGCCCCGGCCCTGTGCTCATGGTCTCTGCGGCCAACTGCTGACCCTGCTTTCACTGCACGTAACTGGAGGGGTGCAGACTCCATCCTAATCGTTTTGCAGATTCTCAGTGCCAAGTGGACACAGGGCTCATCTTCGAGTGGGTTTTTAGCCCTGAGGACATCATCTTGATCGCAAGAAGGAACTATGCTAGGTCTGGGGTAGGGAGGCACGGCCTCCTCCATTTCTAGCTCTACTGCAGGGAAGGGGCCAAGCGCCCTGGGGAATCCCCCTGCCCGTCAACCTGGCACTGCTCAGATGAACCATGGCATCCTCTTGCCAAGTATTCCTACTGGCCCTGCACCTCAACTGCCCCAACCCCTCAGAGGTGCTCCCTGGACTGGTTCTGATCTCTGACGGGTATCATAGGAGCCACAGAGCGAACCAGACATGGTGCCAAAGCAGAGATGATCACACCTGGGACCCCTGAAGAGTCGTTTCTCCTTCCGGGGGCTCGTCTGGCCATTGTTCCTGAGATTCTAGATTCCTACACGGTCAAGACTGCCTTCAAGTCCTGAGCTCTCATTTGCAGCCCAGCTCTGAGAAGAGGCTCAATTCTTCAGGGGATGGGAGGGCCAAGAGGAGTGGCCGAGAACAGAGTTTTTTGGAGGTGGGGGGGGGGCGATGCTGCCTGGATGAACAACGGGGTCCCTGTGGGTCCCATCTGAATCATGGGCCACTTCTTACCCTTGGTTCTTCCACTCAGGAATACAAGGGATTGGAGGAGCTGGGAAGACTAAGTATGCCATTTTTGAAAAAGGCTCTTGCCTTGCTCAACGAACCCCGTTTTCATCCCTACCCTAGTCTATGGTCCCCCAGACACTGCCAGAGGTTGCTCCTGAGCCCAGAGACAGGAGTGGCCCCAGAGCACCAGGGGGTGTGGCCCCCAAATAAAAACAAGGAACTGGAATGGCTGCCAGATGGTTGGCCCCATTTGCTCTGAGAACGGGACGGAGCCATTTGAGTCCATGTCGGTTTCTCACTTTCAGTCCTAGACTCTGCTGGGGAGGCGACTTATTCTTCTGCAAATGTTAGTGCGCCTAGAAGGGCACAAAGTGGTTTTACGGTAATAAAATAGTGTAGTACTAACGGTGTAATCCGTCAGCCACAATGTGCGTATCTTAGAGCTCTCCACTAGATGATTCTCAGCATCCTCAGACGTGTGCAACCACCACCCCTGCATAAGTCCGAAACACTTTCGATATCTCAACAATGACACTTCAGGCTAGAAGCAGGCATGCCCCAAAGATGCCGACATGACTGACGCCGACAGCGTGGGCCACCGGTGGCTCACAGTGCATGTGGCTCCGTGAACACAAACCACAGCACCAGCATGAATCTACTTGATGTCTCCATAGATGTGCCTAGACCTGGTGACTCCATGTACACAAAATACATAATACGGGATCTTTGGTGCCTGCTTTTTGCCGTATTTTTGAGGCCTATGCTCAGTGTGACCTGAGTCATGTCATCTTGCTACTTCAAGGATGAAAAGCATTCCGCTGCACGGACGGGCCTCCTTCTCTTTACTGGACATGAGTTAGTTATGTGCGGCTGACCCTGAATGTTGGCACACAAGTGTTGACATCGGCATGTTTTCACTTCTCTCGAAGTTGCCGAGTCAAGTGGCAACTCTAACACAGAGAAGTGACCAAACTCTCTCTGGAACCTGGGGATCTCCGGGGCCATAGAAAGGAGGCGCCCTGATGTACGAGGAACTGGGGAACTGTCCAGGGCTGCAGGTGTCACCAGGGACAGTGTTGGGAAAGGTTCCCCTGCTCCTGCCAGCCCTAGACATGCTTCACCCCATCTTCACACACACACACACACACACACACACACACACACACACACAAAATCATACATACACACCAGCTGTCCAACACACAATCACACACACATACATACACACCAGTTGTCTGCCCCCCACACACATAGTCACACACACACACATACCAGCTGTTCAACACACACACACACACACAATATACAGTCACACTAGCTATCCACCCAACACACAATCACAAATACACATCAGCTGTCCAACACCCTCCCCAGCTCTTTTCCCAAGGAAAAGGCAAGGGTACACACACACACACACACACACACACACACACACACACACACACACAAAATGAAAGTGACTCACATTTACATTCCACCTGGGACAGCATCCTGGGCCCACTGCGGGATGCAGCCAGGGGTGGGGAGTCCTTGTCAATGCCCCCTCTCTCAGGGGTCTGGTGGGTGGGGGGTTTTGGGAGCAGCCCCCAGAGCCCCCTGCACCCACCGCCTCCCTTGCAGGAGCACTCTTTAGAACAGCGAGCTCCTTCTCCCCGGCAGTGTCCCTGGTCATACGTACTTGAAAACCATCCTCTTGATCCTCGCCTTCACCTGCTGCCGGCTGGAGAACGAATCCAGGGGGAACTCCAGGTGCGGCACCGCACTGAACTGGAGCGCCCCCACACGGACCTGCATCAAGAGAGGTCAGAGAGCGGGCTGGTCACCTGCATGCCTAGGAAAAGGTGAGAACAGAGCCTGACCCCACCCAGCGTCAGCTCACTCAGCAAACGCCAGGACTGAGCATCCCCCATTTCCCTGAAAGAAGATTCCTAGGACCTGGGGCACACAGGGAAAGAAGATCTACCTGTGTATCGGGGGCTGGAGAGAGAGGCCAGGGGTGGGGGTGGGGGGGAGGCACTTGCCTTGGCCGCAGCTGACCATGTAGCTCATGATGCTTCGATACATTTTAAAATAGAAAATAAAATGTGTGTATTTAGCCTCACTGCTTATCTTTTCCTAACAATTTTGGGAGGATATTCAAGAGAGCTTATAAAGGGGGACTGGAGCGATAGTACAGTGGGTAGGGTGTTTGCTTTGCATGTGGTCGACCTGGGTTCAATTCCAGCATCCCATATGGTCCCCTGAGCACCGCCAGGAGTAATTCCTGAGCGCAGAACCAGGAGTAACCCCTGTGCATCACTGGGTGTGACAACGCCCCAGATCTTATAAAGGGACTGGAAAAATAGAAAGTGTGTGGGTAGGAGGGAGTTTTTTTCATGGAATGGCCTTTTACTGATTGACTGACTTCAGGGGGCACCCTAGGTGGTCGTCTTCAGGAAGCCCAGGGGCTGAGCAGTCAATTTTTGGTTGGCTGGTTAAGAACAAGAGTATGTGGTGCTGCTCAGGGGGACTCTAGGGGCCTCCAGGGCCTAATGCTCGAGGCTCAGGGGGACCTGGACTCCAGAGGATGGAGCGTGGGGCTGCAGCCCTGCTGGACCATCTCCTAACCCCTATCTTTTTATTGGGGCTTGTGAACAAATAACTTTGCATAAAGAAAAAAAAACCTGAGAACTCCCTGGAAACCAACAGCTGTGTCTATTTAGGGGGCGAAACAGGAAGGATGCAGCTTCAAACAAAACCAGAGAGACCTGACTTAACTTAGTAGTTAAGGCATTCAATTTAATTGGTGGTTTGGGGGCAACACAGTCGCCTTTTATCTTCTGTTGACTGTCTGCGAAGAAGCAAGCCGCCCCAACTTCTCACTGAATTGTAATCACCAGCTGTCTTCCCTGCACACAATCACAAACATGCTTCAGCTGTCCAACACACAACACACAATCATACATACATACACACCAGCTGTCGAACACACACACAATCATACATACACACCAGCTGTCCAACACACACACACAAAATCATACATACACACCAGCTGTCCAACACACAATCATACATACATACACATCAGCTGTCCAACACATACACACACAAAAAATTATACATACACACCAGCTGTCCAATACACAATCATACATACATATACCACCAGCTGTCCAACACACACAATCACACACACACACACATACATATACACAACCAGATGTCTGCCTCCCACACACGTAATTACACACACATACCAGCTGTCCAACACACATACATACATACATACACACCAGCTATCTGTCCCCCCACACACATAGTCACATACAAACATACCAGCTGTCCAACACACACACACACAATCATACAATCACACTAACTATCCACCCAACACACAATCACAAATACACATCAGCTGTCCAAAACACACACTCAGACCAGCTGTCCACCCCACACTCACAATCACACACACACACCAGCTGTCCGCCACCATAATCACACACACATCAGCTGTCTACACCCACAGTACACACATATACCAGCTGTCTGCCCCCTCACAATCACATGCACATCAGCTATCCATGCATCAACACACACACACACACAAACACCAGCTGTCCGCCTCCTCCATGGCAGCAGGGAAATCAACTGTGCATGTCCTCACCTCATCCTGGCCCCAGGCCTACCCACATGTGGGACACAAATGACCCACTAGAATGATTTCTTGAACTGTTTCGAGTCGCAGTTCTCGTCACTTGACTCTTCAGGGGACATGTGACCCTGCAGTCCCTGGGCCTCTCTGAGTCCATTTCCCTCTCTGTGAAACAGTCACTGCTGACCAGGCCTCCCTTCTCTCCAACCTGCCCCCTCAGCGTTGCCGGGACATTCAACCCATCCACACCAAAGTCTCCAGGGCTGGTCTCTGATGGGTCTTCCTCCAGGAATGTCCAGTGGGACCTCACAGGGCCTCATGTCCTTTGAGGAGTACGGGGCTGGGGGAGACCCTCTGCTGTCTGTAACTGTGAGGGGCTGACATCATGGGCTGAGGCCCAGGTAGCTCCTGCCCAGAGGCAGGATTCTGCTCCGAAGTCCAAGAGAAGCATCACGACTCCCTTCCTCAGGTGAAGGGCAATGTGTTCACTCTTCCGGAAGAATGCAGCATCCTGGGAGAGCTTGGCCCTCCTTAACAGCCACCTTTGCTCCTAAATCCTCCCGGCTTCTCTAGGATTAACCCAGGAATGTCACCGTGGAAATCACTTCCTTCCAACCTGTGTGCCACTAGTCTCTAATTCAGATAAATACGGCTTTCCAGAACCTGTGTCCTTCTAAACCTTTGGTTTCTGAGTGAGTCCACAGGGCTGAAAATGCAGAGAATGATAAAGGGCGTGTCATGAAAAGTCACTCTGTACTAGAGGCTCCTCTGCTTGCCTCCTGCCTTCCTTCTCCAGAAAGCCCCTTCTTAGCTCTTACAAAACCCACTGCAGCTCTGAGATGCGCGTACATAAACACAGGCACACAAAGACATGCATGCACATGCACACACACACACACACACACACACACACACACACACACTTCACCTCCTATTCCACAGAAAGCTGCATCCCTGCTGTTTGCTCCTTGCTTTTTTTTTATTTTTGCTTTTTTGGGTCACGCCCGGCAATGCACAGGGATTACTGCTGGCTCTGCACTCAGGAATTACTCCTGGAGGTGCTCGGGGGACCATATGGGATGCTGGGAATCGAACCCGGGTCAACCGTGTGCAAGACAATAAATGCCGCCCTACCCGCTGTGCCTCCAGCCCCTGATCCTTGCTTTTGACATTGCATTTGTTCTGCTTTCTTTTCTGTTATTTATTTGGGTTCTTTTATTGGGCCACCTCTGGTAGTTCTTAGGTGTGAACAATTGCTTTCCTCTGGCTCTCTACTCAGGAATCACTCCTGGTGGGGTTCAAGGGATCATATGGGATCTTACAAGGGATCTTGCAAGGCAAGTAAAGTACCTTACCCTCTCGGCTTGAATCTGTAACATTCTTAAAAATTTCACAGAATGGTTGAAACCTCACACTTTTATTTGTGTTTTCTGGGTCACACCTGGCGATGCTCAGGACTTAAAACTCCTAGCTCTGCACTCAGGGATCACTCCTGGTGATGCTCAGGGGACCATATGGAATGTGATGGAACCTAGGTCCTATACTATCACCTATCACTTCAACCCCACAATTCCACTTTTTTTTTTTGCCAAAATTTTTGGCATGAAATCTGTGATGTTCTGCAGCAAAGCATGGTGCGATCCAGTTTCACGGGAAGACACTGGCTTCTCCAAGGCTCTCAGCCTTTTTGTCTGCTGTTGATTTTCCTTCCCCACCAACATTTCTGTCCTCAATTACAAGCTCTTCTTAGTGGGAAACCAAATCTGTGGGTTCTGCGCCCACTCACCCACCCTATCCCAACCTCCAGGAGGTGGATGAGCGCCTGACGCTCAGGTGTGGCCAATCGCTTCCCTCCAGCAACTATGACTGGTCAAGAGACTGTGATGTGAGCCACAGGGTCCACCCAGCACCCTCCTGGGACATCTGGAACTTTTCAACTGCATCCCCTGGACTTGAAGATGCAGGGGCTGTGCGTAGTGAGACTAGTTGTCTGGGAGGCCAACAGCCCTGGGGCTCACCTGGAGCCAAAACTCCCTCCCACGGGGCTTCCTGCCCGTCTGCTGCCCGCACTCCACCACTGGCACTCACCCTCTCGAAGCTGATATCCAGCGCGTCACACACCGTGAGGGCAAAGTGCTTGGACCTCTCGAAGCTCCCCTTCCCGACGCTGTGGGAGCCATCCAGAAGGAACAGGAAGTCGGCCGCCACTGAGCACCGCATCACTAGAGGGGATGGGATGCAGGCCCAGTGGGCAGTGGCAGTCACTCTGCTTCCAGGAGGCAGAAAGGACCTTGTGGAGGTTCGGCATGGGGGTGCCCTCTGAGCACGAGGGGACTGGAACCCCAGGGAAGGTCCATCCCGGGTACAAAGCTCCCGAAAGGTGTGTTCTTTGCTGGACTGTCTGATCACTTCAACAGCACTAGGGAGCCTGGGAACAGGGACACTGGGAGATGAATTACTATCCCTGAGAGTCCAGGCACAACAGAGAGTTCATCGAGAGCAGGCGCTCCCTGTGATGCCTTGTGTGAGGATTTATTTGCTTCCCACACTGGTCCTGATACAGACCCCTTGTGGTTCTCTACCAGCTTTCTTGGGTTCTCGCTCCAGAACCAGGTGCTGCATCCACAGTTACCAGTTACCATGGCAACCCATGCAGTGCTCTGAGAGCATCCATCACCCACTGCAAGGTGATTCAGGAACATCATCAACCATCAGGAAAAGAAACTGGACCTCAGCTATCAGGCCCCCTGCTCACCCCCACCCCCCGTCCCAGGTGGCCTTAGGAACTCCATTCCCATGGGATGATGAGGCGAGCCGGGCATGGGGCAGTTCAGTGGCGTTTCTAAGCTGGGAAGGCTTGGGGCACACCCAGGACACCTTCGTGGGGGCACCCTCCTCCTCATCCAAGGAAGTAGGAGAGAGAGCAGCGGGGGTCCTTGGGGCAGCTGACCAGGGGCTCTCCACCTCTGCAGAGAGGGAAGGGCGGGCATGTTGGGTGTGGACACAGGAGGATGAAAAAGAAGAGGGGAAGGAAGATGGGGAGAGACACGGGGTCTCTGGCAGACCAGACCGGTGAGCCAAGGGCTTCGGCACCAGGGACCCCTCTAGGGCTTCCACCGCGGAGAGGGATGGAGTCAGCAGGAAATCGACTCCACGGTGTGAAAGAAAGACAGACAGGGTGGTACAGAGGCGGGAGGGACCCCCCACCCCCCCCCCCCTCCAGGGGAAAGCCACAGGCCACAGCAAACACTCACTCTTGCTGGCTGCCGAGATCTTCCCCAGGGTCTCCCTGCTCACGTGCACTTCCTGAAGAGGCCACGAGGTGGGCACTAGAGGGGGAGCACCGGACAAACTCATGCACGGCCGAGACAGCAGGGGCGATGTCTTAGCTGGCGCCAGGGTGGGGAACAGAATGAACGGGTGGCGGCCACAGGAGCACACAGCAATGACATCGCATCTGCCCAGGTGGGGGAGTGAGGAGACGGGGAGGGCGTCAACAATATCAGGAACACCGAGGCCCAAGCACGCCAGGGCTTGCCCGGTAACTTGGGACCTGAGGGAATGGCCCTGGGACCCCTTGAGACCTGCACAGGCATCTGTGATCCTCTCAGTGAGAGGCTTTGCCGCTGGCTGGCACCATAACCGGATTCCCTCCCGAAGTGCTGTTTGGTAACACAAACCTGGGAGACGCTCAGAGACGCAGAAACACTGGAAGCCCTGGGTCCTGTCCCAGTGACCCAAGCAGCACAGGGAGTGGCCGCCAAGCATTGGACCACCAGGAGCGTCTCGTGAGTACTGAGTCAGGAGCAACCCCTGAGCACTGGCACTGAAGCACCCTGAGCACTGACACAGGAGTATCCCCTTAGCAACAGGCTGGGAGTAGCACCTGTGCACCACCCCATGAGGCCCAGTAAGGAAAGTGCAAACAAAGCCAGGCTGGGCGAGTGTCACCAGAGCCACAGCCAGGCAGAGCTCGGATCCGCAGGCACAGAAGGAAGCTGCACTCTGCACCCAGGGCTGTATCGGAGGGTCCCGGTTCCTGTCGGGGTTCGGAAGGGACCCCAGGAGCGGTTAGTGTCAGGCCTGCGGCAGAGAGCAAGGTTCCCAGGGAGGCAGGGAGTGGGGGAGACGGGGTGACCCAGGCAGAGGGCCCCCATGGGGGGTGGCGCGAGTGTGCTGGGCAGGCGTGGAAGGACAACAGCCCAAGGGAGGGAGCCGCGGGCCAGGACAGCTGCACCTCTTTTTTTGGGGGGTCACACCCAGCGATGCTCAGGGGTTACTCCTGGCTCATGCACTCAGGAATTACTCCTGGCAGTGCTCGGGGGACCCTATGGAATGCTGGGAATAGAACCCGGATTGGCCACATGCAAGGCAAACACCCTACCCACTGTGCTATCGCTCCAGCCCCAGGCTGCACGTCTTAAGAGCATCGGGAACCCCGGAAGTTTCAGGCCAGGGGGCAGCACCTGACTCGGTGGGGAAGCGTGTCTGAGGCTTTGGGTTGTAACCACAGCAAAACAGAAGCCAGTGTCAGGCAGGAAGTGGGGGTCAGAAGGCGGAGGGGTTGACACGGCTGCCCGGTGGAGGGAGACCAGGCAGACCCCCCAGCAGGCTGCTGTGGAGATGCCTGACAACCAGACAGGGGCAGAGGCAAGAAGCGCAGCCCCCAAGCTCGGCCCCGCGCCGCCCAGACCACTCACCTTGGCACACCAGGACCAGGCACACGGCTCCCAGTAGGCGGATCGGGGCCATGCTGGAGGCCCTGGGGACAGAGAACAGCATCAGCAGGGCGCTCGACAGCCTCGCCACGCTGCACCCCTCAGCCTTTTCCAGAAAGAGATCAGGAGGCTGAGGACCCCAGTACTGGAGCTCCAGATCATAGTGCCAGAGTTGGGGGTACGAGGCCTCAGTGGCTTCCCCTGAGAGCTGTCCCCAGCAATTCAACTCCTTCATGGCCCAGGCAGGACAAGGTTGGAGGCGTGGGTGGGGACTTGGTGGTCCTGGACCCTGACTAGAACGTGCCCTTGGGCGCTCCTTCCTCTGGTACGGATCTGGCTGCCAATGTCTTCTCTTTCTGGAGCCTTCTATCAAGGTCACCATACCCAGACAAGAGTGTCAATGCTCACGCTTTGGGGGTGCATTGATTTCTTCCACCAAAGGGGTTTCTTTTTATAAAAATCTATAGACTAGGGGCCGGCAGGCTAGTCCAGCAAGGAGGGCACTTGCTCTGCACGCGGCTGACCCTGGTTTGATCCCCAGCACCGAAGATGGTCCCGGAGTCCCACCAGGAGTGATCCCTCAGTGCAGAGCAGGGAGTAAGCCCTGGGCACCGCTGGGTGTGCCCCTGCATAAAAAAAAAAAATCTAGAGACTGATGCTCGAGCACGTGTGGGCCCAGAGATGAGGTGTGCTTCGCACCTGAAGTCTGGCACCACTCAAGGGCAGCCCGCCTGACTCAGTCACAAAGCAAAGGCCGCGTTCCAGACAGGCTGGTGTCCGCACATGTCTCCGTATAACCGCGGGGCTCAATGGGTCATGGAGAATGAAATTTTTTATTTATTTTTTTACAGTTACAAAACTTTTATGTTTGCGTTTCAGTCATACAATAATCGAACACCCATCCCTCCACCAGTGTACATTTTCCACCACCAATGTCCCCAGTATCCCTACCCCCACCCTTTCCCCTGCCTCTATGGCAGACAATATGGAGAATCAAATTTAGACACCCCCCTACTCCCTCCCTCACCCCCACAATAACTGGTGCAAGTAAGCGAGGAAGAGTCTAAAAATATCTTCCCCAAAGTATCAGGAACATCTTCCCCCACCCCTGGGGACCCGAAACATTCAAGATCTCTCCCTCCAGCGAATCTGCATTTCACAAGCCTGTTGAGATTACTCAGGCCTGGAGAAATCACGCAGAGAACTCGGGTTCGACCCCTAGCACCCCACGGTGCTTCATGAATACCACTGCGGACAGCCTAGAGACGAACAAAACCAAGCAAACAACGAACCTCAAAGCGGACCAGTCTCCCACTGGCCAACTACCCCCTGACACTCAGTCAAGAGCGAATCCCAGCAGAAAATGAGAAAGGGAGTTCCTGCAGAATTCCAGGTTCTGAATCCTGGGCAGAGGAAACGAGGGCAGGGACTGTCGGTCACCCCAGCGGGCAGCACCTGAGGTGACCCATTCACCCCACCCATGGAAGAATAAGGGACCACATCTTCGTTCACAAAGTCTGGGCCTTCAGCCCCGACTGCTGGATGCCCCTGTCACAACCGAACCCAAGGCAGGAACCTCCTGGTCCCCTTTTGCCACTCACGAAATTGCCTTTAACTTCACGAAAACAAATTCACCTTCTCTGCCAACAAAGGAGCACAGCCAACCCCAGGGGCGGACATTGCCGGGCTCAAGGAGGCAGCTGTGAACAGCAGCAGGGCCTTGTGACCCACAGAAACATTTTCCGTAGCCCCGCTCACGCTCATCACGGCGCCAAGGAGAGCTGGGCAGGTTGCCGCACACGGCTTCCTGTGGAAGGTCAGGGCTGATTCCCAGCACGGCAAGATCCCCCAAGCACAGTGCTGGGAAGAGTAGCGCATACCCCAGCATCACTGGGTATATCCCCCATTCCCACCCCCCACACTGATCAAAGCAAAATCGAGACCAAGAAAGGGTGTTATCATCAGGCCTTATGTGGAATCGCAGGGAACGTGAAGGGACTTGAGGGGAAGTCACAGATCCACAGTATGCTGTGTCAGTGCAGGGAGGAGAGAACTGAGACCCAGAATGGGGGGTTTCTCGGGCTCCTGTACCCCATGTATTATCCTCTCGTGCATCCTCTTCTTCACACTGCTGCTGGGCCAGTGTTGGCTTGGGGAGTGTGGGCAAATGCTCAGAACCCCGCGGGCACTGAGGGGGCGCACTCAGGTCAGCATGGGGACACCTGCCCCAGGGTGGTAGAGAGTCTTCTTCTCACCCATTGCCCAATATCTGGGACCTTCCTCATCCAACGCCCGACATCTGGGGTCCTTCTCATCCAATGCCTGATATCCGGGGTCCCCTCTCAACAGTGCTTGATATCTGGACCCCCTCTAATCCAATGCTTGATATGCAGGCTCCCTCTCAACCAATGCCTGATACTGGGGACCCCATCACATCCAATGCCTGATATCGGGGGCCAATGCCTGATATCGGGGGCCCCTCACATTCAATGCCTGATACTGGGGGCTCTTCTCATCCAATGCCTGATATCGAGGGCCCATTACATTCAATGCCCAATATTGGGGGGGCCCCCTCTCACCCAATGCCTGGTATCGAAGCCCATTATATTCAATGCCTGATACTGGGGGCCCCCCCCTCTCGCCCAATGCCTGGTATCGGGGCCCATTACAGTCAATGCCTGCTATCAGGGGTCCATTACATTCAATGCCTGGTATCTGGGCCCCGTCTCACCCAATGCCTGATATCAGGGGTCCCATTGCATCCAATGCCTGATGCCAGGGGCTCGGTCTCATCAATGCCTGTGCCCTGTTGGGAGCCCAGGCATCTCAGTTACAAAGAGAGGTGGCTGCTGTGGCCCACCTTGTTTGAAGGAGCCCCTCTAGGCTCCCCTCCACCGTTCCCAGGACAGGCAGGCCTTTCTCCCTATGTCTAGTTGAGTCTAGTTCTGGCGCAGACTCACCAGCTGAGGGTCACTGCTTCCCATCGCCAAAAGGCTCCTCCTGGCCTCCTCCGGGTGGGCACGGGAATCCAGAGTGCACGAGGAGGCCAGCAGCTGCCCAGACACGGCACAGGGAGCAGGGGACAGAAAGACCAGGGGCCAGTCCTGCCCTGCCAGAGAGACTTCCGGAGCCTGCAAGCGGTCATTTCTGCTCTTACTCCCCATGCCAAACTCAAGGCACAACAAGTCCCCACCTGCTTCCTGGGAGCCAGGGGGGGAGGAGGTGTGGGGATAGGCAGCTCGGGCCGAGGGACAGGATTCCCATACTGGTGGGCTTTGTTTCCGGGCCTAGAAATTCCTGCCACGAGGGGCTAAAGCTGCTTTCCAAAGCGAGACCACCCATGGGGGAGCTGGGTCGATCCATGGGGTGCCAGGAGCCTCTGCTGTGATTTCTGGGAGCTTGTTTGTTCACATAAAGATGTTAGATCTCCAGGGCTGGAGAGATAGCACAGGGGTAAGACTCTGCCCTTGCCACATGGTCAAGCCTGTTTTAAATCCCTTAAATCCCCCGAGCACTGGCAGGTGTGAGCCCTGAGCATGGCAGAGTATGCCTCCCCACTAATTCCATCCCCATCCCCCTCCCCCAGCAAAACAAAACAGAAAAAAGAGAAAAGAAAGAAGATCTCTAGGAACGATGGGGCTGAGAGACTCTTTTTCCTAAAAAGAGGGCAGCAGGCTCTTTTTAAATAAGTTTGGAGTGGCTGGAGTGATAGCATAGCTGGGAGGGCATTTGCCTTGTACGCAAATGATCTGGGTTTGATCCCTAGCATCCCATATGGTTCTCCCGTGCACCACCAGGAGTGATTCTTGAGCACAGAGCCAGGAATGACCCCTGAGCATTGCTGGGTGTGGCCCAAAAACTAAAAACAAAACAAATAAATAAATTTGGAGACCAGAGAGTATTTCCCCATGAATCTTGGTGCCCGCTGTAGTCACAGCCTTTGGGGAGGTGGGAACAGGGAGCAGGGGACCGAGATGAATGAAACAGAAGCAGTTTCTCGGCTGCTATCACTGATTCCCACCCAATATCTCAGCGATTCAGGACCAGCCTCTTCCCTTCCCACAGCTTCCTTGCCATATGGATCCCACGTTCTCAATACAACCAGGACTATATGGGATGCTGGGAATTGAACCTGAGTTGGCCGTGTGCAAAGCAAATGCCCTACCTGCTGTGCTATCGCTCCAGCCCCCAACTTATGTTTTGGGGGACATACATCTATCACTCCACCCCCACCACTACAGAAATATTTTTAACCATCTGTCTTCTTTTCTCTTTTAATTTTGTATCAGGATTCCCGGTAAGTTACCGAGAGTATCTTGTCCGCATGGTAGAACCTGGCCAGGTACCCGTGACGTATTCAATATGCCAAACACAGTAACAACGTCTCACAATGGAGACATTACTGGGTCCGCTTAAGCAAATCGATGAACAATGGGAGGACAGTGCTACAGTGCAGTGCAATACAATCGGACATCTGAGCCCTTTCACAAAGGACGAGTCCCACCAGGAAAAAGTCAGGAAGGGCCACTGAGGAAGCAAGGTGGCAGGTCGGGCTTGAGCAGACTCGCCTGGTCCCCTGTGTTTACTCCCGACCCACCCATCAGCCAGGGGAAGCATCCCCCCACCCCCGCCAGTCTACGCGGCAGAACTGGGAGGCGTGGGAAAGTGAGGTGCTCTGCCCCGGGCCTGCCAGCGAAGAGGCGGGCACACTCCACTCTGGCCGGCCTCCAGGGGCTCTGTTCAATCTGTCACCCTCATAGCGGGAGGCCCAGGAGAACAGGCATCTGCAGTCCTGCCCGGGGGCAGCTTTCCCACCAGCTCATACAAGCCAGCAACTCCCACGGGGCAGCACACAAGGTGAGATTTCCAGAACCTTCTGCATTCTTGTGCAAAGCATCTGGGAGTGGTCAGACCCTGTTCCACGTTGCTGATTTTTTTTTTTTTTGCCAGTCTTTCCATTACAAAACACCCCACTCATCCCACTTACACCTTTCCTTCCATGAGTCATGCTAATCTCACACATCGTTGCTGGATTTCTGGGGCTCCTTAGGTGTAGCTTTCAAATCCCAATGCCACACCCAGCCTGCAGTGAAAGCCTTTGGGAGAGGAGCTGAGTAGGGGTCCGGTCCCACGTCCCCCCACACAGAACATACTGATAAAGAGAGGGGCTGGGTGGCGAGGGCCTGAGGCAGACTGGCAGGTCACTGGGTGACTTCCACTCTCACCTATGCTCTTCCACTCTTTTGTGATGGGAGAAAAGAGTGTTGGGCACCAAATACCTCCTCCCCTGTGAGCTGCCCTGACCCCATGACATTCAGTCACCCCTCTCCTCCCTCCCTGCTGGGGATGGAAACTGGAGTCTTTTCTGGGGTCAATTCCCACCCAAGCAGGGAGTCCTGGAGAAGGAAATACCACATGGACATCTCAGCGCTTCTTGCTGTGACAAAAGTTTCCCCGTGCACCTGGCAGGCACCTTGACTCAGGCGAGAGTCCCGTGAAATAGACACTCGGCCTGTTTGCAAGGAAAGGTCTACCTGCTACCCCTGAGCTAAAGATCCATTCTCAGAATCCTGCACTGCAGTATGACAAGTACAGGGCGGGGGGGGGGGGGGGGGGGGGGCAGGGAGGGAGAGTGTGACCTTGGTTCCCCTGGGAGGCTGGGGTGAAAGCTGACTGGACAGGCTTAAACCGCTCTGCCTCCCACGCCTGGCACTTGCCTTAAGACATTTTGTGTGGGGATCATGCCCAGCTCTGCTCAGGGCTTGCTCCTAGCTCTGCACTCAGGGATCATTCCTGGTGGAACTCGGGGTGGGGGAGACCTTTTTTCTCCAGAAGAGACTGTGTGCGGGTGTGTGTGTGCATGTGAGTGTCTCTGTGTGTGCATATGTGCACGTGTCTTTGTATGTGTGTAGGCATGTTTGTGTGCCTGTGTGTGCATATGTGCACGTGTCTTTGTATGTGTGTAGGCATGTTTGTGTGCCTGTGTGTGCACGTGCATGCATGTATAAGCATATGTGCATATGTCCGAGTGTGTGAGTGTGTGTCCGTGTATGCTGTCTCAGGGTGAGCAGAGCCATCCGGGCTACATCAGTGGCACTGGGGATTCAACTGCAGTCCTATGCAGGCCTCCTCTGCACCCCTTTTTGAGCCATCTCCCTGGCCCCCAACAGGAATTCTGATATTTATTTTGGTTTCTGAAAAACCTTTTTAAAGCTGTACAAGACTCAAATTCACTGCCTCAGAACTCTCAGAAGCACAGGCGTCCAAGAGAAAGCACACAGAACCATAGTCCAGAGACCCAATCCAGCCCAGCTCCAGTTCTAAGCAGCTGGGAAACCCCAGCAGCGATGCTGGGTCCCAAGGCAGAGGTGCAACTCTCTGCGGGGTCCGACTTGCCGCAGGCTCCCAGAGCCGGGGTGGTGGAGAGAGAGCTGCTGGGGGCTGTTGGATGTGGCTGCTTTGTATCCATGAATTGGGAGGCATCGGAGGGATGGGCAGGGGGGTGGGGAGGGTGCGAAAGACAGCATCCTCTGACCTTTCCTCCCTAGAGCTTCTTTTTCTTTTCAGATGTTTCCCCCAGTAAAGACACGACGTATTTTCTTACACTGGAGCTGAGGAAAGCTGACATTTGGGGCTCAGGGGCCGTGGCTACTTGCAGCAGGAACACCTTTGTTGGTTTGAAGTGTTCGGGGTTCTAGCTATCCTGTTCCAGGACACTAGAACACGGTCCCCGGGAAAGGCCCCTTGCGGCTGGCGTACCACCTACCGCTTCTTAAATAAAAGGGGTCCCCGCTGGGAAGTCTCCAAGCGGCAGGAAGGCAGCCCAGGAAGCAGGGAGCGGCGGCCAAGGTGGCCGGGGCTGGGGGTGGCAGGGGGCTTCCCACCCCGTGAAATCATCAGTAAGAACAAATCCCAGGGCCTTCCCGTCGCCCTAAAGAGAGTTCCTTTCGGGCTCTGCTTCTTGAAACAACTCCCGGAGAAACTCATCTGCGGGGGGAAAACTGCAGGCGAATTACCAGAACACCTGCGTTAGGTTTCCAAACGCAACCGGGCGAGTTTGGGCCGGTTCCCCCAAGCCTTGATCCCAAAGGCAAAAGTTCCCTCCTGCGGCCTCCGGAGTAGCGGCGCGACGGTGCCACCGCGTCCCCTCCTCCGCACGCCGCGCTGTCCCCTTACCTGCGCTGGGCGCTCCCGCCGCCCGAGCCGGGCCGCACCAGAGGCGGCTGCGCTGCCCCTCGCGGGACACGGGGACCGACGGCGGAGAGCAGGGCCCGGGGAGAGGCGTCGGCCCGGGGCGCGCCCGGTGCTGGGGGCCGGGGGGTCCCCGGGTCCTCGCCGCGGCCGCGCTGCCCAGGTGAAGCGCAGACAATGCCGAACAAAGCCCGCGGGGCCGCGCTCGGGGGCCCGGGCGGACGCTCCGGCCGCCGCGCGCCCCGGGAGCCTCGGGACCGCGGGGCTGGGGCGGGCACGGGCGCGGGCACCAACGCGGGGCACAGACCCCGGGATGGAGCGCGGCGGCTGCGCCCGCGGGAGCCCCTGCCCGGGCGGCTGTGCGGGCGGCGCGCGCCCGGGCTGCGCTCAGGCCAGGGGGCGCTGCAGGCCGGCCGTGGGGGGCGCGGGAGCCACGTGGGACACCTGTGCGGCTTCCCGGGAGGCGCGGGGCGTGGCGCCCGGGCCCGGCCCAGGTGGGCAGGTCGGCGGAGGCGCGGGTCCCCGAGCCGGGCGGCCGGGAACGCTGCGCCGGCCGTCGTGGAGTCGGTGACGGCCTGGATTTATGGCTCCGACCCGTGCCCAAGTGTTTGCTTTGGCAGAGTGTTCTGTTTGTCCGGCGGGCCCCTGCTCGCTTGATTATTCGGTTACCGCACTTGGGAGCAACAGCGGGCCTTTGGGCCGCACCCTCGGGGAAGCACGGAGGGTGCCCGGCTTTTAAAAGTGTTAAACGGAACAGAGTAGTTCAGTGGCTAGCTCAATGCCTAGGACACTGCATTCCACCAACGATGGTTAGGATCCAGAAGAGGTGCTATTGCGTAACTGTACGCTCTTTGAAATAAAACATTCAGAAAGCAAACTGAGAAACCACTCATCCTACTCCACAGATAACCATTGCTACGTTAGTCCATGCTTTCCCATTCCCTTTCTCCTGAGATAAAAATCGACATTCTTTTAGTTTAATTTTATTGTGTCCTAGTTTTCCCATTTCCCTTCTTAAAGTCGTTTTGGAAAAACAAAAAAATTCGTTTTGGGGTTAACTCCTTGATAGTTTTTACCCACTATTGCTCAACTCTTCATTTTAATTATGAAGTTACAGGTTTGTATTATGGCCTAGTTGCTTCCTTGTGATAAACTGCAAATAGGAAACTTTCTAGGCTGGGGCAATTGTGATCAAAGGCTGTAGTTGGGGGTGTAATGGGGGTTGCCCTCTGGTTAATTAGCTGATCTTTCAGGATTGTTGTTGAGCCCACTAGTTAATTTCTTTGGCTGACAACCTCACAATCACTTAATTTCTAGAGCCTCTACCGGTAAGAATCCAGCGCTGAGGTTGAACTGCTTGCCGAGATGTGACCCACCACATGAAGTCTCAGACTACCAGGAATGATCCCTGAGCAGAACCAGGCCTAGCCCCTGAACACCAAAGCCACCACCAGGGCACCTGTTACTCTCCACACCATCCCAGAGACCCTTAACCCACCTCCTTCTCACCTCCCCCAACACCCCAGGTAACCTCAGATATGTAGACCAAGGGTCAGTTCTGTTGCCTTTGGCCATTTGTTGTTCCCTTACTATGTTTATATTCCACGAGATCATTGTCCGTCCTCCTTCACTTGGCATTGTACGATGCTCTAGTTCCACCCACGTGGTGCAGTATGGCACGATTTTCTTGTAGCCGAGCGGTATTCCATTGGGTCTATGTACTACACTTTCTTTATCCACTCATCTGGTCTTGGGATCTTGGGTTGTTTCCAGACCCTCGTCATTGTGAATAGTGCTGCAATGAATATAGGGGCACAGGTATCTCTCCAACAAGTGTTTTGGGGCCCTGGGTGTAGACGCTGATAAGTGGAATCACTAAAGCTCAGTTCTTAAGGTTTCTGAGAAGTGTCCATATAAAACAGGAAACATTTGAAAATGCATCGATTCAGTTATTCCTCATTGAGTTTTAGACACTGTTCCAGCACTAATCCACCATGTGTAGACTTGCCTCCACCTATGCGTTAAGGTTCCCTCCCCCCATCAGCCTGCCCTCTTCACAAGTACCTTTGAAGTTCTGTTGTTGTAGTTCTCATGATTTCAGTGTTACTGACTCTGTGATTTGGACATTTAGCTCTATCATTCTGTAACGCCACCCATGTACGCCATCATTCCCCTGAGCCCCACTGAATTCATCTGTCTCTTCTTCCCACCCCTCTGCTCTAGTTCATTCTTTCTCCTTATACTCTGGGGCTAAGGGTGATCTTGACATCCCCTTTCAATCCACTGTATTTTCTTCATCTAGTGCTCCTACCACATATTAAGTAATATCTGGTTTATCCTTTTTCTTCCGGCTTACTTCATTTAACATACCTTCCAGTTCCATGTTGCTTCAAACTGCATGATTCCACCATTCATTACAGCCGTATAGTATTCCACTGTATCTAAAAATCCCATCAAAAAATATAAAACTTTTAAAACCTAGACAGAAGATCTGGTGACAGTATATGGCAAATATATTAACCCAGGATACAGTTAACACTTCTACTTGAGACTTGTGCTACAGATTAGTACTTCGGAAGGAACAAGATTAAGGGGCATGCTTTACATGTTGGGAGGCCCAGGTAGATCCCATGTGGTCCCCCAAGCACCACCAGATGTGGCCCCAAAGCACGTATTTTTATAAAGAAGTTATCAAAATGCTGACACTAAGAACATAAGGAAAATCTGACTGTACAGTGATGGGATTTTATTGGGCAATGCAGAGTAACTTTATTCAACACCACTCTTAATATGAGGAAAAAATCAAACTAATAGAAGACCTGATACACATTACCATAAAGAAGAAAAAGATTGTTTCTTCTATGATCTGATGAGATCTCTTAGGTGATCAGTCTGATACGTAAGAAAAAAAAGGTTTATTTTTATATTGGGGCCACATGCACAGAGGTAAGGGCAACTCCTGATACCTAGTCTCTGGCCTGAGCCTAATGGCTCAATGTCCAGAACTGTAGCCAGGATCAAAGCAAGGGCCTCCACAGGCTAGTAACATGGTTGCTCCTACCATTTTTCAGTTACATCCCTGGCCCCAGTCAATGTGCTATGTCTAAGCTACATTGTTAAATGTATTCTGTGCTTGACAGAACAGTAAGTTCTATCTACCATAAAAAAAAAAGTTTATATGGCTACAGAGTTGAACAGGCCAGATAATGGCAGGAGCAGAGAGAAATATCTCTGCTGGAGAATCCAGAAAGAAACTGAGTTCACAGGCAAAGGCAAAGGGATCCAAGGTGGGGTATAGAGGACAATGCCGACTGATGAGTTCTGAGTGGCGGGGAAACAAGAGCAGAGACCAAAAGCAACACAAACCAAATATTTATTATATGGAAGAGACAGGGGATGGCAGGGAGAGCAGGAAACATTTTTTTAATGAAATCTTTCAAACATTCAAAGTCCAGAAAGAAATAACGTGTACTCCTTAACTACATTTATCTGGTATCAACATGAAGCCCTATTTTCTTCAATACTTTAAAGTATTGAAGAAAAGCACTGAAATATTTCTTCAGCGCTTTTAATAAAAAGTTAAATAGGGGCAGAAGCAATAGTACAGCAGGTAGGATGCTTGCTTTGCATGAAGTCAACCAGGGTTCAATCCCTGGCACCCCATAAGGTCCTCCTGAGCCCCACCAGGAATGATCCCTGAGTGCAAAGCCAGAAGCAAGCCCTGGTCATCACCAGGAGTGCCCCTCCCCCCCCCAAAAAAGTTAACATATGCAGTAGAAATCTCCTGTGTATTACCCCCTTCCCAATATTCCCATGAATTCAGTATTACTCTTTTATGCAAGGCTTATATGGAAGAATTTAGTGGGACAGGGGGGGAATAAAACTACCCAACCTAATAAAGAGGGGCAATGAAACAAAACTGTAAGCTTGAAAAGTCATCAAAGCAGACAAAGAAAAGGTTCCGATAGACTCAAAACCAAGATGCTGCCTCTTCTCTAAGCCTGGCACTCACTGTTTCCTTTCTCACGTCAGAGCTTATCTCCAAGACAGACTGCTTCTGCAAGAGAAAAAGCAGAGATCATTATGCCTCACAGGAACAGAGCAATCCCTTTGCTCATTTTCTATTTTAGACACAACGCAACTAGGAACCTTCAATTGAAACGATGAAATGACCCCTTGAGGGGTTGGGGGTGCTGGAAACTCCCCCAGCTGCCAACTGCCCCCCCAAATCTATAGTTGTGTTCTGCATGCCCGTTGCTCTCTGCAAGCTCAGTGAGAACTTGTGTGCATTCTTTCCACTACAAAATATTCTACTGGTATGCAGAAGTTCTCAGCACATTTGAGCAACAATTAGCTTCATATTTTGTTCATCACAGCCACACTGTATTTCCAGTTTAGCAATTTTACAGTCTTAAATTTCTCCAGAGATGATGCAACACTATTTTGAAACCATTTTCTCTACCCCTGGGAAGAATGGTTTAAAAGAATAACCCTTCAGTGACATTTCTCCACCACAAGGTGGATGTGTTTAAGCAGACATGAATGCTTGTTCTGTGAGTGACATAGACCTTGCAGAAATGGCACTGATCCAATACCAACAGCAGCCTGGTACGGGGCAGCAGAGAAAAAGTACTTTGAGGCCTCAACCTATTTGCCAGTCTGGGTCTGTGATGTGGAGGGCTGAGGGACATTGAATCGCACTCAACCTCCGCTTCCTCATCTACAGCATGGAGTCTCCTTTCCTTTCAAGGGTAATTATGTGACAATCAAGTGCCTTGTTGTAGAAATGCACTACATTGCACTACAATGTCGCTACCCAAATATAAGGTATTTTTCTATATTCGAATGTGGAGAAAATGTGTATTCAAAACTGCATCAGGAGAAAAGTCTGCTTAACTATTATACCTTAAATCAAGCCATGTTGTTACCTGGGTGGGTTTTAGGTAATTGTCTTCAATCTATTTAGAACAACAGAAAATAAAAATTCCACCTAAAATTGTGCATAAGCACTCTTATGATGTCCTTATTTTTTATTTTCTTTATTTTTTGCTTTTTGGGTCACACCTGGCAATGCACAGGGGTTACTCCTGGCTCTGCACTCAGGAGTTACTCCTGGCGGTGCTCAGGGGACCATATGGGATGCTGGGAATTAAAGTCGGGTTAGCTGCGTGCAAGGCAAACACCCTACCCGCTGTGCTATCGCCCCAGCCCCATGTCCTTATATTTTTTAAATCTTATTATACCATTATAAAAATGAAGCACACATAAGTTAGCCAACCTTATTAAAAACAAGGCACTAGAACTAATCTAGATGCTAATATTACTGTACAATCCATCATTCAAGAGACCAAAATCATTTAAGAATTTTAAATGTAAGTACACAAATTAAAGTTGCAATTACAATTGTGAAGTCTGCATTTATTTAAAAAAAACTTGTAAAAGGGCAATAAATCATCAGCTACAAATCATAATGACATCTACTGGTAATTCAAAACTCGGCTCTTCAGTGAGAGAAGCGCATAGGCACATGGGTCAATGGGGACCAGCTCACAGGACCTGCACAGCTATGCAAACCATCCAACTGAAACTGCACTTCTGGGGGCCTGCCTGGAGTGAGAGTACGGGGGTAGGGCATTTGCTTTGTATGAGGCCGACACAGGTTCAATCCTCGGCATCTCACATGCACCCCCGAGCACCACCAGGAGTAAAGCTAGGAGTAACCCTTGAGCATCACCAGGTATGACCCCCCCACAAAAAGCAAAAATCAAAAACAAAAGAAAGCTGCACTTCAACAAGACCCAGCATGCTAACTAAATCAAAGTTCCTCTGGGTGGGGCTGGAATGTAATCAACTCAAAATTTAAGAATGATTTCATCTAGCTCAGTAGTTCTGACTGGCTATTGATCAGAAACTCCTCAGTGCAGAACACCGCATTTCAGAGACCAATGGGGAAGGAATATGTTAAAAATTGAATAATGTCTTCAAGTTACTCATATCAGGACCGAAAGGGAAGGAGAAACCTGTTGTATCCTGAGAAGAAATATAACACCAATACAGCCCACTTGGCATTCTTGGTCCCTTATAACCTCCCCACAGATAATACTGAGCTGTTTTTTTTTTTTTTAGGAACTCATACACCAGTGAATTAATTTCACGTTTGGACATGAAGAATCTGAGGTTAAGCTTTGCCTCAATAATGTTTGACAAGTCCTTCCCCAGATCGGTGATATGAGCATTCTGGGAATGAAGCCATAGTGAATGAGTTGAGGGGTTGCATAGGACGACCACCCCATTAAACGGGGGGAGGGGGAAACGAAGAAAAGTTCAACCCAGTCAGCTAGCCAGTCACCATAGGACAAATGGCTCAAGCCTGAAGTTCCATCAGAGCTATCCGACCCGCAAGCTGGGGTGCCCTTGAAGTAGCAAAAAATTTCAAATTTAACTTACTTAACTTTTTAACAGTTTTTTCATTTCAATAAATTTATTCTGATTGATTGGATTGTTTAAGAGGAAAAGAAGAATCTGTTCATGTTTTTCAACCTGTGGGTGAAAAAGTAAATAATATTATCTCATTTCTGAAAATGTCTTGAAGTGTAATCCACCTGAAAAGCAGCTCTCCCTACCTGTTTCTGTAACTCTGTGCAGCAGCAGTTCATCTTATGCGTGTTCTCTAAAAGTGAACACAAAAGGTCATTAGAGAACATGGTGTCGAACAGCCCCCAAGGCCCAGGTGCCAGCTGCATGGGACTCCACCTACTGACTTCTCATGTAGGCTTTAACGCTCTCCACTGCGTCCCTACACTTCCCCCTCACCTACGGTTTATGCCTTTTGACTCATAGGCAGAATTTTTTTGGTTGAGGGCATTAATAAAAATCACCTCATGAGATACACCTCTAAGACTGTATCTTAAAAACATGCTTCTCACTCTGAAAAAGCATCCAAAGTGAGCTGGAGGCCGCTCTGAATGCTTTATGTTTCCCAAGCTGTCAGCATCAAGTCTACAACACTGTGGCCAAGCCTTGAGCTGGGGCCAAATTAGAACAGGAGACCAGCTTCATCCAGCTGCTTCCTGTAAGGCAGCACGAAGGCTGCCACTGGGTTTGTGAGAAAGGAAGACAGAGAAGGGCTGTGGGCCTGGAGGAGGGAAGACCAGGCCAACTAATTTGACTGCATGAGTTATTAAAATTGAAGAAATACCTTTATTTAAAGCAATCTGCTTTTTAGATGTGACGGTTTTTGCCAGACCACACATCACCAGCTTATCAGCTATATTGACAGTACCATTTTCAGAATATTTCTCAACTGACACTGTGTGAACATTCTTCACAATTCCTTTTATAGAGAGCTTTACTTTTTGATTCAACATTAAATTTTTTAGTAGTTCAATTATTAATTGGGAACAGTTTCCATTCAACTCCATTAGTCCTGGGGAGAAAAAAAATCCATATTAGAATTAATCTTTAAGTTCCTTAAAAGTCATTCATGTAAATGTCCTAAGAATAATAATCAGAAGACTGGCATTTAACAACGTTTTGGCAAGTTCTGGTGTCCCCATCCTGCTGCATTAACAAAATCCTAACTTATTCAACACATATTCACTCCTCACTACTCTAAGTCAAATGCTTAGTCCAGGGCTAGGGAGCAACAAGCTGACAAAGACCCACTGCCTTTATGAATGAATATCTAATGTGAGAAGCAATCAGAAATGGAAGAACCTCTTCCGGTACTGCCTTTTCCAGTCTTTTGGGAGAAATGTGTGATAGCAGAGAGGCTTCAGATGCATGGACAGACCCCACTTTACCATCCTAGGCCAGCTGTTCACTAGTTCTTTATTGTAGGGTCAAGTACCATCTCTCAAACCTGAAGTGAATCCACAGCATAAAAAAGGACTAACTGAATAGGGCTTTGGGGAGAGTGAAATTATGATACAATTTCTTTAACGTGTTTGATTCAGTCTTTAAACTATAAAACAGAGAGGGGGGCGGGGGGGGGAATCCCTCAGAGAACCAAATTGGAAAGTAACTTGTCACCTTCAAGGGAGCATTTGATGATCTGGAAAGGGAGCTTTAGGTGGCTGGCAGAGATGGGCTGCACTCTGGAGAGTGGGAGCATCTCAACGTTCCCATAGTCGGCATAGAGCACTTTCACGTCTTCCTCAGATGCCCCCAGCACAATGGCCCGGTACCAGAAATCATCACCTGAAAAATGAACAGTATTGTGGGTGAGCACTTATGTTCCATGATGTCCCTCCACCTCTCAGACAGCTACTCAGAACGGACAATCCTTAGAACTCCACACTAACATTTCTAAGGCAAAAAATACCTCAGAGTTCCTCCCAGAGCACACCAGAGACAACCACAAGACTGAATAGGAGAAAGGCCTAAAATCACAAGGACAGGGAATGAGTAAAAGGACAGTCCATTAAAGCAGTTGGAAAGCAGATGCAGGACTGGAAATGAATGAACAGAACCCAATCTAAGCTTGCCCTGGGGAGGCTGAGACACCTAAGAGATGCGGGGGCAGCACCCCATCACCCCCAGCCCCCAAGCTGTGTCACTGGTGCAACTCATTCAACAGTCAGAGTAAAGGCCAAAGAGGGAGTATAAGGACCAAGGCCAACTGCTTTGCACGCAATTGACCCCAGTTCTCTCTTGGTCTTTGGCACCCCACCTGAAGTGATCCCTGAGCAGAGAACCAAGAGAAAGCCCTAAGAAAAGTCAGGTGTGGGTCCCTCCTCCCCCAAAACTCCAACATCATAATTCCCATGGAAGAAGGGCCAGCAAGACAGTCTATAGCAGGTAGGGTGTTTACCTTGCATGCAGCAGACCAGGGTTCAATCCCACAGAGCCCCAAGTACCACGAGCAATCCCTGAGCACAGAGCCAGGAGTAATCCCTAAGCAAAGCCAGGATAGGCCCTTCCCCTCAAAGATTTCCAAATTCCTAGGGAAGTGGCCAAAGTGATAATACAGTGGGTAGGGTGTTTGCCTTGTATGAGACCAACCCAGGTTCAATTTCCAGCACCCCATATGTCCCCCCATCAACATCGCCAGGAGTAGGCCCTGAGCACTGTCAGGTATGACACCCAAACAAAAACAAAACAAATTTAAAACTTAAGAACAGAATCCCCAGGGAAATGGGGGAGAGCAGATGACTCTACAGTGAAAGTTCCTGGGGGACAAGCTGTCCTATTAGATGTTTCTACTATGTCAAAGGATCACCAAATAAACATTGAAGGATCACCTAGTATTTGTAGAAAGCCTGTAAGATGAGTGAGCTGATTAAGTCAAATAAATAAGAACTCAAGGAAACAGACAGGGGAGGAAGAGGAGAAAAATGGTAAGAATGTTCTCAAAGAAATGATCGTGCACCCTTGAAACAAAATCAGTATAAAAAGCACCTGTGGAGATTAAACAAATGATTTAAACTAGAAAAAATGTATCAGAAATACATTGGGGGGAAAATATTGTATGGTAAAAATGAAGAAATGTTTGGAAATAGAAGAGGAAATCTAGCATTTAGGAAATTTTTCATGAATTTGAATACCTGGGAGTTTCTAAGGTAGCAGATAAATAAAAGGAAGAGATAAATATATTTCAAGGATATTTCTCCATGAATTTCTTGACTTATGGACCACCCCCACTGAGTGCCCAGTTCACTAGTGAACACAAAGCCAGTACCTAGTTTTCCCATAAAATATCAAAACATGAGACAAAAAGATTTTGAAGATTTTTAGGAAGGAAAAAAATACACATGAAGTTTTAAGATTCTGGATGCAATCTATTTAAATCTAGCAACACTAATGAATAAAAGATAAAGCACTGGTTTCAAAATGCGAGGAGAGACAATTCCCAGCCAAGAAAGAGGAATCCAACCAAGCTATCAAAATTAGGATGAAATAAAGCTTCCCCACCTTTATAATCCCCAGGTTTACTCCTGGCTCTGTGCTCAGGGATCACTCCTGGTGGTGCTGGTGCAGGGCTAATTGGCGCTGGAGATTGAACCTGGGTTGGCCACACAGAAGGCAAATGCCCTACCCACTGTATTATCACTTTGGCAATTCCCCGGGAATTCTGATGCTGGAGTTTTGGGGATGGGGAAGACAAGAATCCAGGAGGAGAGAACCCTAAGTTCTAGAGTAAATCAAAAGAATATGGCATGTTGAAAATGGGGAGCCAGGGAAGGAGAAAGCTTTCTGACAAGGTGGGGAAGAGAAAAATTAGGAAATTTTTTCTTGCAGGAAACACTGAGGGATCACAGCCCAGAGGCCAATAAGGCAGGACAAGAGTAGGGCAGAAGAGTGAAGACAGCAGCAAAATGTGGCAACAGTGGCTGGCATGCAGTAGTGCTCCAAGCACGATACAATGACACCCATACAGAAAACTGAAGATAATTAGTGAAAGTGTATAGAGCACTTAACAGCAACCACCACAGCTGCAAAGTAGAAATGTCATTATAGTATATTAGACAGTGAGGCTGTGAAATGTTTATGCAGACCTAATTAAGAAATACACAGCACTTACCTAACTAAAACTGAGGACAGTATTTCTATTAGAAAGGAAAGAAAAGCTAAACATCATACATTTTAAAATTAAGACCATTAGGGCTCTAGAGAGCTCAAGAATAAACCCATGCTTTGTAGGAGGTGAAGTCCAAACAAACTCCACTATTTGGGCAATAAACTAAAAGCATTTTACACCCACTGCTCATAGAGGAGAGGAGGAAAATGGCCCATCTGCAAACTTCTGGTACATGTGAACACTTCTAAAAGATGCCCAGAGACAGTGATATTCTCCCAAACTGTACACAACATGTATTTCCTTAAACTCAGGAGTCTTGTCTGTGTATCCATCCAGCAGAATTCAGTTACCATCAGTTCTCCTCAGTATATTCCTGCAAGTGTTACTAATATTAGCAAAAGAAATCAGTTAGTATGAAATATTAACCAGGAGGATGGTTAACACAGACCCAACTCATCCGGTGAGTCCCTAAGGCACTTTGTTCCTTTTATAGAATGCTCATAGGACCATAAATTATTTATGAATACTATACATAGAAATAGAATGTTGCTAATTGGCCAAACAGGGCTGGTTATCTAGAAACCCTGATAAAACTGGTAGAGGCCTATCTGTATCCTTACCTAAATATAAGCTCTGGCTAGAAAAGAGAAAAGCTCAATGATTCTGGTTCCCAGAATTAAACCCAATAACTGAATAAAATGTGCAACTAAGAATGCAAAATCCTCATCATTTCATGCAAAAGAGAACAAAGTTTTTACAGTTTTCTTTAAAATTTTACAGTTTTCTTTCTTTCTTTCTTTCTTTCTTTCTTTTTGTATTTCACAAAACCAAGAAATATTTCACTTAGAGATTCTTACTTGTGTATCTGGCACAGCAGGCATCTCCAACTCTTGGGCGATAGTTGAGCTGGTTTTTTTGAGCACTACAATATTCTAACAATTCGGCTGTTAGCACACACAGTTTTTCCTGATCTTCTAAAACAAAAAGCAATCTTTAGTAAAGAAAGCTTCACTTTTTTGGGGAGGTAGGGGGGTCACACCCAGCAATGCACAGGGGGTTACTCCTGGGTCTGCACTCAGAAATTACTCCTGATAGTAATCAGGGGACCATATGGGATGCTAGGAATCGAACCCGCATCAGCCACGTGCAAGGCAAATGCCCTACCCACTGTGCTCACTCCAGCCCCGAAAGCTTCACTCTTAACTCTTAATTATATATATATTTTTTATATATAATTTTTTCAAGAACATAAATTTAGTAAAAAAAAATTAAAAGCAATATTAAAGCATGTATTTGCATTTGAAGACTAGATAAAGCCTCTAGGGAGCAGGTCACCTGGTGTGGCAGGGAGATTAACTCAGCGAGAGGCACGAAGGCTGCCTCCTGCTGGCTAACTTCTCTAGTGGGGCAGCCATATCAGTGATACCCTGCTAGGAAAACTCAACTGTTCGTTGAACTTTTCACTGTGTCAGGGTGAATATAACACTATGATCACACCAATCTGAACTCTGTTATAAATACAGATTAAGGATGACTGTTTTTGTTGTTGTTGGAAACACATTTAAGAGTAGCCACTAGTGAGCTGGGGAGACTGCACCAAGGGCTGGAAAGCTCTGGAATTTGAAAGCCCTGGGTTTGGTCCCCAGCTGTGCCGAAGTAGCCCCAGAATACAGCCAAGTGTGACGCAAAAAAAAAAAGAAAAAAAATATTATCTGGCATTGCCAGTGATTCTTGCCTTAATAACCTGAAACAGAGGTTCATCATTTTCACCCTTGAAATATCTGTGAGTTATTTTGAACAGTTATCATATACTAGTCCTAATTCACCCTCTGATTCTATAGGGATACACTCAGCTACATTTATATGCCACGATTCTTCATTATGAGGCAGGGGGTGTGAGGGACATCCACAGTAAAACACTGCTCTGTAGAGTAACACTATGATTATAGACTGGTTACAAAATCCTCTTTCAATATACCTGAATAAATGTTGATTGAAATACTTTTTAAAAGTACAATTCAAAATAAATGGATTTTTAGGTTAGAAATGCAACCAAGAGCATTGTTTTGTCGTAACAATTTTTAGATGACTCAAACCAGGTGTGTGGGTGCTGCATGTAAGCGCTGCCATCATTTTCAAGTTTTTTGTAACCAAACTAGCTCTCAGTGTCATGATCAATTCTTCCTTACACGTTGAAAAAAATAACAATAAAATCAGCACACTTCTTAAGCAAGTCACACAGGCACTTTCATTACCCTCTTAAAAGATCAGCATAAATAGGACTAAAATTTTGGCTTCTTACCTGGCATCTCATTTGGCATAGCATAAAACAAGTTCGGGTTTATGATTTCTAGTATGCTTGCTTGTATAGTTTTATTAACCGGCAATTCGACTGTTCTCCACTTATCAGCTGAAGAGATGGCTGAGAACACACAAAACACAGAACTTGATCAAATTTACTTTTCTGTCCCGGAAGAAGATTTATTTAATCGATAATTTATTCGACTGCCATTTTTCAACAGCTCCAAAATAACGACTTCCATTTCCACAAAATAAAATTCAACTTGGGGGATTTTGTGGGTGTAAAAAAAAAAAAAGCCCACTCTAGGCACAGGGGGAGACGGCTGGGGATATGTATAAGACCGTGATCCCTAGTGTGGCCCAGCGGGCCCTGAGTAGGTCCCCATAGCCCTGCTGTCTGAAGGGCCTGTGGGGCAAACCGAGTGCACACATGCACCAGGACTGAAGTGTGACCCCCATGGGCACCAGCACCTAAGGAGTAGCAACAAGGAAAGGACAGGACAGGGAAAAGAAGGGGAAAAGAGGGGGGGTGGATTTTAAAAAGATGTCATGAGGTTCCTAAGCTACTGCCCTTTTGGAGCATATTCCCAATGTACATTTCCATTTTTGAAGTATGCCTATTAAAATGTATTCAAATTTTCAAAGGGTTCAATACCCCGTTTACATAATTAAGTACATTAAAAATGAACAGGAGTTAGGTAAAAAAAAAAACCACTATATTTCAACAAATCAACAATGAACTAGTGTATTTTTATAGGAAAGCTATGTTACTGAGGAAAGGAAAGCAAAAGATGACTAAACTTAAAAGACAAATGTTTTTCCCAGAGAGGCAAAAATGTATAGTCGAAGTGACATCTGCACTTGTTTGTTCATTGCAGCACTCTTTACAATAGCCAGAAACTGGAAGAAACCTGAATGCCCAAGAACAGATGACTGGTTAAAGAAACTTTGGTACATCTACACAATGGAGTACTATGTAGCTGTTAGAAAAGATGAAGTCATGAAATTTACATACAAGTGGTACAATATGGAAAGTATCATGCTAAGCGAAATGAGTCAGAAAGAGAGGGATAGACATAGAAAGATTGCATTCATCTGGGGGATATAAAGTAACAAAGTATGAGATTAATACCCAAGAATAGCTGAGATCAGCACCAGGAGGATTACTCCATAACTTAGAGGCCAGCCAGGTATCCTAGAGGAAAGGGCAGTTCAGATAGAGAAGGGAGCACCAAATAAAGGATGTTTGGAGGATCCTCCCAGGAGGGGAGATGCATGTCGAAAGTAGACTATGTACTGAACATGCTTGCCACTCAATGCCTCTTTTGCAGACCACAACACCCAAAAGGAGAGAGAGAACACAGGGGATTGCCCTGCCACAGAGACAGGGGGGATGGGGGGATGGGGGTGGGAGGGATATTATCCATGGTGGTGGAAAATGGGCACTGGTGGAGGGATGGGTATCTGATCATTGTATAATTGAAACCAAAGCACAAAAAATTGTAAATCTACAACTGTAAAAAACAATAAAATAAAATAAAGGGGAAAAAAAAAAAGACAAATGTTTTGAAAATGCTACCTCGAGACCTTGAAGTATCAACTTGAAGTTCTTGTGTATTAATAGGTCGGTTATTCAGTAAGCTTTTATGCGGAGGACTAGTTTGTAAGGCCAGATGTTCTTCAATTAGAATATCACTAATTATTCTGGGATAAGCAGTGGAAAGATCTGTGAGCTCAATTCCCATTCCATTTTCATTGACTTCAACTACCCGAGCTTGGAGTTTGACCCCTGCAACACTCGTCTGAAACCTTGCAATGGCTTCTTTGGACCAGAGCTTGTTTTTAGGCTGGATATCTGGCAAATAAAAACAGTGTCACAGAGAATTATGGGACACAGCTCCAGGTGTGGTTTTAGTAGTAGCCCAGGACTGAGTCCTGGTGTCAAATATACCATTCATGTTGATGAATTTGAGCAACTCTGATCAATGTACAATTATGTATCGAGAGCCTCTATACATAAATTATAGACAAATATATATTTGCAAATACACTACACCTGAGGATTTGGAGACTTAGGATCTTCTATTTTTGGATTTTTGAAAATTTTTCATATTCTTAATGATTTCTTGAGGAGGAAGATCCTATCGTCATCCAGGAGAGTGGTGGGCAGCAGACTTGAAATAATTCGGCACTGGTCCCACAATCAGTAGGTAGCAGAGCTGGTGTCAGGGTCGGATCACTTAATTCAATTGTCTGCCTCACTTTTATAATTTACTTTCTTCACTTAAGTCACGAGCAGTTCTATTGATATTTGATACCACTGTAATGACTGTGTAATAATATCAAACACTGAAACAGAATTTTTGGAGTGCAGACCCAGTTCAAAACCATTATTTGATCCTTACACCATCTCTCTAAATAGTTACTACTGTCACCAATTAATCAGATTACTACTTAGCCAATCCTCTCATCTATTACCTTATTCATTTGCTATTATTAATAAAAATCCATTGAATTGTGAACTTTGTACAATTCAAAGAATCTTTTCATTCTTTTTTTGTGTGCCAAAAGCCAAGAACAAACAAGATTATTTCTTTGAAAAAAAAATTATTAGGAGCAATGTTGCTAAGCCCAAAGGTATAAATGCTTAAGATTCTTGAGGAATCCTGCAAAATGTCATCAGAGACAAACAGCTTCACTCTTACTGTAGCACTGTCCTTCCATTGCTCATCGATTTGCTCGAGCGGGCCCAGTAACATCTCCATTGTGAGACTTGTTGTTACTGTGTTTGGCATATCGAATATATCACAGGGAGCTTGCCAGGCTTTGCCATACTGGCGAGATACTCTCGGTAGCTTGCTGGGCTCTCTGAGGGGGGCAGAGGAATCACACTGGGCTCAGGAGGGCCTGCCTCGCGCAAGGTAAACAAACGCCCTGCCGCTGTGCTATGGCTCCAGCCCCGTAAGTTCACAAAAGCAGCTGCTTCCCTCTCCTGCCATCGACATCAGTAATCTTTGGAAGTACACTTTTTCGCTGACTTATCATAAATTATGTAGTTTCAAGGAGTTAGTTTTATGGTCATTATTTTAGTTGTTCATGGACCCTAACTATTTGAAGAGAGTTGAGAAATGTTTGTATTCTGTACCATACCTGCTAGCCAGCACTGTATCCCTTGAAAAGGAAGTTTTAAAAATTTTGATGATATCGAATGTAGCTCATCAGAGGTAACTTCTTCAGTGTTTCCGTAATCCACAAAATGTACTTTCACATTTCCGTTTGGTAAGATCTCCTTGACTAATGCGCGATACCAATTGCCATCACCTAGATTTAGAGTGAAAAGTATTTCCCTTCTGTTAGCACTTGATGTTTTATCTTAAAAAGGATTTCCAACATCTTAAGTAGCAAATACACTTCCTGTCTTCCCCAGATTACACTTTTAGTGTCTCATTGAGAAATCCCAAGAATGAGAATTCTCAAAATCTAAAGATTATCTCCAAAACTTGTACAGCTGTCCTTGCTCTCTTACATCGGATAAGATTTTATTCATGATCTAGGCAATATATAGAAGAGAAAGGTAAGACTTAAAACTTCAAGCTCTTGTCAATCTGGAAGATACAATACTCTCACCGTAACTACCATAACTGAGTTCACTTGGTGAAATATAAATGAATTCTTGCAATAAAATTTAAGTTTTCATCAAGTACCAAAGATAAAGGTGTTCACAGAATGACCCAAAGAAATCATGAACAATAAAGCGGTCCTTCCATTATGGATTTATTTTAATATTATCAGAAGTTCTGAGAGCATTTATTGAAGTCTGGGTAAGAGACTATCATTGGATTTCTGATTACAAAGGATGAATAAAATGCATGCTATCTGAAAACATTCAATTACTGATTGTACTTGCTTAAAAGAAGAAAATACTAAAAGAATGGAATGCGGAGAAACCTAAAATTCTAATGACATCACAGCCATACTGACTGTAACTTACCTGCAAAAAAAGCACAACAAGGTTGTCCTATTTCTGCCTTAGAATCACCAGGTAACTTCTGCTGACAATATTCTGCTAATGATTTGTTCAACTCACTGAGTTTATTTAAATCTGAAAAGGCAACACACGTACGGCATTTAATCTTTAATGCAAATACAGATTTTTCCATAAAACTGGAAAACATTTTAGTGATTAAAATCTCAGGAACACCCCACTCCCCACAAACAACTATTAAGTACATCAAATGCTTTCTTCTTTATTAAGAAACTGTGCAAAGTAAGTTTTTCTTTAGTATTTCGGAAGACCCCATTCCAGCAATTCACTTGCAAAACAAACCAACTATGACATTACTGTCACCAGGCCACACAAAAGCTTTGCATGTGGACAAGTGATTGGGACACCTATCTATAGAGGAAACCAAGTTATAAGTTGAGAGCAGGCCCAGCTACCCCAGGCACAGACACTGCCTGGGAAGGAGATTCAGACAAATGAGTGAGCAACATGTGCTAAAGCAGAGATTCCCAAACTTGTATGGTCTGCTGCTGCCCCCTTCATAAACAAGAAAATTACTCAGTGCTCCTCTAGAAATTTAGCTTTTTTAAGTGGACAAATGGAAAGTGACCCCACAGCAACTGAAACCAAGGCTACTACCCCTCCTCTCTTCCCCAGGCTGCTGTAGCACCCCAAGAGGATGAAATCACCTACTTAGGGAAGCAGGAAGCTAAAAGCTTCATAAGAGAAACTGGAAGCAGGACATGGCTTGATACAAAAGGAGAGAAAATTCCAGAAGAAAGGAAAGGGCTCTGAGACCAAGTAGAAAATTACAGAATGAAGCATCAAAAACTACTTGGTGAGCAGTTTGGCAAAGCAAAGAAGGGCAAGATCCTGGAGCACGTCCACCTCCGAGGAGACCAGAGCACAAGAAGCCATGAGATAAATGGTGCCTTCAAAGAGGTAGCCAGGGCTCATACACAGAAATGGAGGTTAATTTGTACCCAATTATAATTTTCACCTTTTCAAGGAAATGACAAAATAAGAGAGCAGATACCACTCAGAGTAATCTCTGGGTTGCAAGAAATTTTATTTCTTAAAAAATGAGGGTTATAAAAATGTCTTGATTTTTTGATAAATTGTTAAGCTGCTACACTTTATTTAAACCTTTACTTGTATGTACGTTCTATGATAAAAATCAATGATCTAATTAAAAAAAATAAATCTACAAGACATTATTGAACTTTAAACTGCCCACAATATAAAGGAATACTCAGAAATAATAGCTTTAAACTAAATCAAGTATAACCTAATCTTTCCTGTAAGTACAAATATCAATTTGCCCCTTTTCAGAAAGACACTGTTTTTTACCCCTCATCAAGCTCACCAGAACTTACTATTTATACAAATATGTAGAAAGAAACAAGGCAACTTACCATCCTTTTTAAGGACATGGCAATAAAATTCTCCAGGATTATATATCATACAGACCATAACATCTACTGTTTGATCAACAACAAGCTCAATCCAGGCCCACTCCAATGGATCTACTTTTTCTTCTACACCCAAAGGAACTGTGAAAACAAGATAACATTTAGCAAAGTAATTTAACAAGGGAAGTGAGAGGCAGAGATGCCAAAGAACCTGTTTTTGGAGAACTAAATTTGACATTCTGAGCAACCTTACTGGAAAGTTTAACTGGTCTCACAGTGAACCTTCCTTTGTTAAATTTCTAGGTCCAAATTACACTTCTGGCTCAGCTTCAGCCTGTCAGCTACCCATAAAATCTACAATGACGGGGGCCAGAGTGACAGTAGTGGGTAGGGTATTTGCCTTGCACATGGCCCAACCTGGTTTTGATCCCTGGCACCCCATATGGTCCCCTAAGCACCGCCAGGAGTGATTCCTGAGTGCAGAGCTAGGAGTTAACCCTGAGCACTGCTGGGTGTGCTCAAAATAAAAAGTTGCAATGAACTTTCAGTTCTCAAACTAAGTGCCCTTGACTTAGAAAGAGGATAGGTTTTCAGCATTAGCTTGTCCTCAAAAATGTGAGAATGCACATTCAGGAAACCATCTCTAACTGGCAGATGTGTTACTCACCACTGGCTTCTTTCCTATTACTAGGTTTCTCAGTCATGGCCCCTTGGCCCGCCACAGCGAAACCTGCATCAATGAGGGCTTTGGTCACACTGACATTTGGAGTCACGGAAATGTCCACAAGCTCCACCAGGGAACTGTTTTCCAACTTGTCTGCCACCTTCACTGTGATCATTTTATTCTGTACAATATTTTTCATAAGACACGTAGCTTCTGGAGTCCAAATACCTAGTGACGGCTTTACTCCTTGCAAAGAAGTTTTGAAAGAATGTTAAAGCATTTCTTACAGCCAAGCTAGCATTAAAAAAATTAGCTCTCAATTTCCATCAATTTTAATCAACAACAAACACAAACCAAAAACTTCTACTCAAGCAGGAAGATTTTTCTAAGCAAGAATGGAGGGTAAATGACAAAGAAAAGGACTGTAAAACACTTCCACATAGTGGAAGTTGTATTGGTGGTATTGTTGTATTGGTATGCAATATCCAGAAAAGCAAATCTATAAGAACAGGAATCTATAAAAAGGAAATCATTGGCTTCCTGGGGTGTAGTGGAGGTGAATTAATTATAAATGGACACAAAAGATCTTAGTAGGGTGAAGGAATGGTAATACTTAGTGAATTTACTAAAAGAAATCATTAAATTTTATACCTAGAGCAGTAAACTTTGTGGTATACAAATTATATATCAAAAAACTATTAAGAATATCATAAAAGACAATATAAAACTGGGGTCAAGAAATAGTAGAGCAGTTAAGGGCACTTGCCTAGCATGCACCCAACCGGGGGTTGATCTCTGGCACCATACAGTCCCCTTATCACTGCCAGATGCAGCCATGGAGACCCATCCAGGCTTACTGCCAGTGTGGTCTGGGTAATCCTTGGTACTGCAAGACCCATAACGCCCCATCCTTGAGCCCTTGCACTGAACCAATGACAAGTTGGTCAAGAATAACTGGAGGAGTTTCTGGTCCTCCACTCACTCCAAAAAGTACAAAACAATCCAGGGAGAAATAGTAGTTCCTTACAGCAAGACACCTGTATCACTTTCTGAAAAGTTAATTACAAATCAACAACCTCAATGTTACACCTGATCTATTTATGAAACTTAAGAGCTAAGTGACTTACGAAATAATGTTCAAGCCCCACTGGTAATGAAGTGAATGAAATGATTTGGTTATTCTGATTATCAAAACTGGTCTCTGAAGATGAATGAACAGAACAGTACGTGGTACACTAGTGTGTGAAGGGCCTACTTCCTCTGACCTTTTTGGTGAGTGTGTGAAAGAGTTCAACCTTTTCTGGAGAATATGTATCGCAAACTTAATAATAAAGCACTTCCGCTGAGACCCCCATATACTGCCACAGAGCTAGATTTTTCACCTATTGTTAGGAAAGTCTTGTTAAGTTTGTAAAATTGTATCTTAAAGAACACTGCTAATAATGAGAACTAGAAAATAAATTATGGTAGCGTGAAGGTTGAGTGAAGGTTGTGGAAGTTAATATATTTGTCATGTGCTGATGAAATAAATATATATGGTAAATCATATGGTTATGAGAATAAGGTTGCAAGCAGGCTTCCTTTGCTCCTCACTTCATATAGTTAATGAGCTTTGCTGATATTTCAGACTCTATAAATAGCAAAAAAAATTTCAACTTCATAATGACAGCTCAATTCAATTTCATTTTATTACTAAGATAAGTTCTGTCTAAACACATTGCTTTATCTTCTCAATAATTTAATTTCAATTCTAGTGCTCTAACTTTAGATTTTAAGTATTTTAAGAAGATAGATAGTAAAAACCTCATACCTGCCAGCATACACTTTATAGCTTGCATGGGCAATTCCAACAGCTTGGGAGTTATAGGGCACAATCTTGTCAAACTCAGGATTTCAAAGTTCCCATAATCGACATAACCTACCAATACTGATTCTTCCGAGGCATAAGCCAGAACAGAGGCACGGTACCACTGATCATCCTCTGGAAAAACAAAAAAAGAACATTCTCTAATGGTTTTCCAATTTCTCTCTAAACAAAACATTTTCCTCCCAAGTCAATTATCAATTGTAATAATGAATTTAATTTATGTAAAGAAAATTTAATAACACGCCATTACTTTGGCTCATTAGAAACCACCATCACTACTACCTTACTAGACTTTTTTTAATAAGATTGTTATTCATATGCTTCATCTCCCGTACTCAGCCATCTCATTAGCATGGGAACACACACAAAGGTACTGAGCAGGTTTCACTTCCAAGAATCTGAGTCAACCAGAGTGGTCTGTTGCAACTCAACAATCAACTGATGGACAGTGACTTTTCTCCCTATCTGGCAGGTCACTGAACCATTCTGCAGAGGAGGACAGAGTTGGCCATCCAAATGGATGAGAAAAGCTTTGTAAGACTATGGAAGCAGCAGGACCTGCGCCTGCCACCCTGTACTGCCAGGATCTCTCCGTAGTCCCAAGAAAAGTGACCCAGAAAGAACCCGGGGACATTCAGCATTCATGCAACACTGCAAACAGAAGAGTTACATTCTCTTTCCTTACCTGAGAACTGAGCACAGCAGATATCACCAATGGTTGGATAAAAATCTGAGCGTGGAGATACCTGGCCACAGTACTCGCTAAGGGATGCCTGAAGTTCAGCGAGCTTATCTGCAGACAGAGATGGAACACATCTTAAACTTAAGAAAGGCAGGGTTACACATTCCCTTCATCTTCAAGTCTGGCATTCGGACAGTGCAAATCTGAGAAAGGCACTTACGTCCACTCTGTAGCTGCTGGCAGAAGAAGTCATCTGGTGTCTGAATGTGAGCAACCACACCACAAAACTCATCCCCCACGTTCAGAGTCAACACTTTGGGGATTAGGTCACTTCTGTCAACAACAGTTTTGTTTTCTGACATCACTGGTCCAGCATCATCAGGGTCCTCTGATCAGAAAACAGTAACACCACATAGAAAATTAACTCAAACGGACTAAAGGCCTTGAGATTAGAATCTATGATATACACTGAGGAAAACAAGGGTGTTATTACCCTATAGTTATGGATCTCAGGGATGTTTTCAGTGATGTGATTCCACTGATGAATATGACAAAAATGAATGCAACTATATCAAAACATTTTTACATGCAAAGGAACTAAGGCCAAAAATGAAGCCAACCGAATGGGAGAAAGCATTTGAATATGATGTGTCAGGTAAGGGGCTAACACACACTCATGAAGCTGAGCAACAATAAAAGAGCCCCATTAGAATAAATGGGATAGGAAATGAGCAAACAGACACTTCCACAAAGAGAACATATAGTCAGATAATAGGCGTATGAAAAGGTGCTCTTGATCACTTACTAGAAATGAAAATCAGAACAACAACGAGATAGAAGTGCGAATGGCATACTATCAATAATATGGGCAATAACCAGTGTTGGCAGAGATGTGGTGAAAAAGGAACCATCGTTCACTGTTGGTTGGAATGTTGCCTGGGTTTAGCCTACATAGAAAACAATAATACGGAATTCTTAAAAAATGAAAACAGTAATACTAGCTCTAACCTTAGAGCTAAACTATATGACCCAGTGATTCCTCAATTTTGTTAAGACTTACAAACACCTAAGTTCATTGCAGCACTAAGTATAATAACCAGAAACAACCAAAATGTTCAGTGACAGATGCATGGATAAAGACGACATACATGGTCTATGTATGCAGTGGAATACTATGCAGTCACTAGAAAAAATAAAATGCAGTTCACAGCAACACATATGGAGCTAGACAGTATCACATTAAGCAAAAGAAGTCAGTGGGCACTGAGAAAGATAAACACAGTGATCTCTCTCATGTGTGGAATATAAAGAAAACAGGCCAATGGCAATAGACCCTGAACTTCAGCCAAAACTGAGTCAGTCCACAGAGTGTTAGAAGAGCGGGAGGGGACCTTGAGACATAGGTGGGGTGAATACTGACACTAGTAACAGGTGTGATGCTGGAACACTAGATGCCTGAAATATTGTTATTAAAAGTATTTTAAGTCATGGTAACTTAAAAAACACATGGGAAAAACGTCTTGTTTAGGTTTCATTATACACTGGTAGTCAGACCCTCACATTCTCCTACTTGCATCTCCGGGCACTGATACCTGCTGTTCTTTATTCCCAGAACACAAAGGTCTCTCTCCATGTTCGGGTACAACATTCTTCCAGGGGCTCCCACTCATCCTGCATGTCCTCTGCACCTGTCTGTGCTGCTCACACAATAGCCTGTAAACAAACCTTCCTCCTGAGCATGGTAGTAAGTGATGCTCATGGATTCGGGTTCCTTCCATCAGAGACCGAAGTCACACCTGCCATTACCTATTTTCTAGGAGCAACTTCCCAGCTGCTGCTCCACCTCCTTGACCCCATTCTCTCCTCGGCACCCCCAACTCAGCTTCTCAGCTCTTCCCCTTCCTTACTATTCTCTCCTCACTCTGAATCCCTAAGACACCAACAGCACTTGTGATTGCAACCTCAACTATTACTACTACAGCAGTGTTTGTTTGCATCTCTCTTTTTTCTTTTTTGCTTTTTGGGTCACACCCAGCGATGCTCAGGGGTTACTCCTGGCTCTGCACTCAGGAATTACTCCTGGCAGTGCTCAGGGGACTATGTGAGATGTTGGGAATCAAACCTGGGTCAGCCGCGTGCAAGGCAAACGCCCTACCCGCTGTGCTATCGCTCCAGCCCCGTGTCTCTCTTTTTTAAGGGCAAGAAAAACCCTGTGAGTTTTTCAACAGATTTGCCACACCAATATTTCTATTTCAGGGATATCACATAGTAAATAATGAAATAATACAAATAGAAGACAAGCGCTAAAATGAGGAAAGTGGTTCCAGTTGTCTATGAATGATGAGAATTCCTGTGTTAAGAAGGGGCAGTAAGGGAAAGAGGGTCACATACAAAAAGTATTTGGGAAGAATAAACTTAAAGGGGAAGGGATGGGAAAGGAAGAAGGTAGATTTAAGGATGAAAAATTGTCACAGAAGCCACCCAACAATCATTAACCTGACCATTACCTCTGAGTAAGAGACTATAAAGTATTCCTACATTTAAAGTAATTAGGAAAGGGGGCTGGAGCAACAGCACAGTGGGTAGGGCGTTTGCCTTCTATGTAGCCAACTCAGGTTCGATTCCCAGCATCTCATATGGTGCCCTGAGCACTGCCAGGAGAAATTCCTGAGTGCAGAGCCAGGAGTAACCCCTGTGCATCTCTGGGTGTGACCCAAAAAGAAAATAAAGTAGTAAAGGAGCAAACTGAGAAAAGACTGTTAAAAAAAAAAAACACCAAAGGCTAGGCAATGAAATAAATGATGTACTGAAAAAAAAATTTCTTTGGGTTGTATTAGTACTAAATAAAAAAGACTATACACATAAGTAGAACTAGAAGAAGCACCACTCGAGAACAGAACGTGATGATCTTACTTATCTTGGCTCAAGTACTTAAAGAAGAAAAACATAATCACAGGAATGTCAGGGCGAGGGAGATCACCCAAAGGGCAGGAGCACACAATCCACATGCAGGAGCCCATAGCTATACCACCTATTCTGCAAATACTTCCATGTGTGCCTCCCCCACACCCCATGAAAAAAAGTCAAAACAGAAACACACAGAAATGTTAGCTAGGAAGAGAATCCTTTAACCTAAAATCACAAAAGTTATCACCTGTAACTACTGATAATTCTCATGTCAAGGATTAGTATAAAAGAAAGGGAAGGAAAATAGCAAAGTTTGAGATTAAATATTTTTAAATGCAAAATGATTATTTTTATCTGAAGTTTACAGAATGGTTAAAATTTTCAATAATTATGATCGTCATAACTGTGCCCTTTCTTTTAGCAGAACAGATATTCTTCAATAACTGACCATTTTGTTGTTCATCAGTATTTTTGTATACTCACTTTGATCTGTACTTTGTTTCTTAGAGTCTTGTCCCTTGGGTGTTAAGCCATATCCCATTTCTATAAGCACGTGGTCCAAGAGTTTTCCTAGAAGTGATTAAGAAAATAGATCTTCAATGAGAAATTATACCAAAAATTAAAAAGAAAAGCAAAACACAGAACATGTCATACTTAGCAATTATCCTCAAACAGATAAAAAGACAAAAAAAATTCCAATGTATTTCCATTTCCACAATTTTAACACTATGTACTTATAGTCTCAATACTAGAAAAAGACAGTTCAGTGAAGTTGTGTTATACACACTAAAAAGAGGCTGAATTCAGAGGATTACTTGAGTTTATCAGTAAAGGAGTAGCAATCTGGAGCAGACTTTCTAATTTTTATATTAAAAGTTGAATGTAATTACCTACGTACTATTGTCTAATATCTAGCTTTTTAATCCACCTGATTCAATAAACTGTTGCAAAGTCTCTTGCCAACTGCAAGAGCAGGGCCAAAACCATATTTTCAGTCAGTCCCATTCTGACTGAATGCACAGTGACACTCACTTAGTCTCACTTCAAACTTCTACTACTTTTCTGGCAATAGGTAATGACTCAGTATCACATTAAATGCCCCATTTATCAATGTTGGTTTTTGGGAAGTAGGGACAATACCCAGTGATGCTTGGGGCTTACTCCTGGCTCTCACTCCTGGTGGGCTCAGGGGACCATATATGGTGTCAGGACTGAACTCTGGTCAGTGGCATGTAAGTCTAGCACCTTACATGATGCACTATTGTTCTGGCCCTTTAACCAATTTCTCAGCATAGTTGGTGGACTGTACTTATCTTGGGGCACTTTAGGATTGCTAGATAATTAGGTACTTAAACGCTCCATTTAAAAAGAAAAATTCAGATTTTACCTGAACTTTGCAGCCTAACATCCACAGCAAAGGTAACTACTTCCTCTTTTAAGATGTCAACAATCTTTAGAGAGCAGAACTGTTCCATTAACATTGATTTAGTAGCTTTGATACACTCATTGCTCCAATTTCCCTCCACTGGGATAACATTGGCTACACAGCACCTTATGGCCTGAAAGATGTTGTACAAGTTACTAATAAAATTGGAACTTGAAAATGACTATTGTGTGATAATTTTCAAAAATAGTGTACTCAAGCTAAAAATGCATCAAAGTATTCAAGTGCTAACTGGACAAAAATTTTAAGTATAATGATTTCTCCTGATACTCTACACATAGTATTCTTCCTTTGAGGGCTTTAAGTTTGTGGGAAAAAGAATTCTTTAATTACAAATGCTTCCATATAATGTAATACAAATACTTCCAGATAATATAACACAGAAGCAACTTTTTCATGAGCATATTGATAGGCTATGCCTTAAAAGGGCTAACAAATTCTCACCAAAAGCAGTACATAAACAAGGGCTAATAAAATAGAGCCAAGAAAACTAATTAGTATTTAAATATGCCAATTGGAAGTTTTTAAAGCTATAAAGATGGTATAATCGGGTAAACAGCTACTGTGTCCACTGAAACGCTCAAACTGCTCCTCTGGGACACCATCAAATAATGTACAATGAACACTCACACAGGGAGGAAATAAGTCAATGCTTCTGTTTAGCTGGTGAATTCTGTCCACAGGAATTTTTTCTTCATTTCCATAATCAATATATAAGACTTGAGCCTTCTTCTGCAGCATATCCACATCTTTTATTGCTACTCTGTTCCAAGTCTGAAAGTAAAATATACTGATGCACTACCTGATAAGCCATTTCTCCCTCTGAGGCCTAAAAGCTCTTCACCAATCTACAGAAGATGCAAAGAAAAGGCTTTTGTTCTGAGGTATTCAATTAACAAGTGAACGTGGTGGTCAGAAATTCTCCTCATTATGTACTGAGAACAATTCAATCAGCAGCACATCTGGTTTCCAAGTTGGTCCAGTCAGTCCCCTTGATCATACGCCAAGAACCCAGCTCACCAATAAACATAAGCTCCATGACTAGGAGCCAGCAAACAGCAACTGAGTGGTCTATCAAGAGAGCTAGAGGGCTGGGCCATGGAGAAGTAACCAAACTATCCTGGAATACTGACTTGAGGAAGAGAACCAGGAGGATACCCGGCATCTCCTGTAAGTCCCCAACACCACATTACAATCTTTGATTGTGTCAACTCAACACCAGAGTCAATTGAAAACATCTTGTTAAATAATTCCTGTCATCAGGGATTGGTTACCTGGTCCACTGTATACTTGGCAACACACACTTCCCCCTTAACAGGAATATAATCATCTTCATGCGCCTTATTTGCATATGTTTCCTTCAAGCTTGCAGAGAGCTGGTTCATGTATTCTAAAACTTCTGAAGAATACAACTGCACATGGAAATCTCCCGGGTGTTTGAATTCGGTAATTGTACCCTTTGAAAGAGGGAGAAAGTGTAATGACTCACTGAGAACACAGCAGATGTGCACCTTACAGCTTCAGAACGAGATACCCAAAGCACCGTACAGAGTTCTGGAGGTCTTTAATGGATTTTAACAGCAACCCTTCGTATCTATCTTCTAAACCCGACCTGAAGCCAGGAGACAGGGCTTGGGGTGGGCTCAGGTGGTAAAGTACACACGCCTAGAACACTGGCACCACCTGGATCCCCAAGTGCCACAGTTATATGTGTGAGAGTCCCCAGCACCAGAGTGTAAAATTAGAAAAATAGGGAACGAGGAAGCAAAGAAAAAAACCCACTACAGTTCTTTGGATCATTTTGCAAATTAAATAAATACCTTTATTTCCATAGTTTCCCTGAGTTGCAGACTTCTCAAATCAGAAAACATTATTTTATCAGCAGAAATGGCTATTTCTTTAGTAACTCCAAGAGGATAATCACTCTAGTATGAAAAAGACACATAAACTAAGTTGTAAATAAGCATGCTTCAGTGATACTTTCACATTTTTCTGAGTTGGGGCCTAACTCAGGCTTGACTAGAGAAAAGTGGAGGCCCTCAAGGGCCACTGAAATCCACTACTGGCCACCATTACATACACATACAGGGAGCACCCAAGAGCCAGGCCACAAGTGGATTGTACTTAATGCTCCTTGGATCATACTAAAACTACTACACAAAGTCCAGGCAACATTTTTCTTAGTGACTGGAGACAACTACAAAAAAGATTCTTCTGTGCCCAAATGATGTTCTTTTGAGACATGGTCAGGCTGGGACCGCACTCAGCAACAGAGTGCTTACCCTGTATGTGTGAGGCTCTGGGTTCAATCCCTGGTAATACACACACCCCTCACTGCTGTGTACACCCACCCCCCACCCACTCACACATCAATTTTTGAAGGCTAGGCAAAATAATTCAAAAGTTCCCTGCCCCCAACTCCCAAGACATTCACAAAGGTAAACAGATATATTCCACAGGTAATATTTCCTTGGAAGAAAACACTGATGAGAAACAAATTATTTCACTTAGCTTTCTATCCTCTAATTTCAATAAAGGGGAATCCTTCAAATTTATCCTAAGGCCAATGAGTGTCATACCTCTTTTTTTACTTCTGTGTTCTTTGCTTCAAGAGATGACTTAGTTTCTTCAAGTTTTGGGGAACTGAAATAAAGCAACTCATTTACAACTTTTGAAAACGAGGAGGATCAGTTATTAGGAGAGATCGTAAGATCAAATTCTCTATCAACAAAATCCAGAAGGCCAAATGCACCTGACACTGGACACTCACAGGTGGGCGTTCTACTCAGATGTGCAAAAGCTGCTTAAGCAAAGGGGGTGACCCTACTCCAAGCCCCAGTTGTCTCATGTCTATAATGGAGATATCCCCACAATATCTAATTGGAGGCTTGAGTCTCAAGCATGGGCCTACACATGAAATTTTGTCACTGGAGATTATTAAGCAAATCAAGTTGATGTCCTTTAAAGTTGGCAGAGCTCCACCTTACTCAAATTCAGCAAATACAGGATACTCAAAGTCGAGCTCTCTAAACATCCAGCTCACTTTGGGTCCCCAACTTTAACACAAACTATCTAAGATGTCTACACTGGTGAGAATAGTTCGCAGAACTGTAGGTTCAGATCTGCACGTTAGGTCCTAGAAGTCAAAAATAACAACAGTCACTGCAGTTACGGTCTGATTAAGGGAGTCATCTTTGAACATTCTCGTGAAGGGGGAGGACTGGCACGTACTTTTGTTGCACGGGCTTACACACGATGCTGTGCTCGGACCAGTCCCTCCTCTGGCAGGTGGTGGAGCAGTAGTATGTTTGCTTGCACTGGGAGCACCTCAGTGAGCCTGTGCGACAGAGCCCGTGACATCAGTGAGGTTTCACTCCAAATGTTTGTGTTGAGATCAAGACATTTTCAAAGACAGGACATGCCAAACATAATATTAAATATACCAAGAGGATTATTTGAAGAGAATTATGCTGTTTGTGACCAGGTGCTAAGATCAAAGGGGTAAAGCGCTCTCAAAAATGCAGAGACAAAGGAGGACCAGGTTGAAGAGGGAGGGAGAAATGGGAGTCCAAAGAACAATGTGACAGCCACAGGACAAAGGGAAAGGGTGCTGTGTGGTCCTTACAACTATAGCACCATGAAGAAAAATCCCAGAAGAAAAAACAAGGGAGAGAATCACACCCCCAAAACAAGAAAGGTTTGGAAATAAGAGAAACCGTCCGAATAAGCATCCAGGCAGAAGAAAACAAGTTTTTTTTAAAAAATAGAACAGGGGCCATAGCATAATAGTACAGCAGGTGGGGCATCTACTTTGCGCCAGGTTGACCCAGGTTCGAACGGTCCCTGGCATCCCATAGGGTCCCCTGGGACCACCAGGAGTGATCCCTGAGCTCAAAGTCATGAGTAAGCCCTGAGCATCACTAGGTGTGGTCTCAAAACAAAAACAAACCAACCCAAAGAAACAACAACAACAAAAAAGAACAGACTAAATGTGTGTGTGTGTGTGTGTGTGTGTGTGCGAGAGAGAGAGAAGAGAAGAGAAGAGAAGAGAAGAGAAGAGAAGAGAAGAGAAGAGAAGAGAAGAGAAGAGAAGAGAAGAGAAAAGGTGTCCGCCATAGAGGACTGGGGACATTGGTGGTGGGAAATGCGCAATGGTGAAGGATTGGGTGTTGGAAGATTGTATGATTGAAACCCAATCATGAACAATTTTCAACTTTATTTCACAGGATTCAATAAAAGGGGGAAAAATGAAAAGAAAATAATGTTCAGAATTCTATCAGGAAAATGTACACTGAAGCTACAGTGATATTTCACTGTACAACCTGAGGGAACAATGGACATATATCCCCAATAGAAATGAAGGAGAATGCTTTATTTTGGGAAATGGTTGGGTGGTTTCTTATAAAGTTCTACATATGCCTACCCTTGGTCTGGATAATCCTTGGGCTTGGATCCATTATGAACCCAAGAAAAACTGAGAAAGGGCCAGGTGGATGGCTCAAAGGGCAGGAGCACATGCTTTGTATGCAGAAGGCCCAGCACAACATTATCTTAGAACACTGTGGGATCTCAGCATTGAGCAAGGAGTAGTGCCAAAACAGAAAAGAAAACTAAAAACATTATCTCCACCAAAAGACTTTACAAAACTGTAGAGAGCTGGGCTTGTAAACAGCCAAAACACTAAGCACAAGCAAAATGTCCAAGAGAACAAATAAATGGTCTGTGGTGTAAGTGTATGACAGAATTACACAGTAATAAATAATGTACTGTGTAATTAATGTGAGTTAATTTCAAATATATCATTCTAAGTTTTAAAAAGCTTAAACAAAAGAGTCCTTACCATCTGGTTCCATTTATATAAAATCCTGTAATTGGCAAAATCAATTTATGGTGAGAAAATATCAGTAGAATATCTCTCAACAGCCTTTGGGAGAATTCAGTGACGGGGTAGGAATATTAGGAAAGTTTCTTTGATAACAGAAAATAGTTTAAATCTTAAGAGGGGTGCAAATTTGTGAATTTCAAAGCATGCAAGTTTTACCTTAAAAACAAGAACCACAATATAAAAGGTGGGGGCTCAGCAGCAATGCACATGCCTTGCATGTGTGCGGGCCAGGGTTCAATCCCTGCCCCTGCACAGAAGTAATAGGTCAGAACAGGAAGGCACAGATGAACAAGACTACAGGATACTGGTAGCTGTGGTTTGTTAGATGTATGGTGCATACATACTATTCTGTTTATACTTTACATATCTCAAAATAGCTGAGAGCAACATGCTTACCAAACAGCCCACAGCGATGGCAAGTTGTTGACCGAAAAGGCGATGCTAAGGAGTTGAACAGCGCTGGGTTGTTTATGGACAATGAATTCTCAACCAACTCATGTATTTTTTTTGACTTTGCCGGAGACACATTATTTCCAGGTTTCTGTTAAAGAAAAGAGAATTGCAGTATTAAAACATGGCAATAAGGCCTTTTTTTTTTAAAATACAAAACCAGGAGAAAATTTCTCTTCTGGAAAGAAAATATATCCACTTTTCTGACATTAAGCACAAAAAAACTGTGGGCTTATAAAATAAACACAGGCACCTTTTGAAATAAGTCTAGGGACCAGTTAGGAACTGGGGTCCAGAGACCAGGAAGGTGGTAAGTTCCTTGAGGTTGCCCTCACACATTCATTCACATTCACACCTCCTGGAGGTACTGTTTATTTTTACATCAAATATCCCAGACCAGGATGCTGGAGACTCCATCAACTCAGAAACCCCAGAGGCACAGACAATCATGTAAAGCATGCTCTTTCCACCAAAAGGACAGGAAAGGCAGCCCAGCGGGGGAGCAGGCTTTGATCAGTAACTGCTCTTCTCCAAATAAAACCCACAGCCCCTCTTACCCACCAGCCAAGGGAGACTGGGCTCAAAGGTCTCTGCTGCTTGCTTCCCCCAACCCAACCCTGTTAACCCCCCACAAGCAGTAAAGGCCCATCCAGGAGGGAATCTCCTGCCCGGGGACTCCATGGGAACCAGGTCCCCACCTAGTGCTACTAGTTGTGCCAGCCTCCCCTCTGCCGTGGCTTGGGAGAATTAAGGACAGGCAGGAGGACTTTCTCCATGTTTCTCCAGGCGATCTGACCACCAGTCTCTGCCCGCCTGCTCAGCCTCTCCCTACGTCACCCTTTGAGTCTGAGCGATCACAAGGTATTCCCCTCGCACAGTCAGTAGGGGAGAAGCTGAAACAACCACCCTCATCTAGCAGCAAAAAGAGAACCCTTTAGGGTGTCAACAGAGGCGAGTGGGGTACGCAGATCCAACTCCAATCTGACAGCACCCCTACCCACCTCTATGCTCTTCCCTGGTGGAGCTGGGCAGGCAGAAGTTGCCTTTCACAGTTTCAATAAGATACAGAGCTTCACAATTCAAATTTCAACAGAAAATAACCAGTCATTCACAGTCATACTGGAAAAAAAAATCTAAGAGCATTTAGCTCATTTGGTAATGATTTTTAGGTGATAATCAACAAGGAATTATGCACTTTTGAACAAATAAGAAGAATCTCAGCAACACACACACAAGAGAGAAGAAGTGGATAGTTATAAACTGAAAAGCAGAGACAGGGACTTAACAACATAAAGGTGGGAACAGAGGCATGAATCCCTAAACTTTGTATAACAGAGACAAAATCAGAACATGGATGTGAAAAAGAAAATTGGAGTCTCAGGGTCCTGTGTGGGCTGTAGTAACAGAGGCTCTTCCGGAGAGACAAGGCTGCACTTAAGTAGCACTGTCCTCCTGCTGTTTATCTATTTGCTCAAGCGGGCACCAGTAATGTCTCCACTGTGAGACTTGTTACTGTTTTTGGCATATCGAATAGGTCACAAGTAGCTTGCCAGGCTTTGCCGTGCGGGTCGGATACTCTCGGTAGCTTGCAGGGTGGAGGAATCAAACTTGAGTCGGCTGCGTGCAAGGCAGACGCCCTACCCGCTGTGCTATCGTTCCAGCCCAAATGTCAGAATTTGGCAAAAGATACAAACCGACAAATTCAAGATGAATGGGCTCCAAACAAGAAATAAGAGAAACAACGTTAGCATGCTTCTTAATAAAATTTTATAACGCTAAAAGACAAAGGGGAAAAATCTTGGAAGCAGAGAGGGTAACAATTCCTGACCTAGAAGGAAAAACAATTCAGAATTGTTTTTACATTGGACAGCAGAAGGCCAGGAAGAATAGCATAATATTTTATCTGGTGCTAAAGAGAAACAAACTGTTCAACTGAGAAATTTACCCAGGAAAAATATTCTTCAGGAATAAGGAGGAAATTAAGACACTCTCTGAGAAAAAAAAGTTAAGAATTTGTCACCAGCAGATATATCCTCAAAGAATGGCTACAAATTAAGTTCTGTAAAGAAAAACGACAGAGGAAGAAATAATAGAACAAAAGGACAGGAAGAATATGGTCTGAAGTAACGTTTACATAAAAGATTTTCCTTTTGACTTTTCTATGTTTACCAGCAACTGAAGCCGTAAAATTAGGGCATTTCTGAGCAACACTGCATTGGCAGCCCTCGCACTGAACCTCCCCTGCGAAGTGTGAGTAACCAGCCAGAGTGTCACTATCCAACAATCCAAATGCCCTACTTGCAAATTATAATACCTTCCAAAATGGTTCTAAATCTAGGTAGAGAAAATCACAAATAGAGGGGGTAATGGTATCAGTGGATAGTGGTAAGTGGGATTTACATAGTTTAATATCAGCACAACCACGGTCACGGTCCTCCCATTGTTCATCGATTTGCTCGAGCGGGCCCAGTAACGTCTCCATCATGAGACTTGTTGTTACTGTGTTTGGCATACCGAATACGTCACGGGGAGCTTGCCAGGCTCTGCCGTGCGGGCAAGATACTCTCGGTAACTTGCTGGGCTCTTTGAGAGGGGCGGAGGAATCGAACTCGGGTCGGCCATGTTGGCTGCGTGCAAGGTAAACACCCTACCGCTGTGCTATCGCTCCAGCCACAGGTAAAGCTATTGAAAGAAATGCATTAAAAATACTATAGATCAACCAAAATGGTATTATAGAAAGTATTCAAGTAATGTACAAAAAGTTGGAATGAAAAAGGATAAATTGAAAATGAAGCAAAAATGTAAAGTTTAAATCCTCGATTATCAAATGTCTCAAGACTGATAAAAAGAGAACTATAGAACATTACCCAACCATATGCTGTCTCTAAGAAACTCATTTCAAATATAACATACAAGAGGAGATGCATATACTAATTAAGGAAAAGGAGAGGGTATATTGATCATAAAGTATATTTAAGAGTAAAGCAAATTCCCACACAGTAAAAGGGGCTCTATGATGATAAAAGGGTTAATACAACAAGACAGAGAGATCTTAAGTGTGTATGTACCAAACAGCACTGTAAAATGTCAAGCAATGTTGAATTCAAGAAAAAGACTTTAATTAGACTTTAATATCCCTCATTCAATAGTTGAAAGCAGATAATCAACAAAAGCATAGAACTTAGCATTACTTGCAACAAACCGAATTTTATCCAACAATGACTGAAAGCACTTTTCAGGTACCAATAGAGCATACACTAAGACCAATCACATTCTAGATTAAAAACATTAGCTAGGGTCACTAAAAAAAATCTTTTAAATTTAGAATGGAAATAATAGAGGGGATATTTTCTGACCACAAAAGACACAGAAATCAGCAACAAGGATAATAATCTCTACTATCTAGAAATTAAACATACTTAAATCATGAATCAAACACAAAAATACAACACTTTAAATCTGTAGTTAACAAAGTATTGCCAAGAGGGAAATAGTAATAAATTCACATATTGGAAAAGAGGCAAATTTCCAGTCAATAACTTAAATTCCCACCTCAGGAATCTAAAAAGAAAAACGCTAAGTCCAAAGCAAGCAGTAGGAAATAAAAACAGAAATAAAATTGAGAGTAAAAATTGGAAATAAATCCATGAAACAAAGATCTAGTTTTTAAGTTGTTAATAAAGCTGATAAACCTCTAAGCAAGACAAAGAATAAAATTAAAAGACAAATTACCAATATTATGATTGAAATGAAACATAAGATCTCACGTCATAAAGCACATAAAAGTACAATGGTAATTTAGTGGAGAAAAGAAAAAATCAATTTCAACAAACAGTGGTGATACTAGATGCTACCATGCTGAAATAAGAACAAAAATCAGTGACTCAAAGTCTCCTGATTTAACTGAAAATGAACAAAAAAAAATAGAAAATTTTTTAAAAAAAATACCAGTTATTGGGGCTGGAACGATAGCACAGTGGGGAGGGCGTTTGCCTTGCACGCAGCCGACCCGGGTTCGATTCCCAGCATTCCATAGGATCCCCCGAGCACCACCAGGGGTAATTCCTGAGTGCATGAGACAGGAGTAACCCCTCTGCATCGCCTCGCCGGGTGTGACCCCAAAAAGCAAAATAAATAAATAAAATACCAATTATTTTCTGGATAAAAAGTTGGTTACAAGTTCTTAAACGGGACATGAAGAGCATAATTCAGAGAAAGAAAAAGTGATCAGATAATTAAAATTAAAACTTTCTCTTTTCAGAACTTTCAAAGCAGCCATTGAACAATCACGAAGTATAAAACAGTGTATTAACAAAAAAGGAAAAATGAGTGCCTTCCTGCTAACAGAGCATACACAGTTGTAAAATGCATAGTTTCTGAAGAAGAATCTCCGGTTCTGTCTACGACTAATGGTTTTATGGTCTATAAAACTAGATAATGTTAACTGTACTTTTTATATTATTTCATCTTCTAAATTTAGAAATGAACTTGACCTTGTCTTTTCGTGACTTTCCACAAAGGAAAAAAAACTCAGCAGTAAATTTTCAAATAGAAAATGTACGAAAGAAGAAAACCTTTCACCAAGAAGTGTCTTTATAGCAAAGATATTCCTCCTAAGCCATTAGGGAATTGAAAACCAGAATAACAATAAGATATCACAACTATGAGAAGAGGAAAATAAAAAATACTAACATCACAAATGCTAGTAAGAGTGCAGAATAAAGACAAACTGGATCATTCACATACTTTTGGTTAAAATATAAAATGATGTAGTCATTCTGGAAAATACTTGAGACCGTGTTTTAAAAACTGGACAGTTACTATATAACCCGAAAATTGCACTTCTGGGAATTTACTGTGGAGGGTGGGGGGGGGGAATAGGCTTATCGTCACAAAATAAGCGCAACAAAAAACCAAGAACCTGCACATGAGTTTATTAGTTTGAGAATTTCAGGTGCAATAGCCCAAACTGAACACAATCCAGATGTACTTTATTGGGTGAATAGTTAAACCAACCGTGGAAAACAACACACAATGTTGGGACACTAAGATACAATGCCAGAGAATTACAGAATGAAAAAATGTCCAACCCCCAAAGATGACATACAATGTGATTCTATTAAGATGACATCATTCAAAAGCTGGAATTGTGGAAATCTGGATTGCATTAGTGGCAGTCAGGAGGTAAGGACCAAGTAGGGAAGGAAGTAGATGTGGCCATAAAAGGCACAGAAGGAATCACAGTGATGTTAATAGCCCCTATGTTGACTGTATCAATGTCCGTATTCTAATTGTGATATGAATCTACATTTATGCAGCATGTTAAACAGGGAGAGATCGGATAAAGGCTAAATAGGATCTCTTTTCTTTCTTCGAATTGTGAATCTATCATTACCTAAAAGGGAAAGATGTGTCTTTCAAGGTACTAAGTTAAAAAAAAAGTCTGACCTTGAATAATATCTGCAAACTTAATTATTATCACAATACAAAAATATCACAAAAAAATCACAAAAAAAATAAAAATCATAACTCACACTATTTACTTCTTTGGGTGGTGAACTGCTTCCAGCATTTAATGGTGACAAGGAGTTTCCTGGGGAGAGAAAACATAATTTCTAATTAAAGCCAACTATTAATTTATTCTTACAAGTGCAAAGTACCATAACTAAACAATATCCAAATGATAAAACTATATTGCAATTACCTTAATGCTATACTATCAGTAAGCAATATCCTTCTCTTTGCAATGAAATACAAGATATCTAAGATCCCTGACTACTACTGTAATCTTGGCTGTGAGCTAGAAACTGTTTTAGTGTTTTTGGACTTCGAACTTGTTCACATTTTTAGAAAGTGAGGCACTGAAATTTTGTTTACATGTATTATCTCTACCAATATTTATAATTACCAGAATACCTAGAATTAAAACTAATTATTTTTCAGAGGCCAGAGTGATAGTATGGTGGGGAGGAAGCTTGTCTTGCATGTAGCTGACCCAGGTTTGATCCTCAGCATCCCATATGGTCCCTAAGCACTACCAGAAGTTGATTTCTGAGTGCAGAAACTGAAGTAACCCCTGAGCACTGTCAGGTGTGGCCCAAATCAACAAAACAAAAACCATAAATAACCCTATTTTTCATATTAAAAATTAAAGCTAGAATATAAAATATTTTAATGTATTCTATGTTGATAATGCTCCGTTTTTAATTTTTATATTATTTTTGCTTATTGAGTCACACCTGGCGATGCACAGCAGTTACTCCAGGTTCTGCACTAAGGAATTACCCCTGGTGGTGCCCGGGGAACCATATGGGACGCTGGGAATCAAACCTGGGTCGGTTGCATGCAAGGCAAATGCCCTACCCGCTGTGCTATTGCTCCAGCTCCACTCTGGTTTTTTTTTAAACAAGGGCCACACACATGTATTCAGAAGCCATCTGGTGCTGGGGCTTGAACACAGGGACCTGCACAAGATAAGCATACACTCAGGCATTTGAGGCATCTTTCTGACCCACTGTTGACAGATTTGTTAGGGGGGGATAGGGTCCACATCTGGTAATGCCCAGCTCTTGCTCCTGGCTCTGAACTCAGAAGTTACTCCTGCTGTGCTCAGGTGACAGGGATCTAACCTGGGTAAGCTGCATGCAAGGCAAGCACCTTACCCACTGTACTACCTCTCCAGTCCCTAGATTTTTTTTTTACAATTGACTCATTTTATTTTCAGTTATAGGTATTTTTCTTTTTATTGAATAACGATGGTCTACAGTTACAAACGTTTCATGTTGGAGTTTCAGTCATACAATAATCGAACACCCATCCCTCCACCAGTGTACATTTTTTACCACCAATGTCCCCAGTATCCTTCCCCAACCCCATTCTACTCCTCCCTCTGCTTCTACGAAGATAATTAGCCCCTAGAATTTTTTTTTAGCCCCTAGAATTTTTTTTGGGGGGGGTCAAAGCTCTTTATTCACCAGTGGGGGTGGGGAAAAGGGTGTCTTTTGGGGAGAGTCGGACTCCGACGTCCTCGGCTGGCCGGGATCTCCACAGAGCCGCAGAAAGCTAGCCCCTAGAATTTTAAAAACTATTTTCCACAGACAATTCCTCCACAAATTGAGAAAAATGGTATTTTTGCCCTTCTCTTTAATATTCCCTAAACCAATTAAAGTTGCATTTGTGTATCTGCTTTAGCTTTCAATCTGTTGGGATGTTGATTTGGAGTATCTGAAGGAAATCTGCCTCACACAGATATATGCAGTTGCACAATACTGCAAGGCAGCCATCCTGTTACTAGTGTTCTGTACGCAGTCACATGTACCTATGATTAAGCCAGAGAAATAAAGTCAGGGCCTGAGAGACAGAACAATGGGTGTGGTGCTTGCCTTGCAGAGGGTCACCAGGTTCTATTCCCCACACCCTTAATCGCAGTGATCCCTGAGCATGGAGCCAGGAGTAAGCCCTCAACACCACGTGGTGTGCAACCCCGGGTCCCTCGGGAAAGAAAGTCAAGATAAAGCCTGTAGTTTCCACTCACCTGTCGGCAAGTTCTTCCTATCTCCTTTTGCTCCAACCGCTTCCCCACTGAGGCCATTAGGGTTTGAGGATACCAAACTGTCTTCCTGACTAGCCAAATACTGTTTGGTTTGCTCACAAAGCAAAAAATTGTTCTTTTTATTTCCATTCTCTGGGCTCTTCAACCTGAAATTGGGATGGTTAGCATGTCCTCCAGGACTTCTTAAAGACTCATGTGGCGGAAGCTTGCTTTCATTTTTTTCAAAATTAAATGGTTCTGTCATTTTACAAGTAGATGCCTCCAAATTATTTCTTGACATCATATGAAGTGGAAGTTTAACACTGATAGAATGCTAAGGGATGACATGTATTTTTAAAAATCAACTTTTAATTATGAAAGTAGATGAACCACAGGCCCAGATGGTGATTTCTTTCTATGGAACAGATAATTCTCATGAACGATGCAAAGCAGGTATGACGTTGATTAGCAAAAAGCCGGACCTATAAACACAAAAAAGAAAATTATTTCAAGTACAAGTTCCAAGTTACACTGAATTCACCAGACAAAAAGACTGGTATGTCACTGCAGAATTTGAAACCAACAACAGGAATAAAAATGGACCTTCATAGTTTTTGGTTTGTGCTATACTCAGTGAAGGTCGGGGGTTACTCCTGGCTCTGCACTCAGGAATCACTCCCGGTGGGCTTGGAACCATATGGGATGCCCGGGATCAAACCTGAGTCAGCCATGTGTAAGGCAAGTGCCCTGTCCACTGTACAATCTCTCCGGCCCCAGGAACTTCATTTTTCAAAAGAACAACTTCTAAACAAGAGTCAACAAATTTAAACCGTAAAATGGCACAATCCAATTGCTTAATTGGTGTCAGCACCTACCTCTCCAGCCTCTGGGCAATTCGTTTGAGGGTGCTCTGTGTGATAACATGCTGAGCCCAGCACCTAGGACACCCTGATTATGTGGCATCTGCTGGGGAAATGCTCTTTTCCAGTCATCCCTCAAAATTTGCCTCAGTTAACTCCCCACTCAGCTAACTTTACCCAAATCCTCTGCTCTCATCATCTCCACCTGAGCTTCCATAATTGAAATGATTATAGAGACCCCTTAGGGACACTGTTGGTTCTTTCTTACTCTGAAAATAAGATCCATACACTGCTGCAAAATAGCCACATTCTCAGCTGGTCTGTGGGCAGAAAATATCCTGTGCAGGAGAAGTAATAAAAGTGATCTAACAACTTTTATTTCTGAAGGTGTAACCTTCAGCTTTGTAGACTATGGACAAATTTCTGCCCATCCTGTAACTTTCATGGAGGAAAAAGTCCCAGAGAGACAAACAAAACTATCATGAGTAATATCCAAAGGGCATTTTAATGTGGGTGCTTTGAATGATGAAAAGCAGAAAAATCCTCCTTCAATGGCATCCTAAAATTTCTATTTTATTTCATGCTTTAAATTAAGCCTAGCTTAATCCAATAACAACACAGGAAACATAGCAAAGTCATTTGTTAAAAAAAAGTTCCTGAGCCAGGGAAGCTGCTTCATGTGCTGGAGGGCATGTTTTATGGCCGGGAGGTCTGTGTTCAATCCAGGGCATAGGCTGACTGCCAAGCATGTCCCCTGAGCACTGGCCAGCTTGGCCACAAAATGAAATAGAGATAAAGAGGCACACTCAATGGCGGGTGTGGAACAGATCCTTGGAAGGCTGGGAATGAAGGTCTACAATTGAGTAAGTGCTGTTTAGTGGGAGATCTGCAGCTGCCAAAGAAAGCACACCTGTGGCCTTCCAAGTATATCTAATCAGAGGATCAGACCAAGACTACAACAATGCATGCAAAAGAAAAAGGCAATTATCAGAGAGAAAGAACCTTCAGCCCCTGCAACTCAAGACTCTATACAAGGAACATGCATGAAAATGCTAGGATAAGGGCAAGGAATGCGTTTCAGGGTAAGAGCATATGCCTTGCATACGTGAGGGGCCCCTGAACATTGCAGGGCACTAGTAGCCCTAGGGATCCACAGCATTGGTGGGCTGGGCCCCAACTCAGAACATCAGGTCTGCAAGTCCAGGACAAGTAGCTCCAGGCATGACCTTAGGATCCTCCCAGAAAGACACCCATTATTGTGTTATATATATATATATATATATATATATACACACACACACACACACACTCTCTCTCTCTCTCTCTCTCTCTCTCTCTTAAGAGTCTTAAAATGTTGCTAACCACTCATCTGGTAATTACTTTTAAAAATCATGCTATTAAAATAGCCTTAAACATCAAAAACATCCTGTAAATATGAGCATGTAAAATAGGAAAAATAGGAAATAATGATTATGTACTACCATTTAGAAACAATATATTAGAGGATCAAGTGAAAAATCAGAAAAATACTGTATATTCAACGTAATACCTACAACTCTCACCCCAACTCCAAAAAAGATGCCATGTATCTTTAACAAATGAGTATTCTGGAGTTGATGCACAGTTAATGACAGTGTTTTTGGTACCCCCCAACCGAAGTTTTACATAATGAATTACACATAATAGGGGAGAAGCCATTTTGAAGATCAAAACATCATTTCACACTAAATTAAGCCACTTTCCCCCTAAAATGTGCTTGCTTCTAAACCAAGCAAAGGCACACAATAATATTTAAGCCACAAAATTAGGTTACAGTCCTCTCCACAAGCTACCGGAGGGCCCTTCGCTATGCACCGTGTCAATCCTGAGCTCGCCTTTCCTACGTCTCCTTGGTTAGCAAGTCTGACCCTCAGTCCAGAGCTCCCTCCTGCCCAATGGAGTCAAGTTCCACCTGTCAACTTGATTTTTTAAATTCTAAGAATATAAAACCCACATCTTATATTTTGAATCTCTGAATTTCCCACCTACCCAAGCATAGTTTTGCACTATGGTTTGTGCAATGAGCCATTAAAGATAATCACAGGATAAGACTGTTTCTAAAAATGCGCAGTCATGTCGTTTTCTTGATAACTTGCAGGGAAATTCACTGAAATCACATCATGCTCAGATTTTACTGAAATTTTCATAGCAAAACTTCTTGCCTCATTGGCCAAAGTCCCCCCCAGTAAATACACTTGACTTTGATAACAACAGAATCCATCTTAGACCCACTGTAAGCAATATGTAAAAAGGATTTAAGCTTAAAGGAAGCTCCACCTAAAGTGAAATATTTCCTTAAGGACGGATAGCTCACCTTCCTCACCCAGCTCAGGAATGTCATTACAACGCCCAGAGCATTGAGACATCTAGACCTGCTCTGTAACAGGAAACCAACGGAGCGTCAGTCTGAGCTAGTTTTCCTTATAAACTGGTTCTCTTCCCTTGCACCTGCCTAACAGGCCCAAATCCTTCGAACAGCTGACACGGTTACCAAGTTCCTTTTCCTCCAGCCCTTCACCCACTGGTGGCACCATCCCAATTCTCAATGTTGCGCAGTGCACCAGAAACTCTCCGCTGAAAAGGATTCTCTTAATAGGGCAACAACAAATCACAGGATCCTGACTTTGAACGTTATCTTACATTCAACCTCTCACTGCGGGGACAGGACAAATATCTTAGACTCAACCTAAAACATTCTGGGATTTATTTTCAAATGTGTAATCACAATCACCACACTACAAAGCTGCATTTACTGACTTAAAAGTTCTACGCATTTTAACACATGGTTCTGCGGGTTAAGTTTCTAAAACCTCCACCATCAGGGCACAGTGCAGGCCTGGTTGGTTTGTGGGACACACCTGGTGGGTGCTAGAGAAACCACAAGGTTCCGAGTATTAAACCCTAGGCTACCCCAAGCTCCCAGAGCAGGTGTTTCAGGCTGAATTTTAAGCATCCAAAAAAGCCTGTAAGAATTTGCATTTCTTACTCCACTTGGCTTTACCCTGTGGTAATCATCAGGCTGGGTGTATCCAGGTCTACTTCATATGGGGTGCGCTTCAAACCCTCATTCGGGCTGCAGTCCCCGGGTCCCTCAAGGCCGACCTCACCTAGTTGTAAAGTGAGCTCCTGCTCCCATGCAAAACCCACTTTTGTTTTTCCATGAGAGTGATGCATAAAGATCCGCCCCCCAATCCAGGGTAAATTATTGATGTGGCTAGTTCAAAGAGAAGGATCCTCAAATTTCTTGATGGTAAAGGAGCCCCGACACTCTTAGCATTGGGCATTGCTGATAGGAGAGTAGCATAGAGGAAGCCACTTAACTCCACTTATGTACAAAAAAGGAAGAGTTGGAGAGGGAGGGGGGAGAGAGGGAGGGAACGAGGTAGAGGGAGGGAGAGGAAGAGGGGGAGGAAGAAAGGAGGAAAGAAAAGGGAGGGGGACAGAAGAAGGGGGAGGGAGGGAAAAAGGAGGGAGAGAGGGAGGTGAGGGAGGGGGAGGGGAGAAGGGGAAGGGAGGAAGGAGGAGCGAGGGGGGCGGGGTATGGGGGAGAAGGGAGGAGAGGGAGGGGCATGGGGAGGGGAAGAGGCGGAGGGAGGGAGAAAGGAGGGAGGGTGAGAGGGAGAGTGGAGGAGTGGGAGGGGTATGGGGAGGGGGAGGGAGAAAGGAGAGAGGAGAGGGGGAGGGGTATGGGGAGGGGAAGGGAGGGAGAGAGGAAGGAGAGAGAGAGGGGGAGGGGCATGGGGAGGGGAGGGAGGGAGAAAGAAGGGTGGGTGAGAGGGAGAGTGAGGGAGGGAGAGGGGTATGGGGAGGGGAGGGGAGGGAGGGAGAGAGGGAGGAAAGGAGAGGGAAGGGGAGGGGTATGGGGAAGGGGAGAAGGGGGAGGAGGGATAAAGGAAGGAGAAAGGGAGGAAAGGAGAGAGGGAGGGTGAGAGAGGAGAGAGGGAGGGTGAGAGAGGAGAGAGGGAGGGTGAGAGCGACAGCGTGAGCTCAAAAGGTCACGCGTGCAAGAGGGGGCCTGGCGGGGGGCGTGGGGGCGGCAGCCCCTCCCCTCTGGGCACACCAAGCCCCCCACACAAGCACCCCCCCACCCCCAGGCTGTAACTTCTCCCCTACTTCAACGCTTCTGTTCTCCTGGGAGCCTCCCGCGTTTCGCAGGACGGGAAAGGAAGACGACGCCCCTCGGGGAGCTCCGGGTCTGGGCTCCACTTCCTGGCTGGGCCGACGCCGGACGGACGCGCGCCCCCGGGAGCCGGTGGGGTGTGGGGGACCCGCGCGGCTGGGCTGGGCTGGGCGGTGCGTGGGCTCCCGCCCGGGCAGAGGCTGCGCTCCCCGGCCCCTCGCCCACCGCCCACGACCCCCCGCGGGTGGCGTCCGCGCACGCGTCCACCAGGGAGCATGTTTTTAGCGCGGGAAACCAGGGCGAGGAAACTGAGGC